ACCAAAATCGAATAATCGCATAATTCAAGGCAAATTGCATACAAATTGCATAAATAATGGAATAATCCGCCTGTTTGCATCAAATTCCATAGAGTTGTACATGTTCTACAAGTACAAGTACAAGTACAAGTAGATGCACCAGGAAGTCATACATGTAGGTTTACGACTCCCTTGATAACATGTCCAGTCCACTACAATCAGTGACGGTCGTAGCTACAATTGTAGGTCGGACAGTGCATAGACCCCGTTGAACTTTTGCTACTACAGTACAACGCCCTATACAAAAAAATCCCTGTTATTTTGCACAGAACCATCATTTTACATGTACATTAGCAGCATATGTGAGCATAATGCGGCATAATATGATAACTTTTAGCATAAAAATAGCATAATTCTGCAATTTTTTCAGCAATGCGAAAAGCATAATTTCACGAAAATATTAGCATAATCCGTCAAGGCCTAAACTAGAAAGAAACGGTCGACATACTTCCAAGAACAACTTGTCTGCCACAGAGGCCACCCAAGAGAACAGTGGGGTATTATAAACAATCTACTTGGCAGAGCTAAAGCAAATCAGGAACCTGCTGCTAATGTCTCCGACATCACAAAGACATTGGCGAAAGTCGTGAACGATCCCTCGATTTCTGATAGTGCACCTTGCATGCCCCACGGCCCTCTACCTGAATACTCATTAGCTCAGTTTTCATCAGTCAGTGTTCCGGAAGTGCAATACTACATCCAACGCATGAAAAGCCGTAAAGCCACCGGACCAGACAATGTTCCAGTTGCTGCTTACAAGTTAATCAACGATGAGATCGCTCCCTCACTATCCAAGTTGTTATCTGAATCTCTGACGTCTGGTGAATTCCCAGCTCCGTACAAGTCAGCCCATGTTCGCCCCATCCACAAGCGCGGTGATAGGTCGGTCTCCTCCAACTACAGACCAATATCACTGCTCCCCCATATGTCAAAGTTACTTGAGCACATAGTGCATGATCAACTCATACGCTACATCCAGAATGCACCACCCGCACTGCAACATCTTCCTGCAGAGCAATTCGCCTACCGCAGAGGCCACTCCTGCGAAGACTTGCTGACTTGTGTTACCAACGATTGGATGCTTGCCTTGGACAAGGGTGACTACGTAGTGGCTGCCTTCCTTGATATGTCAAAGGCCTTTGACACTGTCAACCACAACATGTTACTTCAAGAACTACTTGAGATTGGTATTGGCGGAGTCGCTCTGCAATGGTTTCACAGCTACCTTACAAACAGACAACAGTGCGTGGTCACTAAGACTCAACAAGGGCAACCATACACAAGCAACAGAGGCGTTCCACAAGGCTCTGTTTTAGGGCCGTTTCTATTTAACTTGTCCGTGAGGAAACTCCCCGCTGTGCCCAAACACTGCAAAGCCCGTCAATACGCAGATGATGTGTCTTTATACAGGGCGGGGAAGAATGTCCAGAACTTATGCAAAGACCTCACAGAGGACATCATCAAAGTAAAGGAATTCTTGGCAACGAGAGGTCTTATGTTGAACTCCTCGAAAACCCAGCTTGTTGTGTTCAGGCCAAAGTCGAAACCTCTTGACCCCGATGTCAACGTTCAGATTGAAGATGTCACCATCACCCCTAGTGCACACGTGAAATACCTCGGTATAGTTCTTGACGAACATCTCTCCTTTGGAGTTCACATTGCACAATTAGAACGTAAAATAGGCTGTAAGTTAGGAATGTTTAGAAAGGTCCGAGACCATTTAACGATCGATGCTAAGAGGGCTTTCTACATCTGTTCCATTCAGTCCATACTTGAGTATGGGTCTAATTCCTTTGCTCACTGCCTTTCTGCCTCCCTCCATGACCGTGTTGTCCGACTTAGTAATAGAGCGCTGCGTATTGTATTTTGCATGCCCCGCCTATCTGATGTCTCCCTTGTTCTTGCCCGCTACCATATCATTCCCTTGTCTGTCAGGTACCAATTCAAGCTGTACGTTCTAACGTACCGTGCGCTTCATGATCTGGCTAGTGTCTTTGTTGCTAACTGTTTCTGTCTCCGCTCTAATTCTACCTGCACTAGTTCTCGCACCCGCTCTCAAGTCTGTCCCTGCGGGAATTTGCGGAAAGAACTCTCGAAAACTTGCGCAAGAAATTGCGGCAGAAAGTAACAAAAAATGCGACGAAAAGTGCGGAATGATGCAGAACTTTCCAGGAATTCGCGGAATTATTTGCAGAAAATTGCGGATTTGGGCCAAATCACGAAATTTGTTGCATCGTATATCTACTCGGGAGTCGTACTGTGCAAATAACCTACAGGATCATGGAAAGAACTGCGTGAAAAGTGCATAAAATGTGAGATGTAGAGTGCAGAAAACAACAAAAAACGCGGAAAATCACGGATTTTGCTGAAAATCGCGGGTTTGGGCCAAAATCGCGAAATTTGTTGCATCCGTGGAATCGCGATTTCCTGGAGGGACAGTCAAGTGTCCTCTTCCCTTGCTCTTTCGACAGCCAAACGTCGCTATGGTTTATTTTCTGTCACTTTCCTTGGCTCTGACCGCTGGAATGCCCTCCCAGCGGAGGTCCGCTCAAGTTCTTCCTTGCATACCTTCCGTAATTCTGTTCTTCATTTTTTAGGGTACCCTGTCAAAAGGCCTTAGGCCTGTGGGGATTGCCCTATCAAAAATTTAATAATAATAATAAGAAGAAGAAAGGTTTGCTCCCCACACCGGAGCTCGCGCTGTTCCGCCGACTTTACTTGACACTTGACTGACTCACGACTGCCATCCAGAGCACACGAGAAGTCCATCGATTCTTCGACTCGGCAAACCTGCAAGAAAGCACCACTCCCTGCTCAATACACAGTGTTTCGGGGAATTCACCCCTCATCAGTTGAGCTTGAGTAGGCTGAGGAAGATTGTGCCTGAAGAGCACCACTTATATAGTGCTCTCCAGGCACAAACATCACCAGGGATACAAACTTACAGAGACGCTCCGCTTCCAGCGCGATAAACACCTCGTGAACACCAGATAGCAGCGTGAGTCAGTGTCGCTCCTGGACGGTGAGACAGACGTCGAGGACCCTCGGTCATTCGCAACGCTGTCACCTCCAAACCAACTAGTCGCAAGCCCGCGCTGGGCACAACAGTACTGTTGTGCCCAGCAAACAACAAACAAAGCTCTACGATCATATGTATACGAGTAGATCTACTGCCCGCAATAATTTTTTTGAGATTGAGCCACGTTTGCTCCCATTGACACGGTGCGGACATCTCTGCCGCCTCGGCCAGGGGGGATCGGCTAATCGTCAGCCGGAGGCAGAGGCAGCCGCAGAGCCTAGAGGCACGCCTGGACATACGGGCTAGGGCCTAGGGGTTCCTGGTCGCGGCAAAAGCAAAGACTTGGTGTAGATCTACATGTATTCTGCCGTGATGGTTGGGCTACGCATCCGGGTTTCGTTTTGCCTGGGCTGCAGGGCCTCTTTTATCCGCTGCAGGATCGGGAGCCCCTTTTCAGAATATTGCCGGCGGCTATGCTGACACGGGCACTAGCAGAGGCGTGACTTCTCCTTTGCATGCCAGTAGGCCATTTATAAGTAGGCAACGGTTTCTTGTCAAGCTTTTGCAAACCCGTTCAAGTACAGTTGTAGTAAACTACAGTGTTCGGCATCGCGCCGCAATCAGCAGACGATAGACTACTCGTACTGTGTTATATATACAGAAGAAGACGCACCTGACAGAAGACTCAGCCCACGCCACGAAGAACGTGATACAACACTAACCCCTTCATCAATAATTAATTATTAAACAATTTCTCGTTCAACAAAGGATTAATACCGGAGAGCCCAACCCCCTGGGGGGACGCACAATTAATTAACTACGAGTGAACCCAAGACGGTCCAGCGCAACAACACCAACAACTCTGTATGCTCGTGTAGCGACCACCCCTGCCCGTACACTTAAGTACGCAACTCTGTATGCTCGTGTGGCGACCACCCCTGCCCGTACACTTAAGTAGTCATTAACCCCTAGGCCCTGCCCACCCAATTCTTCCTCACTCTTTCTCCTTTCTTACACTATTATCTCTTATTGGCCACTGGCTATCGTGAGAATAAAGATTTGAAACAACAACAACAATCAACGACAATTACAACAACAACAACTATTACAACAACATCAACGTCCATCAACACCCAGACCACAACACCAACGTGCAGACGGGGTGTTCCGACGTGGTGAAGGCCTACCCATGGCCTCGTCGGGACATCACCAACCTCGTCGGCAGCGAGCACCTTCTCACAACAGTCGTCATGGTGATGACTATGACTGTTACAGCTGACGAGCTGAGAGAAGGACGCCATGGGCAGAAGTTACATGTAGTTGGAAAAAGACAAGAAAAAAGAAAAAGAACAAAAGAACAAAAGAAAAAAGAAATATAAATTGCAAATAATTTAATTACAGAGGAAGACAAGAAAATAACATCACAAATCCTTTCCAGACGTGATCCCTGCAGCGGCAGCAACGTGAACAATACTACGGCGGCAACACGACGACTTCTACAACACAAAAAAACGAAAATTATAAAAATCCTACCAACCCGTAGAGTAACGAGGGTCCGAACCTGGGTTTTCCCAATACGGTTCAGATCAGGGAGTAGTAAAATAGTATTTTACTACTCCCTGGTTCAGATGGTCGCAAGACCGGGACTCTGCCGACCGGGTTATGGTTGTAGTCAGGAGCACTACGCGTATACGCGTCCTCGCCTTGTAACATGCTGTCAAAATCGAAAAACATCGTAGACCCTGTGTTGTAGACGGGGGAATCTTTCAATAAAACGAGTCGAGTACACGCGTACACGGACGTTACAAGGTCAAAGTTCACACGAAGACCTTCGCGAGAGTCAAAGGTCAATAGTTCATCATTAATTTTTCTGATTGTATGCCATGACTTTGATTGAATGGATGTAGACCTACCCTACAATCCAGGTCAAAAGTGGAATCATTCTCCCCAAGTAGATCTATTTGTAGTCTTGTAGTAAACTCTCCTTTCAGCGCCTTGCCCAGAGTTTCATGGTGATCCTCTTTTTCGACAGCTCAACAAGACATTTGAGCAATACTGATCGAAATCCTTGCGTATTTGCCGTCAGTTCGATATTAGTAACATTACAGCGGAGGACGAGAGTGTTGGGTACCAGTAGATCTACTACTGTCATTGTAGTACGAGTGTATGTAATAACACACAGTGAACAGAATTTTCTTGGCCCGATACTGCACGGGAGAAGACAGCTTCTGTGATTGAGAGCTTCCCTAGGACAGGTTCCTGACTTGGCCGGAGTCATGAGCCAAGCAGCGCGCCCGCAACAAGTAGCAACTCTTTTGGCGCAGTTGCCTCCCAAAAAACTGCAGCAGTATCGTAAAGTTCTTGGCGTGCTAAGAGAGAATCACCAGACCTTTCTAGAATTTCACCGGAGTGTTAGAACTCCGCTCACAGCGTATTCAGCTGCTACCGCCAGTGCTACTACTAGTCCAGGCAAACAGGGTTAGTGCAATGTGCATTCCAGCCTACTGTTCCTTCCTGATCATCAATCTACCTTGTGTTCTCGCATTGGTCTCACCATGTGTGTATCTGCTACTTGTAGTGAAGATGGCATTCTAGAAGTGCTTCCTGTGATCCGACTTTGGCTCATGAGATCCCCATCGCTATAATACACCATAACCCTTGCTGTCCTCATGTCTTCCTTCCAGAACATGATCTGACTCGGAACAGAAACAATCGCATTGGTCCCCGAACACTTGGACAAACAAATGCCTTGCAGTCCCAAGATGCTACTGGATCTAGAACGCTACAAGCCAGCAGGTGAGGTTAGGGAAGGATGACGCTAATCACGGCATGGGAGAGGGGAGGAGAGAGAGAGAGAGAGAGAGGAGGGGGGGGGGGCATAACAAGATTCTGGATAATAGTGCTGGAAGTTATTCCGTAATAATAATTAACATCTTTAATACCAACAAAATTCCTCTCTTTAAAACGTAGTGCGTGGATTTGCATCCATCTGCCACCGGTGCACCATTTTACTGGATTATTCTCAAAACGGAGTCGACAATGCCCTGTATTCTGTGTCTGCATCCTCTGTTCAATCTGAGCAATGCTGTCATGTGCCCCTTAGCAGGTACGTCTTGTTATTGTATTTCTATTTCTGTTGTCGTTGCTTTTTTATTTCCATGCCGCACTGAATGCTCGGTGCTCATTTCCCAAGTCCATTTAGCACGTGCGAATTTGTGGGCGGTTTACCACCGCTGACATTGACGCGTAAGTGCATAATAATAATAATAATAATATTAACTGGTTTGAGGGAAAGAGACAAACGGGAAAAGTCTGAAGAAAAAATTGACTGTCACCACCAGGACTCGAACCAGGGACCCTCTCTTGTAGCCAGCGATGCTCTAACCACTGAGCTATGGTGTAGTCGTCATCCCAGCAGAGGCCGTTCAATATTTTCTTCAGACTTCGTAACTCACACTTCCTGTGAATCCACACAGGCGGGTGGGACGCAGCCCTCACTGTAACCCACACACTTCACGTACAAACTAGCATGCGGGGAGCCCCAAGTCATAAAATATTAACTGGTTTGAGGGAAAGAGACAAACGGGAAATAATAATAATAATAATAATAATAATAATAATAATATTCCGTGCATGCGTGCTTCAGATGTGTGCAGATGTGCTGTGTGGCCTTGAATCTGCTGCAGATACAAAGAGAAGCATGTAGACATGAGATTTGAAAACAATAACTATTTTAAATTTGTTAACCACTGTGGCACTAGTCATACAATGTAGTGAGTTGATTTCGGAAGTCTGATGTTGCTTTTCTAGGCTACCCCGATCAGGAGCTATTCAAGGACAGAAATGCCAGAATACACTACCATCAAGCATGTCCGAGTTGACATCAGCTAGCAGTGATATGCAGTATGGTCATCAACAGCACCATCAACAACAAGGGCAACAGCGACAGGATCTGTTAGATCATGAACAGCTAGGTGGTTGTGCTGACGGGTTGCAAACAAATCAGGACACGTGTGGGGATCCTGACCTGCTTTTGGAGCCTTGGATGTTGGATGAAGATGGATTTGAAGATGATCTTTTTGATTTGACGCCACCCAACCAACGGTCAACTGTCCAACTTCCCCTGCACAGTGAATATGTGGGAAACAGCAAGCTGCAAACCCCCAGTGTATGTCCTGTTGCTGAGCCTGATGCATTGGCAATGACCTCTACAAGCACTGTAGCGACAACAGGCAACATGGTCATGGCAGATCATAGTACAAAGACCTGCCTGAGACCATCAGCCACTGCACATTTGTCTAACTCTGACATGTCTGTTTCCACCAATCACTCAGTAGCACCCTGCACACCATCTAGTACACAGAAGAGAACTCCGGGAGAGAAAACAGCGTCGTCAGCATCATCGTGCCTTTCTGATCCAACGCAACGTAATCTTTACAAGTGTAAGTTCAATTGTTGCAACTGACAACGTTGATTTCCAGCTCAAGGATCCGTGTTCCTTATCACTTGTGTTTGGATGTATGTGTATACATCATGCATCCATGGGCCCTTGCTTTGCTGACCTTGTCTGTGTCCATGAAGTTCTTTTCGAACTGTACAACTGTATGGGACACATATGTGATGCGTGCACACGCGAGCTGCTCACATGTAGTCATGTGGTGCAATATACTTCGAAGTACTTCGCGTAATATTATGCAAACAAGGGAGTAGTAAAATCGTACTACTCCCTGATGCAAACACCACCCAGTGGCTCACACACGCACGCACACACACGCGCGCACACACACACACACACACACACACACACACACACACACACACACACACAATGAAGGCCGCTGGACCCTGATTTCACCAGGCATGCTACCTCACTTTGTGACGTTATTTGCCTTTGGCAAAGCTCGTGAATTAAACGTTTCAAGTGAATGCCTGCTGTGCATGGATTGCATTGATGGGTACTGTGGTTTGTAAATATACCATGTTGATACTCTACAGCTTGAACAAGCTAACTTTGTGTATTTCATTTGGGTATACAGATGCTTCTAAATCATCCACATCGGGTACTGGAAACTTACCTAGCAATAGTGAACATGGCTGGGATATAGATAGCAAAGGCAATACCAACAGTAACAAGGTTACTAATACAAGAAATATCCGTCACCCCAATGCGTCACATTCTGGACAAAAGGGCAATGGTGCAAGTAGTGATATAGGCGTTGGCAGGATCGTCGGCAGAACTGGGTCAAGCAATGGGTTATTCAACAGCAACAAAACGACACCCACATTTTCGCCAGTGGTTGCTCGTCCCGATTCGTCGGTAAGCCTCTGCTTTTAATAGTTGCTTGGCGAGTGAGATGATATTTTTAAAGTATCCTGCATCTCGCTACATTATCTCTAGTCTTTACACATGCAATCAAACCTTACTTATTTGTTCCATTGCCAGCCAGTATATTAGTTGGAGCAGATTTACAGTCAATGCCGTGGAGTATAGTGAGACTGAGACATGGGTTTGGTCACCTGGATATTTGTGTTAAACACAAATGTGTGCGGTTTTAAAGCGAGGTCTGATTGTGCATGCTTCATAGACACCTGAACATCTTCAGTGCTACTCAAGTTGAGCCATTGCCAGGAACCATAGGCTGGACTATGTACTTGTACACTTTGGAATCCTGGGTGATGAGCAATCGACTACATGTATAATTATATTCCATCTTGACAATAACAACTTGCTGTCAAATGTCAGTGGCTTGTCTCTTGGCTTGTAGATAGATCATGGCCTATATGTTTCATAGTCCTCTCACCACCCTAGGGTAGAACCTAGCCATGTGGAGCTCTGCATCTTGCCAATGCCGTTGTACTTTCTTTCTTTCTAGGTGATCAAAAATGGGAGGAAAGCAATGGCAGCTGATGGTACAGCCAAGAAGTCCACCATGCACTCGACTGTTGATATTGCGTCGCTGTCAATCACACAATTCGAAAAGATACAACAGCAGATACTATCGGCAGCAGACGTGTACTTAGCACTAAGTTTCTCAGATGGATCAACCCAACTAAGAGAAGCTGCGGATAGAAAGGTGGGCTAAGCATAGTTTGAGTTTGATTCAGTTGTGCTGCTTTAGCACAAGTGTCAATACACTGTTCGCCGATGTGGTAAATGCATACTGATAGCATTGCAACCGTGGGGGGATTCTAATCCCATGCGTAGGTTTCAGGAGGGGGTTGGTGGTACACTGGCTGTTACAAACTTTGGAATAGCTAGTGGCGTAACGACTGGTACTTTGAAGTGACATCCAACGCAACCTGCTCGTAAACTGCTGTAGCCGCTATAAACTAGCTGTAACTTCTGTGGCCGCTATAAACTCACTTTTAAAGTATACGATTGTATGCCAGTGCAATTGTTTGACGTGATGGATTATATTGGCCAGCACAGTATGAATCCTGGTTGCAGCCTCGAATTTACACCCCGTCCAAGCTACGTGTAGTCACTGTTATTCAGGCGGCAGATATTCGCTCAATGTATCTGGCAGTGGGTCCAATTGCTTTTGATCACTGACTGCATTGAACTATACCATAGATATCTATATCAAAATTGTGCACATGTCTTTTCAATTCAGCGTAAACGAGACCAAGAAGGGAACTCCGGTCAAAAGGCAAGTGAAAATCTGTTTGTATTGAAGTGTATTTACAAAAACGAAACAAACCCATGCACTCAGAGCTAGAAACACCCACAATTATACGGATAGGTGCTACAATGTACTTCAACTTCAGCAGGACATCAGCGCATCCGGTTATTTCGGTCCATTCGTTGTCTACTGATCTCACACTGCATATCACACTTATGCTGACCTCTTCACACCTCCACCATTTGTGCATGGTTTTAGGACTTTCTATTTGTCTGTATCAGTGTATGAGCATCGGCACTTTCTATATTTCGGGTGTGTGTTCGTTATCGCTACTCCTCCTACTCCTGTTTGTATCATTGAAGTGTTTATTGTGCTGGTTGCTTTTTTGCATGTACACTCAAACGTCTCTTATCCGGACGCCTCAGATACGGGCACGTCTCTCTACCGGGCACCTTCAGCTTGAGTTCCTATGTCTGAAATGCTTGGAATTTGCAGTGTTTGAACTTTTTTCGTATGCGCAAGTGCTTTTTTTGTCACTGCCAACCTGTGAAATCCACACATTTTATCAATGGATTCTTTCTGTAACCTGAACATGTGCAAGAGGTGCCAAATAAACTTCTTCAAAAAAGATATGATACATGGTAGATGAATTGTCCTGAGATACGGGCGAATCTGAGATACGGGCAGTGCCCGGTCCCAAGGTGCCCGGATAAGAGACGTTCGAGTGTATCCACCTGAAGGGAAGCCGGTGTGAAAGTACTTGTGGAAACTTTAAAATGTTGCTCACTAGAAGCTTGAAGCTAGTTCTTTTCTTTTCTGAGGCTGATCTAGACTGCCTTGGATTTAGTTCAATCTACAATGGCCGAGAAGTCTTAGACACAAGATCAGATCGATGAATACCATCGCTTGCAAATCACACTAGGAGGCTTTGGGAATCCTACGATCATACTCAAACAGAACCTGGACTTGTCCGATTGGTTTACTTGTTCTTTTCAGGCTGTTAGGTTGACAGTAGCATATCCCATGGTTGAGGATGATCAGCCGGTCGGTAATGTCACGAAGACAGCACAGTGCACCTCGCTAGAAAGCCCGTCTACAGCACGGAGTGGGATAAAGTTTGTCTGCATGCCGTTGGAGAAGCGGCCTTCTGATTCTTCCCATGTGTTCACATGGACCAGGTTAGAGTGCAATCAGCTGCTGCTATGTATTCCAACTTTGCAGTGCCTGCGACAGGAAAGGATGTTGTAAGAACAAATTCTTTCTGTGTATTCTGCTTCCTTTGAAGGAAACTACTGGAGAAACTGATGGTGACTGATGGTCATAAGGTTTGTTTCAGTGCCCAGGAGTTGATCATCGCTCTAGTTGAAGTGTTCAACTTCCCTATCAACTCTGGTGAGCCATGCCGCTACAGCAGTTGCTTCTGACTGTAACAGTGCCATGGTGTATTTGATACCACTGGTGTGCAGTGCTAAGTTACATGTCATGGTCGGATACAATGTCAGGAGAAGAGCTGTGAGCACGATTTGCAAGACAAATCAAACGGTCTATGTTGCAGGAAGACTGACATCTAGCAGATTTGTAGACAAGTGCAGAATCGGGCAAGGTACACATTCTTGCCACTGAATGGCCTATTGTCAATACATGTATGACCCTGGCTTATCTTTTCAGATTTCCTCATATTGCGCTAACGTATCAACTATTGCTAATGCTGCTTTCTCTTGCTGCAGTATCATCATGGTGCGTCCTTGACTTGAAAATAGCCTGCTGGATGCTAGACTCCGATCAGCCACCAGAAAGATTTGGTGATTCTGTTAAGCAATTACGCCGGAGTGGGCTCACTCAACAGGCTAAGTTCACAGTGGTAAGCGACGATAAGCAGGTACACAGTGTCGCGGGTGCAAAATTATGTTTCGCGCCGATGGTTTAGTTGCTCAGCTATGACTTGAAACTCTTAAAACCTAAACTGGTAGCCATTATTGTCATTATTGTCCAGAGTTTTTTTAAATAAATAATGAGTAAACAGTTGATAAACAGCTTGCCGCTATGTGTAGAAGTGGCAATCCAAAAATACTGAGGTATGATGTTCCATGTTTGGTATATGCACCCCGTGTATTCATAGGGTATGTCGAAAAAGCAGGCTCTGTGTGAAGACCTGTGCCTCCTGGGACCTGCCTGGCATAAAGCACGCGACCTGCTACTGGTAAGCTGATGTCACAACCAAAGTCACGGCATCTGTTTGAGATATGCTCAACCATTTTCTCAAATACTAATTATCATGAATATGAAGACAGATAGGGAAATTGGTTACAATGGTTTGGTATTGAAGTCACAGGTTCTGCTCAGGCGCTGCTCACAACTGCAGTGAGCGAGAGAACATGCGGTGACAGTATCCTGCTGTACCGGCGTAGTAATCCAAACTGGGATGCTACACGACTGAAAGAGACCTGCTGGGGTGCTATCATAGCAGTGTGCACTTCAGGGATGCTATGAGGCGAATGTCATCCCTACATTCTGAGGCACATGTATGCATGGTCTACTCCTACCTGGCACGTGGACCCACCACCATGGATGGCCTAGTCAGCTTAGACTAGACATCCGTTTGATGACTCAGTCACTCAGCACAGTTCAGCTTGAGGTTACTGACCTCATCATTGAAGATACACATCCGTGACCATGGTTTATGTCCATTACTACCACTATCATTGCCGTCAGCAACTCAGACTCTTCGCCCGGTTTTTCCTTGCAGGAAAGAAAGATATGGAACCTCTTTGTCAATGTGGAGACAAAACTTATCCCCATCTTAGCAGGTATGCAACACTACGTGTATGTAAAAGCTCTTCCCCCGAGTTCAACAAAGCGGCTTGTTATTACAAAGCGAATTTACGAGTATACATGTTTTGCTGAATGAGAACCAGCCTGTCCTGTCTCAGAGCGTGTGGTATGACTCGCAATGCTTGGTTACATGATGTACGTGTACATGTACTAGGATATAACTGAATGCATGGTGGCACCTGAGTATACAATCAACTTCGCTAATAACGACTGCGGATATAACGACAATTCGCGAATAACGACAGAATTTCCATGCCCAGAGCAAAGTTCCTTCCAACTGTAATGCACATAATGATACTTGGGGTATAACGACACTTCGCGAATAACGACACTTTTTTGATGCCCCGCCGAATGTCGTTATAAGCGAAGTTGACTGTATTCGCGGCCATGTACCCACACTGCCCAAAAACGCAGTTTCACTTGATATTTGCAGATTCGCGCCGTTGAGGCATTGCATGGCAATCACTTCCAATCATGCCAGTAAAAGCTGCGGGTAACGGCAAATACCTTTAGAGTCACTTTTCATTTAATTTGAAACATAAAGCATTATCAGCCTAACTTACTGGCTGAAAACTAGAACGGTACTGCAATGGTTTTGTTGTAATGGTGTCCAAAATGGTAATCTTGTAACTTAGCGGTTTGGGCAATCGGATGTAATATTGCTATGGGTGCGTGTACTGGAAAATGTGTTATCTGCTGGCAGGCTTGGAAACCCAGGGTATATTAGTAGACATAGAGCAGCTCACATCATTCAGCAACCTACTACAGGTGAGTCTGCAGCCTCTGTATCGGTCTGAATTGATACTACTTCAAGTACGAATGTGCCATATTTCATTCGGTTGGGGCATAATGCCCACTTTGGACGCCCTCCGTGTTTCACACTCAATATCCAGATGCACACTATATTCCTGTATGAAGTGTATAGTGCCAAATGTATGTCATATGTACCTTTTAAAAGTGAGCCGAATTGTGTCTATTAAAAGAGGGGGCGAGGGAGGGGGTGGGCTTACTCTGACAAATGCATCGCGTAGGTTTAAAAATTAAGGATCGAAGATGTGAAGGAAACCCGATGATGAATCATGTGTAATGATACTGCCAATCATCTGTCAGAATACTTCAACAGGTCACGGTCAATCGCATGGTTTTTATATAGTGTGCAAGGACTTGCATTGTTCTGCCCAAAACCTCCAGGGAGACGATGCTCATAAGAAACCAACCAGTAATGACACTGCCAGTTGCATCCCAGTGCTCTGTTATCATGCGTACTATTACACATTGTGGGGCATCTTCTTGGCTGTGATCTTTGCTGCAGGAAGAAATCAAGCTTGTTGAGGAGATGGCTTACAAGGTATACTGACTGCAGAGTTGAGTGCCAAAGGTCATAATGCAACAGCCTTACTGCCCATAGGCTAACCGTGACTGCATTTCAAACAAAATGATCAACCCTGTGCATACCGCTGAGTAAACCCTTCAGATACATTTGAAGAGCATATCACTTTGTATTGTAAAATGCCAACTTACCATTTGTTGACTTTCCATGTCTGATGTTTTCTACTACTTCTCCGTGATTATATCCTCCAGGCTGCTGGACATTCCTTCATGATGAACAGCGTTGCACAGTTGAGGAAGGTGGGATAAGAGAGAGAGAGAGAGGCTGCATCGCAGCTGGGCTGGACGTGTTGTTTTAGTTCATAGTTTCAGGTGGTCCGGCCAAATGGGATACTTGACGAGAACTGAACAGTATTGGCGAAATTCTCTGTTATGCATGAATTGGGTGGCTCAACTTTTTTGAAATACTAAGAGGACCGGCCGGACCGGTTGCTCGGTGCTGCGGTTTGTAAGCTGCTTCCAGGATGTTCAGCAGTGGTGCTCCACCATAAGCATCTGACTATCTGTGATCCATTTTCTAATCCCTTGCCCTTGAGCCAGACTGTCACACGTTGTCTTTTAAGCTACTAGTCCATACATTGCTCCTTGGCTGGCCGTGACTAAATAGCCGTCTTCATGACTATAGTATCTATCTACACAAAGGCACACAATGTATCTTGTATCTACCACACTTTCTTATAACTTCCAGGTGTTATATGATGAATTGAAGCTTGATCAAAAGTGTTCCAAACGATTAGCAAGGACTCAGGCTGGTCACATGAAGTCCACGGCAGAGAAAGTTGTAAGTACATTTACAGTGAACAAGAGGCCAAAGACCACACTCACAGCACATCACAGCACATCATAGCACATCTATTGCACTCTCAGCAAGCTGCACTGAGAAACGAGTTTGGTTTAGAACTGTTCGCTGACCTTCTGAATGATACACCCGCTAAACATGCACTGTTGTAAGGGACATCGTGGACCAGGTTAAACGTTGGCAGTGAAATTTTAGGTGGAGTGTAAATGTGCCAGTGAATATCACATACACTCAAGAGATATGCATATACTGATCAATTGCTATTGGCTGGCCCAACGATCCCGGATCAGCGTACACTGTGTAATGTAATTGCAGCTGCAACAGCTGGAGGAACATCACAGCCTGCCGGGCCTTATCCTAGAGTACAGACATGTAAGTAAACGTGACACCATTTTTGTATGATGTGCGAGTGCACTCTATTTTTACACCCTGCACTGGCTACACTTATGCTGGACCAGCTACCACACATGTAACAGTTCACATTGAAAATGTCACACACGATAGAGAGTTCAACAGTAAAGGTAAAGAGGACACGGCAAATGGCAGTTGGTATACTGTGCCAAACCCATGCATTACAGCCATGTACCGACACTACTAAAGTCACGCAGACTATGGGTGGCAGTACCATTGAAATCGATTCCATCCACCTCCGGGCCTAACGTCATCTTGGGAGGGGCTAATATTCTCAATAATGATCTATAATGATCTATAGGACAACCCATGCTTCGGAGACCTGTGAGTCATGGCCAGAACTGTAATAATCGTCTTGCTTATCTTGCTGTTTTCAGTAGTATTGCATAGTTTGCATTGACTTGGAGAATTACCCGTGCAAATTGCGTTTGACCTGGGTTTCCCATGCCTTCTTGGTCTGCAGCTCACAAAAGTGAAGTCAACCTACATTGACGGGCTATTTCCCCATGTAGAGAAGGTAAGTAATTCGCCATACAATCCCCACTGGCAAGACCACCACATATCCTAGGAAGGGTCTCGGCTTCACAAGAGCATTGATAGTAATGGCAAGCCGCATTGCGCCAATTTATTCGAATTTTGGAGTCGACATCGTCTCCTATCAGCTTTCGCAGGCATCCGCGTTTCTTTAAAGTTGTCAAAATTACATGGATGGCTTTGCCAAGCCATGGCCTCAAGAATGAGTCGCTGCCCATACTGTTGTCGTCACGTGGTAAGAATAAATTGCATTGCAGCTGAAAGAATCTACTCGTCACAAAACAAAGTGGTACGTACCTCTGCCGTGTTTCAACATGATTGTATCACGCTATCAACATGTCCTCTGTGGTTCGGAGGAAGATATAAATTGTGCTTGTTTAAAGCCAGGTGTGGATAGAGTGAGTTCGTCATTGCTAACATCATACTTATCCCTCATACCATCCGCAACGCCTGTGTGATACTGATCTTTATTCGTGAATCGCGTAGAGTAATGATTGTTACCGTATTACCTCTAATATAAGCACGGTCCTTTATTTTTTCAATGTACCTCCGCCCCGTGCTATTAATGGAGACGTTCCTTTATTGGAGACTGTTCCATTATTATTTCAACCTCACTTCAGAGGCATGTTGCCATGCCAAATTCATGTCAGACACACACATTTCAGGGTTTTTTCGCCGGTACAGATAATGAATTTACACAGTGTGCTTATAATGGAGACTAAGCACTTTATTTTTTGAATGCCGCCCCAAGGTGTTCTATTATTGGTGACTGTGCTTATATTAGAGATAATACGGTATGTCAATTTAAGCGCCAAGTATCAGGGATGATCACATTCATAATGATTAGTCTCCGGTTTCAGTATCAGTCGTCTGATGATTGCAGTAGCATGACACTTTGAGTTATGACGAATCCAAACTGGCCCTCTTTTTCTTTCTTGTTGGAGTAAGTTAGTCATTTTTTGTGCTTTCGCGCGGAATATTTCTTCTGTTTCACAGCGAGTTTTTTTCAGGCAGCCCATACGTTGAAACGGCACACTCGCCGTGCAATCGCCAGCATTGCTTAGTATTTTGAAAGGCACTGTAGGTGCCCAGATGGAGGTAGCCGGAATATACACATTGATGTCAGAAAGGTATTTTAGGGTAAGGTATTATTTCTGCTGCTGTTCGCCTTCCTTCGTTGAGGTCTTCTTTTGCTACAACTATCAACATTTACTTTCTTTCTTCCTTGTTTGCTGTTTCAGGGAATAGTACGAAGCTGTTGGTAAGAGAAATAATCACCCTGTGGTTCGTATGCATTGTTATGATCTATCATGTAGAAACGAACTCACATTTTGGTTTGTGTGTTGCTAGTACTTATCATATCCTACATTACTCTTACCTTTGACTGAGGCAATCTCTGGCACCTTGCAGGGCGTGCAGCATTTTTCAAAACATCTTGCCTCTGCACGAATCGGCTTCTTCAAGTAGAAACGACATTGACAGAGACCATGGCCAGGCTGCCGTTGGCCACTTCCAATTGAAGATGAACTTGGAGTAAGACACAGTAGCAGTGTCTGGTCTAGGATTTCAAACCAACTGGGTACACCAGTACCTGGCACAAGTCTTGCAACCGGGTCAGAGCCGGGTACACGCCTTCAGCCTGTCACTGACAGATCAGTCTATACTTCCTTGAAGAACAGACAAGGTGCTCGACACTACTAGGCATGTATCCTCCCAAGACTTGTGCCAGCCTGTCCTTGATGATACGGTACGGGACAGGTACGGGATAGCGCCAGGCATGCCGATGCTGTTCTTGATGGTACGGTACGGGACAGGTACGGGATAGCGCCAGGCATGCCGATGGCACAAGCAAACAAACAAACACGAAATTAAAGCTGTGTGGACCCTGGCTAGCGCCAGACGTTACTGAAGTAACGTCTTTTGCATAGCTACGGGAATAAAATATATTCAACGGGTTTCTGCAGCTTTTTTCTGTACCTGGCTTGTTGATAACACACTGGTGTGGAATCATAAAGACTTTCTCTCGTATTACTGCAGGATACACGATGGAACAGCTACCGGCCGATTGACTTCAGTTAACCCAGTAAAGAATTATTATTTTGTTACCCGATGATTTCTGTTCTCTTCATCAATGTAGTCAGGAAATATCAATGCACCAACCGCCAGTTTTGCTGAGCCAATTTGCTCGTAGTCCCTCTCAGCTCTCCCCGACAGTGGCTCCCCACAGAGGGAAGCTCAATGAAAAGTAACACTGAAACACAAGCTTTTGCGCAAATGTGCTTGTTAGGTGAGATAGTGCCCGTGATTCTTCTCTATGTTTCGGAGATACTCCATACGTGTACTTGACATGAATGGACCATAGCTGGCTGTACTTGTCTATCTCTTTGGGACTGCTTATGCTATTTGTCTGTGTGTTGCAGAACATTCAAAACATTCCAAAGACTGAGATTCAACTCAAGCGCAGTAAACCATCAGTCAATGATGTCTGTCCAGTTAGCGTTCACCCACGTGACGTATTTGTCAGCTCACCAGGATGGTCTTTTCTCAGTGCTGGTATGCAATAGGGTACACACAGTAGTGACAGTACAGTGAATAGACTTAAGGTCCCTAGCATCTACTCTGTGACTACAATGTCGTTCTGCAATCGTCAATTTCAACTTTCCTATGTTTGATATTCGCCTTCAGGTTGCATCGTCCTCTTCATCAACTCAAAGAGAAAGGACCCACAAAGTCAATATTGTAGATTTTCGTTCAAAGTAGTCGTGGCATATGCTCATATTGCTGTGTTTGAATGCTTTCCAGATTTCCAGTCTATCGAGCTTCGGTTGCTTGCACACTTGTCCAATGACACTGTTCTCTTGAAGATCTTCAACGACCCAGAGAGCAGTGACATATTCATGAGGTTGACTTCTGAATGGTACGACTCGTATGAGTACTTGAATTCTTCTTGTACCGGTATGCAGTTTTCCAGACATTCCAACTGACCTAAATGTTAGTGGACCCCGCGTCCTGTTGTCACGGCCTTTCCTTGTCCCAGTTGCACTGAAGTTCTGATCTAGTCAAGATGATGCTTTTGTCATGCACAATACAATGTATCATGATCTTGCAAGTAGATGCTTCCAACTTCACACGTAGAAAAGGAAAAGGAGAATGCACAGAGAGGATGTTGATGATGAGTCCCAGCAAAGAAAAGATGCAGTAATAAAGGGCCTATGTGATTGAGCTGGTACATGAAGCAGTAGCGTCGCTTGTGTTCTAACTTTGCTATGTGCAGGCTTTCAATTCCAGCTGATGCTGTAACACAGCAAGACCGAGAGAAAACAAAACGTCTTGTCTATGCTGTGATCTACGGAGTTGGTAAGACATTGCATTGAAGGGAATGAAACTCAATTGGGAATGACCCGTCTGGTGCAAAATACACAGGCACTGTACCCATCAATAACAATATCATCATCGTCAAAAAATGTCAGCATCATACATTCATACTGTACCTGAATATTTGGTGTACAGTCTTTTTTAAAACTCTGAATGATGCCTATAAATGGCATGATCCCCACCAAATCACAACTCTCAGTGGATTTGCTTGTGAAGTCGGTCAACAAAGATGACAAAGCCTGCTAAGAGTGGAAGAAAGACACGAGTTCTTGAAAAATATTGGTGCTTGCTACTGGCCTACCACTTCATCCAAGCAAAACTGATCTCTCATTCAAAGTTTCGGCATCTTTCTGCAGGAAGCGAGCGTTTGTCTGAAATACTTGGCACAACTAGCGAAGAAGCGAAGGACTACATGGACGCCTTTCTAAGTAAGAATGACTGGTCTTGCCGTGCCATATCAAAGCAATCTTTTGGCTTGTTTGCTTGTTTTGGACATGGCGAGGGAGGGAGAGAGAGAGAGAGATGAAAGATTGAGAAAAATCCAATGCCCATCCAACCTCAATCTAGAATATGGATGTTGAGGAATAATAGTTAAACACCAACACCCACACACCCACACCACTCGAGAAGTTAACCGTATATGAATATACGTGCATACAATGTTGCTGTTCAAAATTCTTCGAATAGACGTGATGTTGGCCGCCCCTAAGATCTCCACGATACTGCATGTAATTTCGCAGTTTTGGCAACTTGAACCATAGCGAGAGTATCACTCCGATCATCAAAGGACTTCCGGCATCTTGTGCTCATCTATGCCAACTGTTCCAACACGAACACAGATTCTGGTAATTCTGGTCTTTTGGGCATTGACATGCAGGGACTTTGTAGTTGTCCTCTCCATGACTGCATCCATACAATAAACATCTGATGCGTCCCCAAAAAAGTCACGGGTGAGACTCGAACCCACAATGCATGTTTACCATGATACCCCATTTTCGGGGCAGGTCGCCTTCGGCACAGAACCCGCTCGTTGCTTTCTACTCACACATTGCTTGCATTCAGGGAGAAGTGCAATACCAGTATGGTACAACTTCCTGCTGCGTGCATGTGATTTCTTGTTACTCCCCAGAGTATTCAGTGCTTCTGCTTGCTTTTCTTGCCACAGGGAAGTTCCCATCACTGCACCAGTATACCCAGCGAGTTGTACAGCAAAGCAGAGCTGATGGTGAGTAATTCACTGTTGATTCCTTTTGAACCACGACCTGGACAACACCACTTTCCACCCGAAGAGCCCGGCTCTATTCATTTTTCTTTCTCGCATGACCTCAAAGTTTCAGGCACTTCAGTCTTCCCGGCAACAGTATGTTCTCCGTTTTCCAGGCAGTAGTTTGTTCTCAGTTGCATAGAACCAGTAAACGGTATTCGTATATAGTATATACTGAAGTACTTACTCTGCTAAATTCGCATACCAATGTGGACATATTCTGAACCATAAGCGCTGCTTCAACTCAACCATTCTGCCTGGATAAAATAGATCATGAGTGCGCGTACATACTGGTATGTGTGCATGCGACACCCCTGTGTGTTATACTAAATGCTTTACATCTGTACAGGCTACTGCCGTTCAATGTTTGGTCGCCTGCGACTGATTCGTGACATCCGTGCACCAGTGGCAGGCAGCAGACTTCATGCTGAACGACAGTCGGGGAATTTTGTCATACAAGGTGGGTCTATAGTTGATGTGCAACTTAGTATGTGCATTAGTAATATTGGCAATTGCAATGTGATCTTATACTGGATAGCAGGTTTTTGCAAAACATGCATATTTTTTACCTAATAATCGTGCTGCATGTTATAATCAGGTTACATTTTGGACGGACTGCTTTTCTACAAGAATGCGACGTTATGAAAGGTATGTTTGAAACGCTGGTATAAATGTGTGTACTTGTACTCAAAACAGTAATAAAATAGTCATTTGTACATGAAGGCTCACAAGTCCGGGCAAATCGTGCTGTAGTTCATCCTTTTGGCAATGCATCCAAGCACGTTTCTAACAGTTGTAATCTGCTTGTATGATTGCTGCACATACATGTATCACACACTTACAGGCAGTGCAGCAGACCTTTGCAAAGCAGCCATGGTAAACCTTGCACATGCCATTCACCACCAGCCTCTGCTTCATGCCAGGTAGGCAAGACCCATCATTATTCACGACGTGCTCACACAGGACCTTCTTGTTCTAAGTGTAGCGAAAAGTGCATACTGTGCTCACATACACATCACAAAGGGTTGGTGTGGGTTGATCTCTAGTATGGAACAAGTACTTGTGTCTGTATTATGATGATGCTAGTTCAATCATTTCAGCTCCCAATTCCACTGATCGTGCTTTAATAATACATGTAGCTGACCGAACAGTTAGGTGACTGCATTATTGAGAAATGTTCCATTGATGTTCGCCCACAATATGACACTGAATAAATAGTAAAATGTGTTCGCTCAGCTTTCCAAGATGGGTGTGTGTGTATGTGTGTGTGTGCGCGCGTGTGCACGCCCGCGCACGTGCGTGTGAGTATATGCGTGTGCCTGTGGCATATCCGTTTCAGATTACTATTGCAAATTCATGATGAGCTCCTACTGGAGGTGCCAGATGATGAGCTAGAACAAACCCAAGGTACCGACTATAGTGTACTCACAAGTGGTGGAAAATGCAAAATATTGGGGATGTTTAGCAACGCGAATGTTCAGACTTTTGGTGGCGGTGATATTTTGCGGAAAAAATATTTCGAAAAGGAAACCCTGTGAGGTTTAGCAACGCAAAAGGAATTTTTCTCGAAGTTATTTGCACCGTACCGTATATGCAGCTCAGTATCAAGCAGGAGGCTGTCAATTTACAACTCTGTGCCGTCAAGTGCGTCCCAAGGAAAGAGAAAGTAACTTTCGCAAGTCACTGCAACTTCGCGTCCAAGTTTTCTAAGTTATTGTGGAACTGTTGCTGCTGGTGCCTCGCCGATGGCGACGTGTTGGAGTTCAAGGACGGAATTAGGAGCATATATTCTTCACCAAGACGTAGCGCTTACCTGATTGCTTATCATAGGACTTCAGCTCCATCACGAACTTGGTATGCACTTCGTGCTGTGATTTTCGTGTTTTTTGTTCACAATTGTATTTTCTCTCAACTTGAAGGGCTACCACGGGTCATACCCTTGCCTGGACATAGTCATATTTGTGTTTTCTGGACTCGTCCAGGCATACAGATTTTGAAAATATATAGTTTACCCATACCTACAACTCACAGAACTTGAGTTATGGCTGGTTGTTTGTACACGTGTTTGCGTGACCACCCCTCACATACATTGAGTAAGACCCACAAAGGGTTAAATTTCCGCTCTCAAGTTGATTCACAATTTGCGGCAACTTCCAAAGTGCACACTATACTGAGGTTTGATATGAGTGAGAATTTGGAGACTTTTCGTAATTCTGATTTACACAAACCTGAACATGTTTCACTTGCGATAGTCTCAGAACATGCAGCAAAAAATCAGAACTCGGCGATTGAGGAAAGTGAAATGGCCGACATACTCGTACACATACACACTTGATCATAATTATTCCCACCAAAAAATGCGCAATAAGAATTTTCTCCATGGGCGAATCCATCGCAGCTCAAGATCGAGGCACACTTGGCTAAGTACCCTTGTCATTATGCATCATGAATTCATGATTGTATGAAAGATCAGTAACTTGAACCCCAAACACATTGAACACGTGGCTACCGGTACATTTTGTTTTCCACTGTAGGTATGGTTTTCACTTCACCGCATCCACATCCTCTAGGGTGGATTTCGAGTGGGGTGAGATAGCAGTTGAATTTATATGCGCGTAGACACTGCAATCTGTGTATTGTGTGCTCATATGCACTCATGTCCATACAGCCCTTGTGTCACAAGTTCTGCAAGACACCAGATGTCTATGCAAGGGATTTCCTGTTCACCTCAAGGTACGTCTACTTAACCTGGTGGAGTGATGCTAGTCAGACTGTGGCAAAAAAACATAATTCTGGGATTACAAACCGAATCTCAATAGAAACTTGACGTCACCGTGGCAAAATTAAGGTCTGACGCTGCTGCGGTAAAGCAAGATTCACCTATGCCGTTCTGCTCCAAACAGGAGCTTGGCACTGGTACGCGATGGAACCTGCACTGATACACACAGGTTTTTCGTTGCGATATCTAAGTGCTTAGTGGCCACGCACAACACTCCAAAAAAGATGGCACTGAAGGTGCGGAAGGACACTGAGGCAAAGGAATTTGAAGGGATCCGTGATCAGAATACCACTTGACACTCGAATAGAATATAAATTTGGATTTTCATCCTTCTCATTTGTACATGTACGTACTGTTGTGATTTTATCCTGATCAATTTTCTTTTCGTCCGGCACCAAACATTTGCTGCAGCAGGCTGCAAAGCTAAACAGGTACTACATAACCATAGTTAGTAGAGTGTTTACTGAAGCACTGAAACAATACCATGATCACTTACAGCCCAGAGATTCATGTGCAGTGTTTGAAGAAAAGCACAACAGACAACTCGCAGCATTGGACGCTAAGCATGGTGCTGCTCATTTCTTTGACGTCCGTTGTCTCCCGTGTTGTATTGTGTCCTGCAGGTAGGGTTGCCTGTCTCATTGCGTCATGGCAAGACCTGGGGACAGATGAAAAGTATTGAGACAACTCCACCCACCACAGAGCCACCTTCTTCACAACATTGATCGAAGAAAGCAACACGTTTTCAACTATAAGCGAAGAAATGAACACAACTTCAGTGATAGAGAGAAAGACTGAGCAAAGAAGAACTGTCAAAAGGAACACGGACATGGGTGGAATACATGAAGAACACGATAAAACCATTCCATTCTTTCTTGTAAAATTAAATAGGACGTTGCCAGTTGTATGTATGCACGCTGTTTGGTGTAGCAGTACAGCTGCCCTGTGAATATTAATATGCCAATAGCTTTGCTCTTGCTGTAGCTCTACCACCACGCAAGCTGATGACTTCATTATGGCTGTGATCTACCTAACAGCAAATTCCAACGCCAAAAGAAATTTATACTATCTACTATCTATCTATTTTCAGCATGAGTTACATGAGGATGCATGAATTTGAGTAAGTTTGAGTGTGTCAATAGTCAGTGAATTGCATGATAAAAGAGAAATTTCCTAACAACAATGGAAGACTTGTATCTCGGACAATGCAACCTTCTAATCCGGATTTGTCCAGCGGATAACAGCGCTGTACAGCGGCTATTTCATGTGTGTTGTTGACAGGCTCATCTAGTGAACCTAGTCTGTATGTATTATAATTATGTGATGGTGGTGGTTCGTGGAACGAAAGATGGCAGCTACAGACCATTACATCATGTCGGCAGGGCCAGCTGCAACTCCATTAATAGCCAAATGCAATGACTGACAGAAGCCGGACAGAGTCTGAAACATGCAGGAAAAACAGAGGCAGACGCACAACATGCAAATTGTTCACGTTGAAGAAGAGAGAACATTCTACGATCATCAACAAACTTACTTGGTCCGGCTCATCGCAATGGTCGCTTATCTCCCACGCACTTTTTGACAGGTAAAACCCAGTCCAATCGCGATATCTAACTTACTTTTGCTTGGGAGGTTGTGATGGCAAGATCAAAGGAGGCACCAAAGAAAAATGATCGCGACTAGCGCTTTGAATCGCGATGTGTTCGACTTTTTTGGGAAGTGGGAATCTGTCCATTTACTGTCTGTGTTGCCAACAGCCAAGCGTAGTGACCCGAACACCGGAACTGTAGAGGAGTATGAGCGACAGCGTCATGCTGAAGAAGAAAGGCGTTTTCGATCTGGCAGCAGGATTACAAGAGTCGTGGTCAGCGTATCCTGCGGAGCGTATGACAGCTGTCTGGAGAGGCCTGTATACCTCTTTCGAAGGCTTTGCTGAAACACACTGTGGTGACACACAGGTCACACTGCCCACAGTTCCTTCAAGCACCGAAGTGACAGCCGCAACTGTTCCTTTCCCATTGCCGCCATACGACAGGCTGAGAAAGCAAGAGATACTCTACCAGTCTACGCCATGGCGCCAGCAGCTAGACACCAGCAAAGGTCAGCTCAAATAATGGCGGCAGCTCGAGTGATGCAGAGTGGAATGAACTCTGGACCGGTAAGAGTGTGAGTGCAAGAACGCGCTCCTTCACTGATATATTTTGTGCATTTTGCTTACCTTGCTTCCCTTCTTCGATTCGCTTCACCTGATTCCATTGCTGAGATTTTTTTCTTGTGGCGGAGAGTATCCATGTATCATGCTTCCTCACTATGCCTATTGAAAATTTCACAGAGCGGTAACAAAACTCCTGTTCTTAGTGGCGATAGATAAGCGAAAATTGCGATGAGCCGGACCAAGTATTTACAGGTACATGTGCATAAACTGCTCTACGTTTACCAGGGAGTCGTACTCAAACTAGGGAGGTGACACGGCACAGAAATCCGTGTCACAGGGGTTGACTCGCACCCGTGACCCCTCGTTGTTATTTTTGGAATAGTTCAGTCCAGTCCAGTCCGAAAGGTCATACTCGGATCGACTCGCCTTCTGTACTTCACCTCCAAGCGTGCAACGCAAGACCCGCAAAGTATGATTTTTCTGTGGGGAACGATTTTGCCATTGATCAAGTTTTTATAGGAGTGCTCAAGCATACTACGATTGCTGAGACGTCCCGAGCACGCTTGTTCAGGTTCTCTATTTTTGACGAGCCGGTCCTACAGCCCCCTACATTGTACCTAACGACGTAGGAGCTGACAATGTAAGAGGATTTCCCTGGAAATAATGATGATGGTGGTGTGACTGCTGCAGGAAAAATGCTGGCTGTTTATGACAGTATGACTAGATGTACAATGTAGCTCTCTTGTATGGTACTTAACCCCTGCTATAAATGTGTTGTTTAGGAAGACTGGTGTATTGCGCAAGTCATAAAGAAGAAATGGGGCAGATACACGACTTACAATTTTCAAAAACCAGCTTCGTGTTATGTCTAATTTGTGTCAAAATTGTAATATTTAGACATGACAATATCATTGGCTGTACTTCTCTAATATGGTACATAACCCCTGCTATAAATGTGTTATTTAGGCAGACTGGACCATTGTGCAAGTCATAAAGAAGAAATGGGGCAGATATACGACTTACATTTTTCAAAACCTGGCTTCGTGTTATGTGTAATTTGTGTCAAAATTGTAGTATTTCAACATGACAATATCACCGGCTGTACTTCTCTTATATGGTACTTAACCCCTGCTAGAAATGTGTTGTTTAGGAAGACTGGTGTATTGTGCAAGTCATAAAGAAGAAATGGGGCAGATACACGACTTACAATTTTCAAAAACCAGCTACGTGTTATGTGCAATTTGGGTCAATTTTTAGTATTCGGATTAACCTAGTGTTGTAGTACGTTACGACTCTGAACAGTTCTGAACAGTTACCGTAACACTACACGCTGTCTCATAACTGCTGCTGTTGCCATCACTGCTATCAAGTAGTTCGGACATGGCAGGAGGTAAACAAATTGCTGGTAGTCTTTCAAAGAATACTGGCGAGTGATGGGCTGTAAACGAAATGTTTTGCCTCGATAATTTCAAAAACTAGACACCCATGCTGCACGCTTGGAGGTGAAGTACAGAAGGCGAGTCGATCCGAGTATGACCTTTCGGACTGGACTGGACTGAACTATTCCAAAAATAACAACGAGGGGTCACGGGTGCGAGTCAACCCCTGTGACACGGATTTCTGTGCCGTGTCACCTCCCTAGTTTGAGTACGACTCCCTGACGTTTACGTAACAGGGGTGAGGCATCCCCCAGCTTCATAACTACATGAGATTTTTGAGCAGAGACTGCTCTTTCCCTCAGTACTGCGAAATCACAACTCATTCCACTGTAGCAGTTTCAACGGCGTTTCGGTAAATGACCATCTTCAGGTTGCATTTACTGGAACGTCGTTGAAACCGATCAGTGTGCTGAGTTGTAAAGTTTCAGAGCTGAGGGAAAGAGCAGGTGTGCTCCAAAAACCTCCTGCTCTACGTTTGCAGGCAAAATAGAAATGCACACATACACAACGTACATGTATACACATGGCAATTCCAACCATCCAGTGCTGAAGAGAAGTCAATGGATTGCTAGCACAACAAGAACTTACCTCCTCGACACTAGTAGCAGCTGGTCGTGGCTGCTGCCTAACAACGTCTTGGACAAGTTGCGACAAAGAAGCATGGACGGTTTCTAGCTGGCTGACAGAAAAGCCATTTGTTGACGTGACCAAATCAGACAGTACATGATCAACGACCTCAGTACTGACAAGACATTCCGCAATGGGCACTGGGTCAGCATGCTCGGAAGCTGACATTGCATCAACACCTACACATCAACAAAGAAGGAAAAGCTAGTTGTCAGCACTACATACTGTAAGAGAAAGCACGCAAAAATTGCATTTAATAGGAAGGAAAAAGTTGGAAGCTTTTTTCTGGGCTAGTTTCGTGATGTACACCGAGGCACTGGTGCCATGACAATGTCCTGGATGTCCCGCAAAGGACTATCACCTTGCATTGCTAATCTAGCCCGTGAAGGTAATTTCCCTTTACCGCATGTCACGCACCTGAACTGTAACAGGCAATCAACATCCTTAAGAGCGCATGAAGTTTTTCCAAAGTTCCAGCCAATTGTCTGTCTTTTACAATAATAGGGAGGTTTCGCTCTACGTAATTACGTATGAAAATCCGTATGCCGTACGCGCCGGGGAGCGAGGACAACTTTCATACGTAAATCTCTCTACGGATTTCCGTAGGAAAGCTCTTTCCTACGTTGGGTCCTCCGGAGGACTTTTTGAAATATTTTTCGCATTTTCCGGATATATCTATGGCAACGTTCAAGCTGCGCGAAACACAAGATACACACACCGTACACCACGTGCAAAAATAAATGGAAACGCGATTTCGGTTCTTGGTGCATGTGGTGGGCGCATGCAGCCAACGCGTCTCCAAAGCAACAAGGGATGTTTAGCAGTCATGGAGAAATCACGTAGAGTGAAACCCAACAGCGCTGATTTTTATGTATGAAAATTACGTGCAGTTCCTACGTTATTTTCATACGTAATTCCGTAGAGCGAACCCTCCCTAATACCACTCAGGAAAGAAGTGTCCCGAAAACAATACAATGTGCAGTCGACTCCTGATATAACGAACACCATCATGCAGGAGAATCAGTTCTTTATAGCCGAAGTTCGTTATAACAGAAATGCACTTACACTATACAAGCAGCTATTCATGACTAACACGTGGCCCATGACAGTATGACTACACTTGGTTTATATGCAGCCCTCTAAGATTTGGTTCGTTATAAACGAAAAAGTGTTCGCTATGAAGGGTCAATTTTGTATGGGTTCAAACAGGGACATGGACAATGGTTCGCTTTATGCGAGTTCATTTTAAGTGGAGTCAACTGTATCACTGTACTGCCATCTAAACTCACTGTTAGCGTTAGCTGGTGATGTCGACCTACGTTGCTGCTCACATAAATCACCAGAGGGAGATATTGCACCGGTAGAAGCTGCTTTAGTAGAGGTAGCACTAGCGGAAGAGGAACGGCTCACGGAGAAGGCAAGGCGCCGACTGACCCGTCTGTCCACATCCGAAGTCTCTTGGTTGCATGACGGTTGACTCGGTGAAGCACTCAACGGACTACTACTATCACGCGGAGAGGTGATATCCATGACACCCCCACTATCATTCATGCCCTGTGACGAAGTAGATGCTTGCTTGTCACAGGATGCCGGTCGGCCGGTCTCACCTCCCAGGCCCGAATCAGCGGCGGTGTCTGCAATGTCTGGTACACTCAAACATGCACTAGGACTTGCAGCTGGAGGCCGGTGGTGATCTGTACGCCTACTACTGTCATTGGGCAGCGATGGCGACGGGCTAGGCAAAGCACACGAAGAGTCACTGTCTGACGAAGCATGGACACTTGATAGAGGAACATTGGAGTCGCTCAACCTGCTATCAGGCCGTGCAAAGTCCTCACCACTACAGCACCTAGGAGAGGGATTGTCAAAGCCATTCCCCATCGGTGAGGGTGTGTCCTTCGTCGGCGTGCTCCAGATCTTCACAATTTCCACCGGATCATCGGGTTGAATGCCATGCACACGCAAGCTGCGACGCACAGAATGCTGAGACTCCTTGCCAGAGCCGTTACTTTGCGGTGGTGCGTCTTGGTTAGCATCGGAGCGGCTGGACATGCCTGGGTGCTTCGACACATAGCCGCGCTTTCGACGCGAGCCTTCAATCTCCAAGCACCGCTGCAGAGTGCAAAGAAGAGATACAAACGTAGCAGAAGAAATACCCAGTGAGCCATTTGACAAGTGCACATCTCAGCTAGCCTAGGTAGCAACTGGTGGCTTTATCAAAGTGTAATCACTGTTGCGCATGTTGAACAACCCAGACACAAGTCTACTCAAAGAATAACGTTACCCGGGAGCAGGTCAAATGGCCACATTGGATACTTTCAAGGAATAGAAAAGCAAATATTGGTAATTTTTTTATACAGAGACCCATTTTATCAATAACCAAGACGAGAAGTGTGAAAGGTAGAGAAATAAGTACACATGGCTCAGTTCAATACTTACTTCTTCAAATTCTTTCTTCATTTCCAGATCGATGAGAGATGATGCTACGTCTCTCAAAGTGAACGCGCGATGACGCAAGGCCTTGCCTCTGGGATTTGTTCGTGGGTTGTATTCAATGCAATTGGAAGCAATCAACTCGATGTCATTCAGCCACGCTCCACCAGATGTATACTTGTGTGCATCAATGCTCTGCATCACCTGTTCTAGGTCGATGGGATCTTTGATAATTTCCAGATAATCAGGAGCCTAAAAGTCACAGGAAAATCACAAAAATGCAGAATAATTGAACGAATACACCTGCAACATGCCATAAGATAACACGCTACCCGGTTACCATGCATACTCACTGCAACAAAAAGACACTGTCTACACACACACCCACCCACCCACACCCACACACCCACCATCACCATGCACGCATACGCAGGCATGTACACTGACCTCTTCCAAATCGACGGGTTTGCAGAAGGCCTTAAACTTGCGCTCCATCACGAGCTTGGTCGTGCAGTCACGTAGGAAGATACGCAGCTCACGCAAGTGCGTCTCTTCGTCCTCCAAAAGTTGTTTTTGCTCCGCGGCTGAGAGTTGGCGAGGCTCAGGAGCAGGTGCAACCGGCAGGGTGGGCGGTGTGGCTTCACCTGTGTAAATAGACAATGGCATAGAAAATTAAGTTAATTAACACATTGTGCATGTATGGTCAACACAAACAAACTACTAATCCCTTGGCTCCTGCACATACAGATTTCGATGACTTCAATCAGACATATGTCCTTTTGTATATTTCAAAGATGCACGTACCGCTTGCTGCCCACAAAGTCTACAGCTTTCCAATGGTAATGGGCAAGGGCATTGAATTGACTGAAGGTGACGGGGATCGAGGGCATTCCTAGCGGTATAGCAACTTCAGCAGACTGTACGTGTATAACTAGGTCTTCAACTTAAACGGCTTTGGATGATTGGGGCTTCTATTCAAGTGTGGCTTTTATACAAGACTTTACGGTAGTGGAATTACAAGAGGAAGGCAGAACAGCATGCAGACATTGGTAGCTGCACATACTACAGACTCGAGAGTACAGAGGACCAAACACTCGAGAGTACAGAGGACCAAACACTAATAATGACTATGTAGCCCGGGAATATCATTAACATGATTTACTGTATTGTTCATGATAGAACTGTGCCATATACGAGAAAAATCACAGCTACACACAGCAGTATATTGTAGTACCTCTCTCTACAACGATTGGTATAGCATTCACAGAACGCTACATAGCCTTACTTGTGGATGGTGTGGTGTCACTGCGGATTTGACGCCCAAAATCACGCAAAACAAAGACATTCACACAGCAGTGTGGGCAGAGAGGTCTAAATGATTTACCTTTGCTGGACACAACAGATGAAGGCAATGGTGTTGCCAGCCATGACACCAACATGGGTTTGAAGAACACATGCCGCTCATCCGACGATGGACACGAAACCAGCCTTGCTGAACGTTGGTCGGGCGCAACCTGCAGACATGCACCGTTTGTGAAAGGTTAACGTGCAGATGAAGACAAACATCTAAGACGCAACCGTTAATCAGGCCAAAACGGCAGCTTCATAAATTGAAGTGCAACACATACGATGCAGCTAAGCTCTTATGGTTACTCTCTCACTCTCTCTCTCTCACACACACACACCCACACCCACACAGGATATCTACTTTTGAGAAAGTGAAGAACTCACCAAGAATGGAGTGTGTGCAGTGCCATTTTGCCGTCCTATGGCCATAGCGCAACTGTAACATCAACCAGAAATATGCACAAAGAGCACAATTGGCACTGGCAAGCTGCTACTGGCCTTGAGAATTTGTAATCTGACCCCCGACCTGTGGTAGCGCACTTGGGTCACAATACACAGACACTGCATGTGATGCTCCATGAAAATGGCACGGACAGTATGAACTCTACATAGGCAACCATATATACTTGTAATTTGAAGTCTACAATAGGCAGCTACACAGTAGAGGTCTTCTATAGCTCACAGAGTGCTCGGTACTCGACCGGGCAGTGCTTTCTCACACAAGAGAAGGGGGAGACAGTGTTTTTTGGTTGCTATGGATAGTACGAACTCTAAGCAGCCACGGCCAGGAGGAAAACTAGACTGACATGCAATAAAGGCATACCTGTTACGTAGGGTAGTGGATGAGTTCGAGAAGAGCTCCACAATACTGCAGTCAAGTGCATCATCAATCTCTTTCTCAACGGTACCAAGCACAAAGAGTGGCGTTGACGGTGGAATGTTACTCAGCTGTGCTTGGATTGCTGCCAATACGGTGGCAGACAGCGATGACCACCACAAGTGGAGACGAGGGAGATAGAGAACACACGGTGCTGTGCGAGCTGCCTCTCGTATCAACTGACCACACCACAATCATGTACAACAGAAATGAAAAAGAGCAGACGCACTCCATGGATAGTTGACACACGAATTAAAACTTTTAAAACCTAGTAGAGCTCCACGGCTACCAACATTCAAATACTCTCATTTCAAGCAATACAATCCGAGAATACATACATACAATTCCAAAATAGGACTAGAATACAGACGTTCCAAGTAATGGCAACAAATGCCAGTGGTACTAGACCCTACCGTTGCCCCGAACAAGAGCAAATAAGCTGCAGAGTGCAGTACAACTGTTCGGTCCTCCACCTTCTTCCATTATACGATTAGTAATATGACTACATGTATTAACCCTTTACCATCCGACCAAATTTCCCCAGCAGTCCCAAATGCAATAATTCCCACCTTATTCTGAGAATATCTTCGGTTCTAATCAACCAATTTTCACAATCTTGGGCATTCTGGAAAGCTCTCCACGAGCTGCGTACATTGAGCTCAAACAGGGCACTACCGAGATCACATATCCAGCGCCAGGGAGCTTCAAATACACCCCATCGCTGTATATACGAGGAAATTCTCCCCTCGTCAGCCATTTCTCGCTCCTTCATCGTAAACATTCCAAATGTTTTGCTTGAGTTTCTTTTCATGCTGCCCACGCGCTCGAAGCATGCCAAAGTGACTCAGCATGTCATGAGAGGGGAAAATCCCCGCTCAAGGTCAGTCACTCGGAAAGAAATTCGACTTTTGCCGTAGCTGAAATGTCGAGCAAAATATCTTTGGAATGCGACATCGCAGCTCTTTACCGATTGATGCAATGGAAAGCTGGGTTCCTCGGCTTCTTCCTAGATACTTAGTTCTTTAAATTCCGCCAAGAATCGATCGAGTTACGAATGTTTTAGTGTATGCATGTCCATCGATCTCTAGAGATCGATTCAAGTACGCATGGATGGTAAAGGGTTAATAGGTCGCGGCACTGAGTTATGTCTTGTCTCATGTCACCATCTGTGCATACGCGTGTGCTCGCGAACTGAACCATTTGAACCGTGAGCAGTACTTTGATCCATATTTGCATGCAACCTACCTTTATTCATACATGTACTGATAGTGTAGTCAGCTCTGTTGTTAGTTTTCTGTTTCGCAAGTGGAGACAAGTTTTAGTTTGTTTTTCCTCTGCTCGAATGATGTGTTTGTTCTTGCAATAAGTCCTTCCGAATAATACCCTTCTCCTTGTCTGAGTCCTGTTCCATCGTGTCTGTTGTGAGAGTCAAGTGACTTTATTAATGAGGGTTGTGACAGCCCGGACAGCACGAGATTACGAGTCCAGTGATCCGACATTCTGGTCCTTCGAGCCGGATACTGTGCGACTCGTCAGGAATGGACACATCGGAACATCAGACATCAGAAGTGGACCACGGAGCGAGCGTTGCTTCTCCTCGTGAGGAAGCTGCTGCTGCCGCCGCTGAGGACACGCTCGGAGAGTCAAGAAATTCGAGTGATGTTTCGGTTCTCGAGAAGTTCGTGATAGATCGAAGCAAATTGAAGAGCAGTTTCACAAGAGTGGCTGGCGAGTTGCAGCGGGAGTTTGCTAAAAGAGCACCAAGTCTGCGGTACCTAGCTAGAGATTTACAAAAAGCTGAGCAACTGGATCAAGAGATTCGGGAGCTGGTTACCAGACACAGGGAAATCTTGGAGTCAAGAGATGACGACCGGGAACTGCTCAAACTAGATGGTTGGGACAGGGCGTACAGGACGCAGCGATCCTTCCTCTCCGATGTAAGCTCATACGTAGAGCGTGAGGAAAGGATGCAGGCTTCAACACGTAGTCCCTCCGTTGGTGTTGGCAGAAGCAGTTCCAGGTGAAAATCGAGAGGTACCCTGGACTTGGATACCATGGAACAAATGTTGATGGTAGCAGAACGTGCGCCAGATTCTGATATCCCTGGTGCCATTGGTCACACTTCGTTGCAGACGAGCAACAAGAGTCCTGTCACTGCAAGGGCTGCTGAAGTCCATGAAAGCAGTATGGATGGCGTGCCTGCTGGCAATGCTGGTCATTCATCAAGTGGTGCTGGGCACCCAGCCATGCAGACTGTAAGTTCTAGTCTTGCTATTAGGAGTGGCAGAAGATCAATGCCTGTGCTTGGTAGGACACCCCCTTCTTTGACACCTCTACAAGTCAATAGGCCAGGTAGTGTATTGAGTACACTCACTACATTCAGTAAGTTGGCTGGTACTAGTAGAAGTCAAGCAAGTGTGACCACCAGGTCAAGGGCACCTCAACTGGCTCTGGATGTGGATAGTGGATACACAAAGTGTGAGTGCTGTGCAAGTTGCTAAACAGCATCAAGTATTAGTTTCTACTGTGAACAGTGGCAGTGTACAGTCAGTACCTGTGACCCCAGTGGCAGCTCCCTGTGCTCCACCAGTGCTAATGTCTGCACCCACAGCCACCATGCAGCTACTAACAGTGCATCAATCGGTAGCCACAGTTACGATTGATGCCACAGTTAGCAACACTGTACCTTCTCCAAGTTCTTGGTCAGCCCAGCAAGCATACACCCAGGCAATGCCACCACTGCAGCCTGCGCTGCTGCAGCAGCCACAGCCGCAGACAGCTGCACCTATTATTTCAAAACTGCCAATTTTCAACCCAGCAGCTGGACAGCTCAATCCATCGGCATCATCGTTCAAGCCCATAAGTAGGCCGGCAGTTACCCTGCCTGTAACAGCACCAGTAACTGTTCAGTCGACACAGCTTCCACAACCATCCTACAAGCCGCCCATCATGCCGGTAGTAATAGAGCAAACTGTGAAGCCCATGGAACTGCCTAAGTTTAGCGGACTGGACCAGGACTACATTCCGTGGCACCAAAGGTTCATCCGCGTCATCCATGAAAATCCCCGGTACACGAGCGGTCACAAACTCGCGAGGCTGCGTGAGGCAGTGGATGGAGGCCGTGCTGCGGAGATTGTGAGAGGGATTCTGGATGGCCCGGACGCCTACAGCCATGTATGGACCGAGCTCGATGCTTGGTATGGTGGTAGCGACAGGCTAATAGAGCACCAGATTCGGGATGTAGTGAGTCAAGCACGTATTACCAGTGACGCAGACTTGAGTGGGCTGCAACGGTACGCCATCAAGCTCCGTACCACTGTCGCCAACATCCGAGCAAGTGGTGTGAGTCCTGGAGTTGAGCTGTACATAATGGCGTCCGAGAAGGTACCCAAGCGTCTCTTGGTAAAGTATTTCGAGAGGCATGGCCAGGTCAATGACGTCTTCACGTTCTCCGCATGGCTGGTGGAGCACGTCCGCATTCTGAAGCGGGCAGCCGACAGGATTCCCACTGAGCGCCCCAAAGACATCAGCAGTCAGGCTACCAGGGAACGATCCACGGCCACGCACCGAACGTTTGTTGGGACTCATGACGCCGTCAGCAGCGGTGCCAAGGCGTCTTGCAAGAAGTGCAGTGGGCAGCACACCCTAGCCGAATGAAGCAGCTTCAAGGCATTGTCAACTAGCAAGCGTTGGGATTTGGTGAGGTTGCTCGAGCTGTGTGCATGTTGCCTGTCATCTGGGCACTGGGCCGCTAGCTGCAGCAAAGACACCTGCAGTAAGTGCAACAAGCGGGATCATGGTTTGCTGCATGCTGAGATGAAGGGCCAGACAGGTGCGAGGCGCGGGCGACCCTCGCCGGCTCAGAGGTCTGTCGCCAACCATTCCTCCTCGTCCACCACCAGCCGTACTGGCGCTGGCTCCATTGGCAACTGCTGCAGTGAACGAGAACAGCCTCAGTACGCATGGCTGTGTTACCACTGCTGCATTCATGGTGTTGCAGGCCGATGTCATCGGCGAACATGGCAAGAAGATGAAGGCCACTGTGCTGCTTGACTCCGGATCGTCTTGCAGCTACATAACAGAGGATGCAGCTCACAAGCTGGAACTTGAAGGTCCGAAGTCCAGTGTTGCCACATCATTATAGCCAAATATCAGTAGGATAAAAAATCAAAATGCATCATCCAGGGGCTTCAACCTCGGACCCTCTCCCCTATACAGCGACCTCGATACACGCACACGCGCGGCACTGATAAGAAAAAAATTTCACGTTTTGCGTGAGACTCAGGCTGAGTTTGCCGATTTTTCTCGAGACGGATGATGATTTCGTTTAGCGCCTTAGGAGAGAGCTATGGAAACACGCGTAATGAGCAGTAAAAGTCAAAAATCTGGATCATGACTTCTAAACCACGCATAAGGTCAAACTTGGACACTTTCATGGCTGTTGTCGGCAGGAGAAGGTCAATTGTCGGCAGGTCGTGACATGCCTCAAAAATCGGCAGGCTACTGACATGTCGGCAGGTGTGGCAACAAAGGAAGTCACAAGTGGAAACGGCATTAATCGGCGGCGGCAAGGTGACTGGGCTGAGACAACAGGTCAGCGTCAGCGTGTGCTGCACTGATGGTGACACTCCGAGCGTCACTGTGCTTGATGCCCGAACAAGAGCAAATAAGCTGCAGAGTGCAGTACAACAATACAACACAGTGGAGTACAGTAGGGTAGAGTAAAGTAGAGTAGAGTGCAGCAGGTCTTACCTGAGCACAAGCCTCCTCTGGACTATGCGCAGTGACCGAGTAGAGCGTGGACATGTCCAGAGTGTGCATTGGCAAACGCTCTAGAGAATGCAGAAGCGCCGGCGCAATGTGATCGCACACCCCACTGCCAGCTGGTCCATACAGCAGCAGCCGCGGTCGGTGTGGCAAGGAAAACGCCGGCAAACAGTGGGTCACAGCACTGGCAGATGACGCAGCACCTGCACTACTGCTACACATGCCATTGCTGTCTCTGTGCATCGGAATACCAGACAGTGAACTGAAAGCAGAGTCCAAGCGCACAGGACCGCCGATACGCTGGCCATTGACTGATGGTGCCTCTGCAAACCATCAAAGCAAAGACATAACAGAATGTCATGAGCCATCATCAATGGAATTCTTGTAAAATACAGAGGATTACTGTAAGACATGCACCAAATTTGAAATTCGAATGGCCAAACGCTGCAGGAAAGTGTACTTTGTATGCCAGGTACTTCTTATGAAGTTATCCCAACAATGGGCCAACATATTTCAGTATCAGTCAGTTCACCTTTGCACCAGACAATACCTACATCAAGCAAGAGTATGCCTTACCCAAGTACATACCAAGTGAGTTTCAATGTATCAGGCGTTGCAGTCACAACGAAATGTATTGTTACACAATAGCAAAGAGGTGCCACTGAATTTACTTACTCATTACAATTCACGTCTTACAGTAGAGCAAACAAGGTCAGCAGCAGTGTTTGACCATTAGAATTTCAAAGTCAAAACAGTCTGCCACGACACCACCATTCCTTGTTGGGGGACCATATACAATCATCACAACACCAACAGCAAGAGATTCCAGAATAATGAAGAGTGCAGTGTTCGTGTCGAGAGTAAAAAATCACGGCTCGCGTTACACTCAGTTAGACTGAGCTTTCCGCATGCGTGGGATAAGAGGTAGAGTGAGGTGACTAGGATTAAGAGTATGAGCAGAAGGTGGACTCAGAAAAAGACGCAAGAAGAGACTAACCTTTACACGAGGGGAACACCTGCTCGGCAAGTCGCTTCGCCTGTACGAGAGCGGCATCCAGAAGAGGTGCAACATGTGCTTTGAGTGGCCATGATGGGCTGGCGTGCGAGCGGACAGTAGTAGGCACCACAACGTGCAGTGCTGACGCAAAGTCACCTGGCCCTATTTTGATCTTTGACATGTCCAACAGCAACTTGTCACGGGCAGAGTAAATCTAAAACAAAAAAACAAAAAAAAACAAAACAAAGAGCCAGCAGCAAATATAACCACGTGATACCATACACCAAACGCCACAAATTAGACTGCAACCTGAACATTGTCCTCTCTGGCGAGACCATCATACCGGTAGTATACAGTGAAGTTGGTTTCAAAAAAGCCTGATGTTATTCCTGTACAAGTCAATGTGATGCTAGACCTCAAGCCAGGGCTTTCTGTACATTACGCCAACACCCGACAGGTGTGACCCATCTTGAAATCAGGTGTGTATTCAAAACAGGCTTCCAGATGAGACAGATTTGTTTACAAGAGTAAACACACACACACACACACACACACACACACACACACACACACACACACACACACACACACACACACACACACACAAACACACTTACTTGAGGATAGGTGCGGCGCAAAGCACACAGTGCTACCTCCGAGCAGAGAGCCTTGACATCAGCACCGCAGTAACCAACAGTACGATCAGCAAGGGCGGAGACAAACTCATCCGACAGCGGCGGGTCCCATGCCTTGGTGTGGATTTTGAGAATGTGACGGCGTGACTAAACCACACAGTAGGTGCATTATAATACACACGCACACACAACAATATTTCATAGGACACCATGACACCGGACCACTCTACATCAACAGAAGCAGAAGTCAAGGTGACGTGCAATACCAACACTGTCAAATTCGACATCCACTGGCAACCCACTGCATGGGTTAGACCATTCAACTCAGCCACTGCCCTGCACACACTGAACATGATGACAACTACATGTTGTAGCACATGTACAATGAAGTGACAAGTCATGCTTAAAGCAGCTGTATACAGATAAACACATACCTCTCGATCAGGCAGGGGGAAACGGAATTCGCGATCAAACCGCCCGGGTCTTCTCAACGCAGGATCGATGGAGTCAATTCGATTGGTGGCACCAATGATGACCACCTCACCGCGACTATCCAAGCCATCCATCAGGGCCAGCAGTGTGCTGACAATAGATGAATGGATTTGGTCTTGACGTGTACTCCGCACCGGCGCCAGACCATCGATTTCATCAAAAAAGATGATGGACGGACGCATGTTGTATGCCTACGGAGCAAGGGAGAACCAGACACCAGATGAGGAAAAGATATAATAAATGTTTTCTCTTGTCAATATTCAAAACATAAACACAGCATAGCACTATGACATGATGTGAGTAAGTAAACTTCTAGAATTTAAAAAAATTGAGGGTCATCCCATCATAAGTACATTAGCGATATCATTCCGATATGTATAAGCCATCAACACCAATACTCCTCCTAACCTGGTCAAAAAGTAGACGTAGCTGACGCTCTGATTCTCCCACCCATTTGCTTAAGCAGTCGGCACCCTTTCGCATGAAGAAAGCAACACGTTGCTGACCGCTGGCTAAGGTGCCACATTCATTGGCCAGAGCACGTGCAACAAGAGTCTTGCCGGTGCCAGGCGGGCCATGAAACAACACACCTCGCGGTGGCTGAATACCAAACTGATTGAAGACCTGGCACACAGTCACACATCAACAGACAGAATACGTTCGCATGCTAAGCACAACATGTCAAACTTTTTTCTTGACTACTTGAGAACGGGTTACTTCACAAAAGGAATTGTGTGAAACCATGAAGTAAGAACCAAAGCAAAAGGGCAACCCAAATTTGGCAATAAATAGAACACTTGACCGAAGTGTAAGATTGACACAAAGGCTTGATGAGAAACCGTTACCCAAATGGCCTACTGGTGTGCAAAGGCGAAGGCACGTCTCTGCCCAAGTCATTTCATGAGGATCGACAACCTCAATTCTACCTTACAGGCAGAACACACGTCAACATGACCCAGACCTACTAATCTGCACAGCAAACTACACGCCTTTGTATGATATCAAGTTACATCCACGCACTAATGTAACACTGGTATGCTATTCTTTATACCTGCTGCCCTGGCAAGCAATCAAGATAGCACTCACAATGTCAGTTCCGCCACTAACACAAACCACCTACCTCCGGATAGAGCAGGGGAAAGACAACCATCTCCTTGAGGGCGCTGACTTGATCACCGAGACCGCCGACAGACTCAAACGACACCGACCGGTCAATGCTCATTGGGTCAATGTCAGCCAGACTAGCGCCAATGCGCATGCGGTCACGCGTAACAGTATGGGTGTGCAAATCCTGTTCGCTGAAGTTCATCGGCAAACAGCGGTCGCGTGCCTTTCTCATACTTCGCGACTGCAATGTAAACATCAAACAACCAGTACAATTGAATACCATTCAGATGAACGTTTTAAAGTCTGTGTTCACACTCCAGTATACATAGTCACCCGGTGTATGATCATACCCACACAGCCACAATAAGAGAATGCCGACTCGAAATAGCAAATATACAGGTGGAATCCTGAATATCCCCCCCCCCCCCCCAAATACAGCGGGGAAAGGGCTTCTAATAAATTATTAGTAATTATCCATTATTCTAAGCTTCCAAACATGTACTTGTACCCAGAGCACATAATGCAAGTCATAATGCTAGCACTGTCACGCAGAGCTACAGGCTATGCACCTTTAGACACAGATTTCTAGGACACTGAAATGGCCAATACAGCCGGCTCCTGAAAACAGAACTGACCAGTACAGTGTACAGTGAACTTCGAATTACACCTTGCTAACTTCAAATTATTAGCAGGAATCCCACACATTTTCTATTTGGTGGTACTTCTAAATTCTAATTGAGCGTGCATGCCCAGTTCGAGCTTTGAACCAGGGAGTAGTAAAATACAGGGAGGTGACACGCCACTAATCGTGATTTTTGATGGGTGCCTCGCGCTTGTTTTTTTTCTTTCGCAAAAAAAGATGATCTGCTGAATCAATCTTGAGTATTTGTCGAAGAACTAATTCCGTGAAAAGGTCTATCCATCTCATGGAACAGCATTTGTTTTGCTCTTGTGATACATCTGTGTCATCGTCATATGGAAAGGTACCACCCTTCCGAAAATCGTCCCGATCGACGGCATGGAGCAATAGAAGGAAGGTGATATCCTTGAGAACAATACGTGTACGATTGGAGATGAAAAGCGAGTGCACAGATTTCGAAGTCGAAAAAATCTCTAGGACACCACACGATCGCCCCTAATTTCTCCTCAGTTGTGATCAACCAGTACTTCTCTACCTTCTTTGTGATGATGAGCATTTCATATTATGGTATGCTAGAGATTCGGGAGTTCACTTTTCGGAATGAAATGTTCCTAAGTTTGTCAAGGATTGAAATGCGGGCTACGTCGTCGTAAACAGCTTGTATCGACACAGGAAAAATCTACGGCACACAGGGATATCTCGCAAAGTGATACCACTCTTGCTGGACTTCTATCCTGACATAGTGGTAGTTTGGTCGACTACCAAACTTTGTGAAGGCAGACAATTGTTGGAAATTCTCAGCGCTGAGTTTCTACGGGCTGCAGTAGGAGTCTCTTTGGCGGTAGGTATTTTACTACTCCCTGATCGAGAGAATCCTGATCCGCGCGCGTGTCTACACACTTCGGTACCCATAGTACCCCAATCTCACCCGCCGGGTGAAAACGGTGCTGAGGCAATCGTCAAACTGGCCGTACATGCTCGTGTCACCTCCCTGTATTTTTCTACTCCCTGGTTTGAACTGTCAGGCAGTAGTGAGGTTCTGCTCTACGTTTCGGGAACATGATGCAAAGAATCACGCGAACTCTCTTCGCGTTCCCGTAACGTAAAGAAATCCAGTTCTGCTCTACGTTTCACGTAGAGAAGTCATGCGGGATGTGCACTGGGATTTTCCCCTTCTATATTTGGCAGTTTTCTGCCTGCACTCGAATGTTACCCAGCAGATCCGTACGCATTTTCTTTGCGTGTGCCACAACGTAGAGAACCTCATCTCCGCGTAGAAATCTGGACCCAAAGCACGCGAAGCCGTAGACTCTAACCCAGGCACCTGCTCTCTACGTTTCACGTATAGCAGAACCTCTCTATTAGCTATTTGGGAGTCACAAACTCAATAATGAAAAGTACAAGACATGCGCACAACAAAACTAGGCTCTACCAAAACTTGAAAACAAAAGGAAACCACCACTCTGCATGCATTTTCCTAAAACTACATGTCCAACTTCTGCACAAGACCCGCATGAGGAGCAGATACATTCCTTATACCTACATACATTTGAGTGACGATGCATTTTCTGAAGCAGTATCTAAACAAACAGACATCTAGCTCTGTCAAAACTGAGATAGAAGTAGAGGCGAACAAACACATAGGCTATACTCAGATGTGGCATTACCTTTCGTCGTTCAAACTTGCCCTCATCACCACTGCTGCTGCCAGAGGTGCTGGTGCTAGAGCTGTTGTTATGAGCGCGCTGGTGTCGCCTTGAGCTAGACAATTTCTTAGCTGGTGACCTGATGGATAGGCTGCCACTCGAGTAATGTCGCCGATGCCGAGCAGGAGAATTATGACCGAAGCGCGGCTCACGGTGACCACGCTTCATGTGCACAACAGGCGGAGGGGCTTGATACCGGTCAACAGTAGGCTTCTTCTTACGCAGAAAGTAGGAGCGCTGAGGTGGCAGATCCTCTTCGCCTTCTCCCTCTTCCTCCTCCTCTTCTGCTTCGCCGTCTTCTTCCATCTCTTCCTGCTCGCCATGTCCATGACTGTGGCGTGGCACTTTGATAGTCCGTGGCCGCAGACCTGGTCTCCTTACTTCTACTTCCACCAGTTCCATCTCTGAACTCTCGTTGTCCTCTTCTTCCTCCTCCTCCTCTTCTCCTTCTCCCTCCTCCTCTTCTTCGCCATCTTCACCATCATTCTCCTCTTCATGCTTGACTCGGGGTCTACGGCTGCACTCCCTCTTGTCCAAATCGTCGCAGTGATCAGCCTTGACCGATTCTCGGCTAATAACTGACATGTTGAGAGAATCAAAATGAGTGTGCCGTTGTCGCTGACTGCGCCGTACACACTCCTCAACCTCCTCGTCTTCATCATCCCCTTCTGGATCTTCAAGTTCAACATGTTTGTTATGGCGACGAGATGAACGGGAGTGTCTGAGCTGCCGGGAAGATGCCGGTGACCCGTAGTGTTCGTTATGCCGTGAACCACGGCTAGCTAGAGAGTGAGACGGATGAGAACTGCGCCTAGCCTGACAGTATTGCGGTTGCCCAAGAAAATCATCATCACCACCACTGTCCAGCTCTGGGGAGAAAAGAAACAAAACACAGACGTACAGATATCTCAGACCTGCCCATCGCAGAAGCGATGATAGCGAACAGCTATGTTAGACATAGCAACTTGTGCTGGGAATACACCATTCAATAGCTTGCAAGGCTGATGAATTGACCGCCATACAGACACAGACACACAGACATACACTACTACTACTACTACTACTACTACTACTACTACTACTACTACGTACAACTGCCACAAAATGGCCGCGTCGCTCCCAGAAGCGGAGACAACAGCGAGAAAGGAAAAGAAACAAGGAGAGTAATTGAGGTGAAAGGGGACTGTTCTACACACACACACACACACACACACACACACACACACACACACACACACACACACACACACACACACACACACACACACACACACACACACACACACACACACACACACACACACACACACACACACACACACACACACACACACACACACACACACACACACACACACACACACACACACACACACACACACACACACACACACACACACACACACACACACACACACACACACACACACACACACACACACACACACACACACACACACACACACACACACACACACACACACACACACACACACACACACACACACACACACACAAAAGCAGGTGGCTATTTATACACAAACAAATTTATAGGGTATAATAGTTAGACCGACAGGTTATAGTCTTCAACCAAAGGCCAACCTTCAATGAGATTGCAGCACTATGCAGTAATTTATGTCAGGTAGCACTAGCTCAAACCAGAAATGACCACTTGCCATACCTGCGTCGAATAATGCTGAACCTCCTTCACCCTGAGATTTTTCATATTCTCGTTGAGTTTCCAATAAAATTTTCCTGCAGTGAACAGAAGACAGCAGACAGCCACAATCAATTACCAGCATACAGTATACTGGTATGTACGATGATGAATATTATGAATATTGGGGACAGGAAAGTCATTCTGCACCTCTCCACCCTACCAAATCGTTTTGCTCTGTCCACAGTGTTGAGTGCACGTTTGGTTCTTTTCGTAGCTTTATTAGACTTTAATACAGTGAAACTTGTCTAAGGCGACCACACAAGGGACGAGAAAAAGTGGTTACCTTGGCCAGGTGATCTTCTTATCCAGGTTCAGTTCATGTGACTATATTCACAATACCATAGTGTCTTGCATTAAAGGGGAACTGTCACCAAAAATTTTCTTTGTCTTATCTTGTAGTTCTTTGGCTCCTGATCACGATGGTGTTATTCGTTTTTCTCTGCGATGACTGGAAGTGGGTGAAAACTTGAAATGAAGGTACCCAAAATTGTCCCGAAGTACCGAGTGACGTCACGCCGGACTTGACCTCCACGCGTACTTTCATCGTCAAAAACGAAGTCCAGCCCGTGTGCTCGTCGATCGAGCCAACTGTTCGATGTACGGTGCACGCTTGCCTTCTGAACTCGGACATGTCGACACTCGATGTGTACTTTGTACACAATGAGAACGCCAAAAAGGGACAAAAAAATAAACAAAAGTCGACTGCAGTTTGTCGCACTGGTACTTCCTCCACGAAGCTCCAGCTCTTTGTTTTATTTGTGATTACGAAGGAGTGGAAGGATGTTTGTTTGCTGTTAGTGTGACACACATACCTCATACTTGAAAATTATGTCGTTGTATCGAAGGTGGCGATGTTGCCCACCCGGCTCTGAAATGAAAGACGTCGGAGTTCGTCATCTGCATCTTGAGCAACATCGCCAGATGAATCGCCTTCACGTAACTACATTGCGTTCCTTTGGGGCTCGGGTTGGTGGTGTTATCGCCGGCCGGAGGAGTACTGTTTTCTGCACACGCACTCATCATCGTGTTGTTCCTCACACGAAAAGTTCAAAACAACGGCGTACTTCCGTGCTCACAAAATAAAACTTAGATCCTCGGCCTCGCGGAAGAAGTCAAAAGGTGAAAGCTCAGCTGCTTTTTATTTTGATTTGGCTGTGTAGCTGCACGTGGGTCTCTGCCTCTTTGGCATTCTCCTTCGGCTTCGGTACGACGTACCCATCGATCCATCTGTGTTACAGTTCAAAAGGCACACGTGCACCGTACATTGGAACAGCGAGCTCAATCGACGAGCACGCGGGCTGGACTTCGTTTTTGACGACGAATGTACGCGTGGAGGTCAAGTCCGGCGTGACGTCACTCGGTACTTCGGGACAATTTTGGGCACCTTCTTTTCAAGTTTTCACCCACTTCCAGCCATCGCAGAGAAAAACGGATAACACCATCGTGATCAGGAGCCAAAGAACTACAAGATAAGACAAAGAAATTTTTTGGTGACAGTTCCCCTTTAACGCCTATCTCGTTTAGAAGCCTGTTTTGAATAGAAGCCTGATTTCAGTATACACTGCCAACGCATAAGCCTGGTTTTAGTGTTGACACACATAGAAATACCTGGTTTGAATAGAAGCCTGATGTGAATATAAGCCTAGCCCTGACATCGGCTTCTACAGGAATAAATAAAAAAATAAAATTTCATGGTTCGCGTGAGACTCGGCTGGAAGCCGAGTTTTCCGCATCCGCCGTGGGAACGCCACCACCCTCTAGGATCAAGGAATACGCCCGGCTTTTTACGGTATACATGTGACAGATCATTTTGATCAGCGTATCACACTGGCAGTGTTGCCACATCATTATAGCCAAATATCAGTAGGATAAAAAATCAAAATGCATCATCCAGGGGCTTCAACCTCGGACCCTCTCCCCTATACAGCGACCTCGATACACGCACACGCGCGGCACTGATAAGAAAAAAATTTCACGTTTTGCGTGAGACTCAGGCTGAGTTTGCCGATTTTTCTCGAGACGGATGATGATTTCGTTTAGCGCCTTAGGAGAGAGCTATGGAAACACGCGTAATGAGCAGTAAAAGTCAAAAATCTGGATCATGACTTCTAAACCACGCATAAGGTCAAACTTGGACACTTTCATGGCTGTTGTCGGCAGGAGAAGGTCAATTGTCGGCAGGTCGTGACATGCCTCAAAAATCGGCAGGCTACTGACATGTCGGCAGGTGTGGCAACAAAGCACTGGACACACCTATGCACGACGCATGTGCCTGGGGCCGTGGGGGCCTCAGACTTGTCAAGTGTTGTGCATGCACCATGTACATGTACATCTACACTTTCTGCGCTGATGTGTAGATCTACCAGGGTCCATGTGTGGTGCACAGTCAGTGCAATGCGTAGATCTACATGTACATGTAGCAGTGTTCAACGCAGTCGCGGGTCACGGGGTGGTCGTCGGTCACGTTGAGCGAGTGGTCGCCTTATCTGAGCTGTTTTGAATGTGAATGCGTCCGTGACAAGGAAAAGTGGTCGCCATGGTCGAGTGGTCGCCATGTCTGAGTGGTCGCCATTACAAGTTTTACTGTATTCTGATGATCGTTTTCTGTGTGGTCTCGTTGACGTAGCCAAAGATATTTGCGTGTTTCGGAGAGTCTACTAGTATCTACATCTTCACCACTAAACCGCTCCTGTGCAAGCTGTAGAAAATGTTGTTCACACTGAAATTGTTTGAAAATTTAGATCAGTAGTCCTTACTTTCATGTTTAGATCAGTAGTCCTTACTTTCATGTTTGCACGGTTACTTTTTGTTGTAAATTTACCTCATTTCTTGTCACCTGGTTCCGATTGGTGTTATGTCTCTCACCTTTCATTGTTCGAGCTGATTATGTATAATTTACTATTCTGCAGTGCGCCAAATTAGGCCAAGCCAAAGAATACACTTGATGATCGTCCTTTTCTCAGAAAAAAATGAGGAGGGCGGGTAGGTTTTATTATTATTATTATTTTATGCATCATCATGCTTGATCAATGAGGGTGTGTTAGTTGGTACGATCTAGAACAGGATCGAACAGCTAGTGCACAACATGGAGCAGCCTCATGCCAACCAAACGGTACTCCAGAAACAGAGAACATTTCTGTGAAAAGTGTGCCAAACTTGGATGTATTCTTCAAAAATGTGTACAGGTTTGGGACCAAAATCAATGTTCCCGTCAGGTTTCACTGTGAAAAAGAAACTCTCCGTACGTACAGACTGGACCTCTGAAAATAAATAAAATTTCCCGGACGCCCCCAAATTTGGAGCGGGCGGGACGATCATCAAGTATATTCTCTGGCCTGGCCTTATATTGAGTTCTTGGATCGAGCTTTATTAGAATCCATGATGTAATAAAGGACATTGTCATGTTACAGCATGTAGCAAGCTAGCAGCACAGGGAATGCACTTCAGTTTCATCAACTGTCAAACATGACGCAACATGACGTCATGCTAGTACACATACATGCAATTGTTTTTACAGATTTGGAAACATAGCATGCACGATATGACTTTGGTGCACTGACGTACCTGGTAGATCGCCGAGGGCCATACATGAAAGGATCTTCTTCGTTGGTCTCGTCAACATGACGTCTCCTCTTTGGAGCTGGCCCATCGTTGGTTGACTTCTTGGACTAAAGATATAAACCAACAAGAAATAGGCACCATTCTCAAGCAAGATGGGTCACAATACTCGACCTCAAAATCACCAAGTCTGCTTACATCTTCTTGCTGCCGACTATGTTGGCGTTTTCCACGAGCCATGTCTGCTTCGTCCGTCTCGTTCAAAGCTTCGTCACTTTCGTAATCACCTCTAGATCTAGTCCTCTTTCGTACCATCGTCATACTGAATGATTATTTGCAATGTCAGGACTATAAATGGGTAGTTTGCTCGATCTAGCTCACTACTTAGCTATAAGCTGATGCCCCGTCGCTTCAAGTAAGTTCGTTGCGAATCCAGCCACGGGCTCCGCATGGCCCTCCCGGTGTGCTACAACTGTACAAGGAGTTGTAAAACAAGCACTACAACGGATTACTCCGCAAGAACGTGGGACTTCGGTAAGCACCTTTCTGTTTATTTTAGTTCAGTCTTCGCTTCATTTCAACAAAGCCGGTCTCGTACTCACTCAGCATGCAGTAGACTAGCAAAGCCGGCCGAGTCGTCGACGTCGGATCATCACAAAGTACAACAAAAAACGCGGGAAATTTGACCGCATAATCAAAATCAAGAGTCCAAGACCCAGTGTCCTGGACCTGGTGTCAGTGATGAGACTGAGCTGATGACGTTCCGTGCAGTCCGCGTCTGACGTCATAAATTATAATGCCTTTCGTAGTTTTTCTGGGTACTGGTGCGGTGGCATGGCCGTGGGTACGATCTGGCTTTGTCGTTTTCTATTCCATTTCTATCTTTTTGAAAGGGGGAAATGGGTCTTTGATTGTTTCGTCTGCAATACTAGTAACTAACTTGTTTTCAGCCTAGCTTCTCGAGCTTCTTACTGTCTTAGGTTGGAAGTCCTTTACCTACTATTACTCAACGCACATCTTCGTAAGAGGTCTTTGAGCTTCCATCTCGAAATTATAATTTAATTTGAACAGCAAAACTTCGCGATGCCTCTGGGGTAGATTGTTGTCTTGGCCCAAAGACACGGCTATCTAGCATTGGATTCAGTCAGCTTGTGAAGAAATGGGATGGAGAACGAGACGCCTTCGTACTATTTAGTTACCGGTGGAGCTGGTTTCATGTATGTCTTTTGACTTTTTTTAGTGCAGTGCATCTATTTTTTAATGTGTTTCTTGCTTGTCCCATTTGTGTGGTCGCGCAGAGCATCTCATTTGTCGGTAGAGTTGGTGAGACGTGGCCATAAAGTCGTAGTTCTTGACGTTCTTGACTACTGCTCTTCTCTTGCAAACTTGAAAGAGGTTGAAGCATCTTCAAATTTCACCTTTATCAAGGTAATTGTAGCGAAATTATCAACAATGCTATCGCTGTATACATAAACATGCACACACCTTTAACATAAGGTACCCCTAGTACATTCCTTGTACAGTATCTTCCAGCTTTACTATACCCGGGTCATCTTGATACGTAAACCAGAATCAGGATCTGGAAGAGGGTTGTGTTGGTGTGCAACCTACCTCCAAGCAGCTCACTTGTGAATACCATCATTCAGTAGAAAACAGGACCTGATAGATAGAAAATCATCATGCACACACACGCACACACACACACCATTGGCCTATTGGACGCCCATCGCCGGAGGCGATGATAGCGATGCTACAGCAGAAGCCATAGCGGCTTGTGCTGGGATTGCACCATTCAACAGCTTGCAAGGCTGAAGAATTGACCGCCACTATTCAGCCTGGTCTACACCACACAGCTATGAAGTGGCTTTTTACACACACACGCACACACACAAGCATGTGCGTTCGCATTAGCAAGATTTCTCCCCAGTGGACGAGGCCAGTAACACTACCTTGTAGTTACATGTACTTCTGAAGTATCTGGTGTTCAATATGCATTGGACGTGTTAGCGCCTGGCACCTGTGCACGGCCCAGTGTTCCCAGGCCTGCGGCTGCGCAGCACTGGGGCGTAGCACTGACTCAATCGATTGGATTTCATGGAGCAGTGCTGTACATCCGACCCGTATGCGACTATGCGTACACACTTGAGCAGTTTTAAGTTGGGAACAATACACCAGATATGTACAGTGCAGTACACTATACCACATGATCCAGAGGCCAACCAGTTGCCAGAGCAATCTGGATACGAGGAGTTTGAGTGTACAGTCGACTCCACTCGCATAGCGAATTTCATGATGGTACGAACCATATTCATTATCCGTGTCCCTGTTTGAACCCATACAAAATTGCCCCTTTGTAGCGAACCATTTTCGTTCATAACGAACCATATCTTGAAGGGCCGCATATAAACCAAGTGCACTCATACAGTCCTGGGCCACGTGCCAGTCATGACTTGCTACAGTCCATTTCAAAACTATAGACGCGCAATGTTTTTGAAATATTTCAAATTTGGCTGGAACTTTCTGAGAATAGTTTTCGGAATATTGCTCAGGTCTGCTCCACAATTACTCTCATATAGTTTCTAAACGATTGGATAACAGACGCCCAATTTGGAAAAAAATGATGCACAAAGTGATCACAGATTTTATGTGGTATAGATGCTGGCATAGCGGTTTTTGCCTAGGTACGCGTCTATAGTTTTGAAATGGACTGTAGTTTGAGTGTATTTCTGTTACAGCGAACTTCGGCTATAGAGAACTAATTCTCCTCCACATTGGTGTCCGTTGTATCAGGAGTCGACTAGTTTATTGAATCCAAGACTAGCTTAGCTTGCCTTAGAGTATCCTGGATGGTGTGCAGGCAATCCCCTCGACCCGGTCCAAAGCGTAATCATACACTACACATACAGTGTTGCTGTAAGAGCAATCGAATGGTCTGTAGAACTGATAATGACCTCTTTTAAGTGTATCCGTGCAGCTCTGAGCCTGGAGTGTTTGTGTGCTTGATGATGTGTTTTGACTGCCAGGGTGACATATGTGATGAGGAGCTTGTGCGTATGCTATTCTCCAAGTATTCTATAGGGGCTGTATTGCACTTCGCTGCTTTGACTCATGTGGGTAAGCATATGTTTAGCCACTGCTTTAATGCATCAGAAATTGCTGCTGTCTATGGGTGTGAAAGTATTGTCTGAATGTCGATGCATTCTTGAATTTTGATACATGTACTTATAGTACTATGAAGGTAGTAGCCAAGTGGTGCATGCATCCACTCAAGATCACAAATGCAACCAAGAGGACAGTTCTCAAGAGGTATCAAGCAAGCTTTCATTTCCTTCTCGGCAAGGATTCTATAGGGAATGGAGAGATTAGCCAAAGACTACCACAAATAAAGCATAAGTTAAAACTTGAGTACACCACTTGGTTGCTTTCATCGTACTACATGTATTGACATTTAGTTCATAGCCTCTGGTTATATTTCAACAAACGATCTGGCCATAGTACTGGTGACTTTACATTGTTTTGTTTTGCCGTATTTGTATTACCCAATAGACAATTCATTCGGTCATGCAGAGGAGTTCCAGCATGTCAACGTTCATGGCACGCGTGTCCTACTTGAAGCAGCTCGTGCAGCTGGCATAGACCTGTTCTTGCATGCCAGTACTGATGAAGTGTATGGTAGCAAGGTAAGTTTTAACGCCTAGACATCTTCAGCCTAACTGCAATTGTTTAATAGGGAAATAGTGGGGAAAAGTTCCACACCTGGCAAAATAGCACTAAATACACACACACACACACACACACACACACACACACACACACACACACACACACACACACATACCACGCACACACACATTCAGACACACGCGCACAGACATGCACACACACGCATGCACTTGCGCACATACACACGCACACACACACACACAAATGCTCCTTTGACCCTAGATGTCCATTGCAGAATGCGATGACCTCAATAGGTGCATTAGCTTGTGCTTAGATCTGTCATTTGCTGCTATAACATGTCTTATTGAAGTACAAATAGAGCATGTGCCTACTTGAAGTAATATTGCAACAAGTAGGATGCTGTGTCATTCCGCTGTCTTCATCAATACACATGTCTCTGATGCAACAGTCAACCTATGATGCACTATACAACTTGTCCTCAATACCCAGCCCAGGGTTGTCATCGGTCAAGACAACATCCAGAGTCCTGCTAGTTTGTGCACAGATAGCATGGGTCATCTCTGGAAATTTTAAATGTACTCCTTAGTAACTCCTAGGTGAGCCCCTACTAGCAGTTTCAAGAGCATACCAGTATGTACTCCACTTATAACTGTCAGAGCTGATTTGAGGTATCAGTTACTACTAGTAAGTTAGATGTCTGTTCTAAAAAATATTGTACGCAATTGAGCGCAGGTTGTATGTGGCATACCATTGCTACACAGCTAGTAGTTTTGTCCTACGATGGCCTGTACTTTTGGAAACTGCTGTGTGCAATGGTTAGCTAATTGGAGTTGAAGTCGAGCATACTTTGCCTAATCAGTATTGTCACGCTGGATGTGTGTGTATGTGTGTGTGCCTACGTGTGTGTACGTGTGTGTGCCTACGTGTATGTACCTACGTGTATGTACCCGTGTATGCATGTTTACCTTCTTTGGTTATTCCACCACTAGGAAACTTGTAGCAATGAATTGTCAGATTGCTCACCCACCAATCCCTACTCAGTGTCCAAATTAGCAGCAGAAGATGCCGTCTTGTCTTACTGGCAAGATTACAAGGTATGGTGATAAGGCCGCACCGGAAAAGTCTTTTGTTTCGGGTAACCCGGCCGACCGATGTTTTGAGGGCCGACCAATTTCTTCTTCTTTTTGTATCCATTCATGCATACCGATTTATTTTATATGCGCATCATACGCATGTACATGTACGTGTGTGCAGTTCACGATGTTTCAGGCCCAGGGCCTTCCTTCGTGGTTCTGGCTAGACATTTCAGTCCTTTGTTTCGAGTTGACTTGATCGAGTCGGTTTTGTTGCAGGGTGGTTGTGGTTACGAAGTGTAACGTTTTCGATGCTGATATGTTTTCGTTCAGAAACTTTAGTGGCCGCGATTCTGACTGCAGTTTCCGTCACTATAGTTGACGGTGGCCAGACCGTCGTCAACAACTGCATGAGTTACGGCGAATTGTTAGAAACTCTTCGTCCACAGGGCGTCACTCGCTTCAAAGCAGTGTTCCTCTCAGCCATCACAGATATGTGTACGAGAATGACTATGTGTGTATTCTCTTCATTCTCTTCATTGTTGATTTTCAGCTCCCTGTGATCATCACTCGCAGCAACAATGCTTACGGCCCGCACCAATACCCCGAGAAGGTGAGACAAGTGTGTTGTGCTTCTTGGCTACTGTTGATGGTCATGCACTGCACCCAGCAGCACTGCCCCCCCCCCCCCCCATCAGACCCTAAAAAATGCACTCGACACCGCTGGTGCCAGCTGCTGTGTAATTCTAAGAGAAATCCTCACCCCTCCTAGGTGCTGACTTTGCTGGTGCACTGCTTTGAAGTTGGCAAATTGCAACGTTGTCCAGCATTGACATAAAGCGGTTTTGTTGCACGAACTGTTATGTCAGTCCTGTAGCATTCTGACTTTCACGTCATCGCACCAATGCATTGAGGAAACATATTTGATGCGGTTCAGCAACAGGCATTGGGACTATCCTTTGTTCCATTGTTCTAGGTTATTCCAAAGTTCATCTGTCGACTTCAGAAGAAGCAGGCCTGGTGAGTAGCTTGTGTTGCTCTAAATAGTCTTTACTGGGGATTTTTTGATCTTACTTGTGGCCCATTGATCTAACTCTTGTACTTCAGTGACTATAGTGCTTTGTGTAGACACGGTGTGCATCATTTAGACAATACTTACGCATACTGTGTATACTGTGCGCAGAAAAAGGAAAATTCCGAGGTGTGCTGTTTTGATAGCTACTGGTATGTATGCATACTGCGTTTAAGTTTGACCCTGCTCTGTCTGTTTCATCTTTCTGCTACTGTGCTCAGCTGTATTCATGGATCTGGCATGCAGAAAAGGTACAATGCATGTGATGTGTATGTACAATGTATTTTGAACTACCGGTCATTCCTGATGGATGCCTTCTGTTACAGTCAGTCCTGCATATGAGTATAGCCACAGATTGCTAATAATGATGTTGAGCATGACCCTCCTGGCCTGCTCTTTCCTGAAGTATTGACACTGTGAAACCCAAGTATTTCAAACGCGCACGTTCCTAATGGCGACAATGCTTTGGCCATCAACTTCAGGTGGGCAGCATCAGTGCCGGTGGTCTAAGGTCGAATTTGTTTGGAACCCTGCTGAACTCCATCCCTCAAACTGCCCGGCTTGTACCACTACACTATAGCTCAATGTTGTTTCCAAGCATAATGCTGGGTGTGAGACTGTGAGCACTGCTGTGGGAGTAGCCTGACCAGTTTGTGCTGTTGGAATGCGTCCTGTCACATCTTTGCCAAGGATGCCTCATTTAAAAAAGCTGGCTATTGCGAAAGGATAAAGAAATGGCTAGTGGCTAACTAGCAGACTCCGACTGTTGAGGTTGACAATTCTGGCCAGTTATAGCCTTATTGGGGGTGGTGTGTACTGGAACCAAACAGCATGTTTGGTTCTAGTATGCCTAACCGGTACATGTACATTGTCTTCGCTCTGCTGTCCAGGAATTTCCTTTATGTGACTGACCTGGTAGAAGCTGTGATCATTTTGCTGGAGAAAGGTTGCCATGGGCAGGTCTACAATATTGGATCAGAGCTGCAGATGTCCATTGCTGGGCTGGCTGAGGATCTTGTGCGGCGAGTAAGTGTAAAGGCCTGGTCACACATGCACGAGGTTTGTGCCTCTCCCGTGGAACCAGTTGTGTATAGGTTTAACTTTGGTGGAAGTGCGAGAGCGAAGTGGATTGTGATGCATACATGTGCTGTACGGTAAATCCAACTGGACCACGATGATCCTCTACACATTTTTTCAAACATCTCCAAGCCACTTGTATGAGCAAAAAATCTTAGATGAAAAAACATACACGTACATGATGAGTCCCGAATCTACATGGATATAGTGATATGAAGTCCCGAATCTACATGGATATAGTGATATTATTATTATTATTCACACATATCCGCCGGATGAGTACGCGTGGCCCATGCACCATGGGGACCCACGAATACAAACCAGCATATGTTCCCTCAGCAATAAAGCAAGCAAGCACGCAAAGATAAATGAGAGCCCAGGCAGCGAAAACAAAACGAAGAGAGATGAGGACATAGGCAACGAAAACAATTCCAAAGCATAGCCAGGGATGGAATGTGTGCATCTGGGTACGACAGTTAATACGGCTAGTGCAGCCGTACGTGATATGAAGTCCCGAATCTACATGGATATAGTGATATGATGTCCCGAATCTACATGGATGTAGTGATATGAAGCGCATACACATCAGGAATTAGTTTGGACTTGAAACATACTTGCAGCAAAGTGCGTTGCGTGGGTACGCCACTGGTACAGATCTGTCCCTCCAGGAACTTGCGATTCCGCGGCCGCGTTGTTTTCCGCGATTTGAACAAAAGTCCGCGATATCCGCGATATTGTAGAAAACTGTCCTTGATCCTTGAAAAGCACCCGCGATATTCGAGTCTTCTTTCGATGTTGTTTAGTTCTTCAAGCTCGTCAGTAGTTTACTTGTGAGATCAACACCAGAATGGAGAAGTTTCTGGCCAAATCAGCGGCTGACAAGTCCAAAAATAAGGCTCGCATCGAGTGTTGTTCAAGGATAGAGGAAAGCTGCCTTGCAAGCTCCTGTCGACATGTCAGGCAGTTGAACACAGTCGCAATCGAGTACAGCGCAGCACACGTGCGTAATTATTTATGCTGTACATCGCACCGCACTACAGTTCAAGTACCAAAATCGGCCGCAATTTCCGCAATTTTACCACAATAATCCTGCAATATTTGACAAAATCCGCAATATTCCCCGCAATTTGTGGCATTTTATCTCGCAACTTTTTCCGCAATATTTCCGAAATGTCTCCGCAAGTTTCTGGAGGGACAGATAGATCCATACGAAAACTGGATCCAAGTGGATCCATAAGTCAGCATTGTCAGGACTCTGGGCTAGCTGTGATGTAGAACTGTCAAGCCCTATGTCAGTTTATTGCATGCACGTACGCACGCACACACACACACACACACCTTCCTTCTTCCACTGCCATGACAGGCTATATGGCCCCATAAGGGTCAGACCAGGAGGCATATTGTCCACTGGGCGGGGAGTGTCAGGCTCCGCGTTGCACAATTATATTATCGCTGTAGAGCTCTTTGACAAAAGTCTTTGTGAATCGTGTTTTGCCTGCTAGGTTGTTGGTGATTCTGTTCATCGCGCCGACCACATCTCGTTTGTCACCGACAGGTAAAGTACTATGATTGAAATTGAGGGTCCCATGTCTGTGCATTCCCTGGGATGATATACGGAATTTCGGGCAAAATAGCAACATTTACAATCTTTGAACCACGGGAACAATAGTAGAACCCCTGGAGCCCCTATTGTTTTTGTGTACAGAATGACAATATCTACATGTGCACAGAATTCACTCTAAGCAGTGACATTGTGCCCCATGTGCAAACAAGATAATTATGAAAGTTGTGATGTGTGTGACGAGAAGGTGAACGCATTGTACCTATCAAGAGCACTGCTTGTTGCATTCTGGCTTATTTACAGGTGTGTGAATGATGTTGGTTACCCGATGGACTCATCCAAGCTGTTATCGCTTGGCTGGAGGCCGCGCACAACCTGGAATGACGGCATCGATCACACAAGTACGTCATCATATAGATCAAAGTTCTTCACAGCACATACTGGATGGGGACATCCGCACTTAAGAAAGTGACTATTAAAAGCAATCAGCTCACAGCAAGGGACAATGTGCAGATGTGCAACAGCAATAACAAGATCAATTCAGCATGGGAGTCTAGCTGTCTAGCTATGTAGGGACTATTCAGGAAAGCTGTGTAAGGTGTGGTTAAACTGGATTGGTTTGTCTCTGCTGCTTGTTTGCTTGCTGTGCGCAGTTTCTTGGTATGCAGCAAACTTCCAGAACTGGACAACAACCGATTCAGCGCTATCACCGCATCCCAGCTGACACAATGCTTCCATCAACTAGTATTTATTTGACGTTTCATGTTCAGTTTTATGAAAATGTATTTTTATGCTTTCCATGGTTTAGGGAGATTTTCAATGTTTTAAAGTCAGAATTATTTTTATACTCTCAAGTAGTCAACATGGCAGCAGGCTTAGCCAATTCTATCTGCCCGTTGTCCCTGGTGCAAATGCGCTTCTTCATAGTCCTCCGGTAAATGACGGCTGTTGATGAACCTCTTCTTCTTTTTCTGTGGTACGTCGTCACGACCTGCAGCATAGTTGAGAATTGGCCCGTAGGGATCATGCCAGTTCTCGTTCTCTCTCAGCCAGCTGAGGCTGGTCTTCATGTGCTCTGGAAGAGGTGCTTCAATGACAGTCGGCTCTGTGATGCCCTCCGAGGAGTCTGGCGGCAGCTCTACCCGTGATGCATGCAGGTGCATTCTCAGCAGCGGCAAGTGCTTGCGCTTGATGCGCAGACCCTTGAGATGTGTATTTGTGTATAACTTATGCTGAGTTCGAATGTGGTCTCCGACTATGGGACACTTGAGTACGTCACAGCAGTGAACACGTAACTGATGCCTTCGGCCTGTAACTGGCTGGACTTCCAGAAAGGAGAAAGTGCCGTTTGGACCCTCGAACGTTTCCAGACACTTGTACATGGTTATTGCTTCTTTGCCCTGTGTGGAGAGAGAGACAACAACAGTCAAGCAACAAAGCACACAAGACAAAGGATTATCAACTGCTTGTTGGTACAAGCACTGGCAGACACCACCAAAGACAACAAGGAAATAGCAATAAGACCACAATATACATGCAGTACTCAAGAAGTATACAGTTCGGCTTCATGAGAACATGGAGAAAGCACGATAAGGACAGCAAGAGTGAAAGTGGAGTACTCTTGATAAAAGGTATCACGCCGAGAGATGACATGCAGCGCTTTAAAAACAAGGAAGATAAACCGCTCATAATTTTATAAAAAGTACTCCAGTTATCTTACAATTGTAGGCTGTGATCGTTTCGTCAAGATCCCTGATCCACTGGATCCCTCAGAATCAACTGATTACATTTGGAACACACCGCCACCGTACCGTGACCATGCTGTGGTAGAAAAACCACGCTCGAAAAGTTACTCCAGGTTCGTACTCGTCATAATCATCTGCATGGTGCAACGCTTTTCCATGTGTATGTGTACTATTAAAATGCGTATAACAATGATTATGATTGTTACTAGACTAATTGTTACCCACCAAACACGTACAAACATCATGCTTAACAAAAGTGAATCCGTTGGATCCAGCCAACCCTATTCCGGGGGCAGGGTTGCTCGGATCCAAATCCAAAGGATTCGGATCGGGATTCGACCAATCGATTACTGCAATTCTAGTGGATCCTGTGGATCTGGACCCGACCAAACAATCATGGCCATATTCTCTGAAGGATGACCAACAAGGTGTGATTCAACTTACATACTCTGACCCAACATTAGCCTCCATCTGTGTTAGGGCACATATGCAGCAAGAAGAAAGAGCCAAACTATATTATATCAGTTGTAGTACAGTAAGTATCGTTTATAAAGTGACCGGATATAATGATATACCGGTTATAGTGATAGAACACGTCAAAATCAAAATCAAATCAGAAAAAATACAGCTAAAATATCACTATATACACTATTATCGGCTATACCGATATATCGCTTATTGTGATGGACTTCAGGAAGCAAACCATATCAAATGTACAGGAAAATATCGCATATAATGATCAAGAGTGATCTTTCTGCATGCTCTTGTCCGTTTCTGGCTGTGTTGCCTCTCACGATGATGTTGCCAACTCACGTACACAGCCACTCATGTCTATTTCTGGCTCTACGCAACTCGTTGGACACCGAGTACGAGTAGATCTACGTGAGCACGGATCCAGCTCAGGCTTTTTTTGGAGAACACGCTGAAGAAGCAGCCATGCCACATGATGTATCGAAGTTAGTTCTAGTACATGTACAGTCTGTACTCGTACTGCACTGCCATGCACTGCTCTGTGTCATGCACCGGTACACAGTCCGCGGAGCATGCATGCACTTTCAGCATGCTTTTTCCAGCGTGTACGCATCATTTCATGTGCAGTCATGTGCCATGTGTCGGTCAAACATGCAAATCGGCTATAGTGATGCACCGGATATAGTGATACATTTTCGAAAATCAAAGGGGCACGTTATATCCGATATTTACTGTACTACCGGTACTGGTACGTGTACATGCACAGCCATGTGCTTATAGCACAAGTACATAATCAAGAGCATGCGTAGCTGAAATCCTAACCGACGCATATACATGAAAACAGAGGGCGTTGCGTCGCCAAAACACAAAAATACTCTATTTTGGTGTCATACCTATTTTGAGGCACTTTCTGCACCCGTACTGGGGAAAGCATTAATGAATATTGAGCTGCGATGGACTTGTTCAGCTTGTCAATGTAGGATATGATGCATATGCAACAGGTCCAGGGAATATAAATCTACAGTGTTGCATTGACTACTGTTGACATGTTGTACATACTTATTGCTGCTTGTGAAAATGCACACAAAAATAATTATGCACATGATTTTCTTGGTATCTCCTCGTACAGCGATTTGGCCATGCACCTAAGTTACGATGTGATGGACATTCTATGATTCATGACGACCAAAACAAAACAAAACGTGGATACTGTGGTAGTAGTTCATGCAGTACAGAGCAGAGCTGCACACTTGGTTTATGTTGTGTTGATAACAACCACACTGCTCTTCACTAATTTCTTACTAGTATTATTTTATTCAACGTTTCAGTCTGAGACCGACATGAGGAATGATGAAGAGAGGAGGAAGCTGACTACTGATAGTGATACCCATCCTACAAAGCCAAATGTAGCCTAAGTACATCGAAGTAACTAGAGGCGGGGAATCCCCATGGTACATTGTAATTCTAGCACTCACAATGTACTTGTATTTCTCGTTGTGATCTGGATCTGTCATCCCCACTTTGAGTGGAACATCAACAACACCTGCAAAAACCAATGTACATTGTACATGCACACACGCACGCAACACGCACGTGCGCGCGCGCGCACACACACACACACACACATGCACAGAATTTGCTGTTCACATGAGATTTACACAGTTGCACGAGTGCAAACATACCGTATTTCCCCCAATAAATGTACAAGGTGGTCAGACCTGTACTAGTATTGGAGACGTGTACTTTTATTGTTTCTGGAAAGATTGATTGCCTGGGTTGGGTGGCAAACAACCTGTGATAATGATGCTGTAAGGCTGTAAATACACCCAACCATGGTAAGAATCGGGGTACAAAGACACAATGACGATGAACGGGTAAGAAAAATCGAAGTAAGGTGGACCCTGGTATCTGTACCCCACTAATGCCCATCACATCATTCCGGCATGTACTACTATAAGAGACGTGTCCTTTTATATTATCGATCCACACCCAACATGTACTACAATTGGGGACGTGTACGTTTAATGGGGAAAATACGGTATCACGTTCTTACTTCAGCATCGACACACTGGCAATGACATATCAAAGGAAAATCTCACGGCATAGCTGATGACACACTTTCAACGAATTCCAGAAATGATGGAATTGAACATTCCTCTTCGAAGTATTAGCATATCTAAGAATGCACTTACCTTCACTCTTTTCAGGTCGGCCAAGAACAAGGCAACTGCAGCCAGAATACATGTACAAATTACACACAAGCATGTTAAAGGCTACAATAGTAGTTGGTACATGAGGAGCTCTGAAGTGCAAAAAAAGATATTCACAATCAGGGCTAGGGGTGCGCGGATTATGCTCGCACGCACCCGATATTATGCTTTCGGGCATTTCCCGCGGAACTTCGAAAGTATTCTCCCAAAACATCGAAAAAATTCTGCACAATTCCCCCCCAAAAAAAGAACCCCAGCACGAACCGTGCCTTGCGCATGCTCTTTAGTATGCAAAATGGACGGTCAGGCACGTGATCACTGCATGCAGGATCTACACTACATGTACTAGATGTACATCTGACTGTACACAGCTACTATGTCCAGTGTCCGGGTATTGCTGCATGTACATGTACGTGCGTCCATGGATGCGTGCTTGTTCTCTGGCAGGTCAAAATTGACAGAATTCCCCCAAAACTCTTCTGAAAGTCAATGGATCTGGCAAACGATCGATAGAATTCCCCTAAAATTCCCAAAATTTTCTCGACGATAGTATTCCCAAATTATTCCGGGAATACTCCGCGCACCCCTAATCAGGGCCAGCCAGAGCAGCTCAAAAGAGTGGACTATGGGCCATAAGTGCAGAGCGGTAGACGCTGGGCTGTTTCGCTGTAACTATTAATTTACAGTTGCAGGCACTGGGATGTTCTCATGGTAACACGTTACTTTACAGTACTGAAATCCAAATGGAAATAGAGCAGGTCAGGCCCCCTCCCCCTACACACTCGAATGCACGAGCGCACACAATACACTTACTGGTATACTTTTTTAATTTGCTTTTTCTTGAACCAGTTCATTGCCATACGAGCTGCCTCCGGATGTCTGTAAATTAAGCAGCAAACAAGTGTTGAAAAGAACCAAGAAAACATGACTTGAATCAATACACTGAAGTCTGATATTAATTCTGATAATGGTCCAAGGCAGGAAATATTGCTTTTACTGTGCAAAGGAGATAGCAAGGAGTTGAACATGTCAGAGCGCACCACCTGAGGCATAATGCAGTTGCTACAGTGGAGCATGTGTGAATTTCGCAATGCAGTTGCACTGTCAAATACAGTGACAAGCTGTCCCCTTGGAAAACGCGATTCCGCGGCCGCGGCAAATTTCGCAGAAATTGCCATCATCCGCGGAAATCACGGAATTCACACTTTTGCCCGCGGAATCCGAATTTTTTAGGGTAAAATACTAAAATTTCTACTCAGAAAGCAGCAGAAAAACTACTTTGCGATCTGTTTGAGGACATGGCACTTGCCAGTGTAGGTGAGTGCAGGTCTCTCCAAGATTCTTCACTCTCATTCAGTTTGTGACAGCAAAGGATAGTGTGAAAAGTGCTCCTTCATGCAACTAGTTGTCATATCCTCTATGAGGAGGGTGAAAAACTTGCAGAAAGTGCCGCAGATTTTTGATTTTACCGCAGAAAATGCCGCAGAAAACCCCCCTTTTCCCCAATTTGCCGCGGAATTTTGAATTCTTGGCCGCATTTTCCTAAAGGGACAGGACAAGTCAGGCCCGGAGCTCGTTCCTGAGGGTTGGTACGGTCCCAAGTCGGCTGCAGGCCTGACTATTTCTCCATGCCATCTATCTAAAAACAGTGCATTGGTACTCACAAACAATGCAGTGCTACTCACCGAGACATTACCAGAACACCAGTGGTGCCCCTGAACAAGAAACAACACAACACGATGCACAAATTTACTGCTTGAAGAGAATAACCAGATGGGGCAAAAACAAGCAAATCATTAAAATCACACACGTCAACAGTATTATAGATCTGCACTGTACGAAGGATATCGTGCCTTGTGGGCAATTTATGAATGGAGCTTACCGTAGTTCCGCTCATATAAGCCCATGGGCTAATATATGAAATAATGCATTTTCCGCGAAAATAAATCAGTAATAATGGTTCGTTTTTTAGCCCTGGGCCTATATTCGAATTTTGAAGGCAGCTGGCACGCGAAAAAGTACAAGTCCGTCCGCGGTTGTCCGCCTACCATAGGTACCAGTACCGTAAAGTACCGTTGATCCGCCCCCTCTCTAATTCCCGCCCCCTGTCGATTTTCTCCTTGTGAAGCGACTTCGGCGTATACAACGAAATACGATGTTGAACCGACGCATGCACTGCTGTACACAATACTTGCCAATCCAGGATCAAAATGTGCACAATCCAGCACATTGAGTCTGATCCTCTACGTTGTTGTACATCGTACTGCACTTGACAGCCTTGATCTAATTCCCGCCCCCTGCCGAAAACCCAGCTGGGAAGCGACATGGCGTGGGGGCGGATCAACGGTACTTTACGGTACTGGTAATGTAGTCTGCACTGACATGCTGTACTACAGTGTTTGGGTCTGTATATTAGCCCATGGGCCTATAAACGGAGGTGGGCTTATATCCGGATATAGGCCCATGGGCTTATATGCGCGGAACTACGGTAGTCACATCAAGTCTGCATAGCTCTTGTAAGTTGTAGTGTCGTGGTTTCCAAACGTTTGTCCAAAATCAATGTTGCTGTCAAGTACAGTCAAACCTCGTTAGGACGAACATAAAGGGATGAACAAGTTTGTTTGTCTTATCCGGAGTTCTTCCTATCCAGATCTGACCAAAAAATCGATCTGCATATCATCAAGAGTACATAACCAAGAGTGTGCAATTCCTATCTCAAGCTGTGCGGAGTTTTTTTTATTATGTCATTCTTTGGTAGAAGTATGACCAAGTGTGTACGCTTTCCCACGCTTGTTTTGTAGATACGATGAGAGTTCATCAGGTTCAGGACACATCGATCTATCGCCCGTTGTTCTGCTTCGACTACCGTAGGTGCGATGTACAAATTCTTTGTACACTCAAACGCCTCTTATCCGGACACGTCTCTCTACCGTCCACCTTCAGCTTGAGTTCCTATGGCAAAAATGCTTTGAATTAGGGGGTTTGAACTTTTCTCGTATGCGAAAACGCTTATTTGTCACTACTGACCTGTGAAATCATGGGCCACACATTTTTATCAATGGATTCTTTTTTTTTTTTAACCTGAACATGTGCAATACTTGCCAAATAAACTTCTTCAAAAAATGATAATTATGATACATGTAGCTCCACGCCCCGCGATTCTGTGCGACGCTCCTCAGCTACTCAAGATCTGCCGAGGTCTTGAGGGTCCTCCCAACCAGCTCGAGATCTTGTCTGAGCATGACCGGCAGAGTTGTGCGCGGCCTGCCCCTCCAGGTAGGCTCAGTGGATGGCTTGAAGTAGGAGCACATTGACAGGTTCGCCGGTGCACTCTGGTCCAGCCGAAGCACGTGCCCAAACAGACGCCAGCGGGCTCCCAGGATCGAGATACCAAGTGGTGTTGAGTTTGTCCTCTTGTACAGGGTGTTATTCTTGATCTTAGCTGGGTACCGTATGCCAATAACTTTCCGCAGTTGTTGTCTGTGGAACGCATCAACTCTATGCATAGCGGTGCCAGTGAGGCCCCAAGTCCCGTTGTTGTAGCACAGGACTGGTAAGACGAATGCCTTGTATAGCCGTACTCTCAGCGATTCGTTTACAATGGAACCACGTATCCACAATGCCCAGAGCCGGTGCAGGGCAGCCGTGGCATAGTAACATGGTAGATGAGTTATCCTGAGATACGGGCAGTGCCCGGTCCCAAGGTGCCCGGATAAGAGACGTCCGAGTGTACTTTGATCTCTGGCTACGCATGATGCCATCAGCGAGCCAAACAGCCGCCAAAGACGGATGAAATTTTTTATAACATTGTCATAAAAAAATTTCCGCCGTGGGCTGGGGGATCGTCGAGTTGCACACTCTTGGTTATGTACTCTTGATATCATAATATGAAGAAAAGAGGACCAAAGAGCTACAAGTTACGCCTATAAAAGTGATCTTATTTTGTTTCTATATTCTATTCTGAAGTACTCTATCAAGGAACATGCACAGTACTGTAATGAACAACACATGATACATTGCACACAAACACATACTCATCCAGCCGGTGAATTATATTCGGCACCAGTCTGTTTTCAAATCGAAACTTGTGCAAGTGGTTTGCGAGGTTAAGTTTCACCTTCGGTCCATCTGCACAAGTTCACACGCACACATATACACATGCCGATATGCACACACATGCCGATATACACACACGTCGATATACACATACGTGTGTACACGCACACGCATGCCCACGTACACATACCCCATGTACCATGTACGCCCGTCACAAGAGAAGCACGCAAACCTGCAAATGCACTGAATGTACAAGAAGAGTACATAACCCCCAAGAGCATGCAACTCCACTACCAGTATGGATGCTGTCCCGACAGAATCAAGTTGACGTCATTTTTATGTGATGCAATGCAATGTACATTATCATAGTAAGGCCATGGTAAAAAATAAAGTTGATTCTCAGGTCATGAGCCTGTGAAAAATCAAACCACAATTTTTTTTATTTCCAAAGATAGGGTCACCCATACAAATGTATGTACATGGTCACATGTTCATAATATTCAGGCCAGGGAGTAGAAAAATACCGGTATTATACTACTCCCTGATTCATGCCTTTCGCCGGCCAATGCGCGCATATGCATGCATAGAAATAAAAAAAATCGTCGGTGCGCCGCCAAAAATCGGTGCGCGCATACTTGAGAATCAAAGATAATTTTTACCATGGCCTAACAGAAATATCCTGGACCTGTGGTGGACAATTCCTCATCTGATCCTCCATCTTTCAGTTTCTCGATCAATACTCTCCCTAGTCTTTTTCCGAAACACTTCGAGCAGCCTTCCTTCCTCTATGCGTTCCTGGACCTCATGAATGTTTTTCCAAAAGAAGACTGAAGAGATCCCCCTGTAACTAACTTGTGACTCTCTGTTCGAGAGAAATTAGCCTTGTCACTTAGTCGTGTCCTAGAATGTATACCGGTAGCTGTGAGGAGGGGAGCTCAGCAATCAAATAACTTACGGGTCGAAGCCAACCCATATGGCTTGTTGATAGCAATAAAGTTCTCTGGAACAAACAGGAAAGAAAGAATGTGTATTCATAGTGGGATTCTTGCAGGTATTTTCATGGCGTGCACGATCAATAGCATGCATGTACTGTATCACAGCAGTGTACACACCACATGTACGCTGCTACTTTTTAGAAATTTTGTCCTACAATGCTATCAGCAGATATTGACAAGTCTGAGAAGATAATTTGAAGGTGTACTGTATTGATGGGATCAAAATCACAAGACCACTTTCATTAAAGTCGCACTTTGTACATGCTGCAAGTAGGTTAGAAGACACTCACCATCCTTGAAAAGCACTCGCTTTTGGATTGCTGTGAGGCTATCAGGTTCTGGGAAGAATTTAGGTGGCACTGTGGTAACTCGCCGCACCTGCATCAATCCTCGGGGAATCATTGTCAGGGGTCCTCCAGAAGTTATACTTATAAATGCCAAGGCAATACTTCAGCCATCACTCTGCTCCATGCACTGACTTGAGGAAACAACTATTTTAGTCAAGATATACATGTACATCATAAATTTTCTGAAGCCAATCAACTCTCCAGTCCAGGTGAGGTTTTTCTGTTTCACGCTTCTACACTGTACTGAATACACGGGAGGTTTAGTCCCACGTAATCCGTGGGTACTTTACGTGTGTGTACCACGTGATACTCAGTGACCCACGTACAGACGTTTTCTGAATATTCGAATCACGACATACCGTACCGTGTATGGAGGCTCACCCACGTTCCGCCAGAACGACTTGGGGCATGTTCGATTGGTAAGGATCGGGATCGGGATCCAGATCTCAGATCCGTCGGATCCTTCAGAGTCAACTGGACACTTTTTTGAACCTTGACTGTTGCCATGTGGACGAAGTAATAAAAAGTCGTACTCACAGCGCCAGTTGTACAAAAAGTCAGCAAGCTCTATCTCGATCCACGTGTGCGTACCACAATGTGTACAAAAACGAGTTTTACCCGCCATATACGCACAAAGGTCACATTTGGATCCGTTGGATCCGGTCAACCCTGCTCCCCGAGGTGGGTTGACCGGATCCAAATCCGAAGGATCCGGATCCGGATTCGACCAATCGAAAGGGTGCGAATCCAGTGGATCTGGTGGATCGGGATCCCGATCCTACCAAACGAACATGCCCTTGGTTACGTGGGTGAAAATCAGAATTGGGTGCATTGTGCAAGCTGTGAGGGTGCTCAGCTGAAGAAGTTTCCGAAGTACGAAATCAAAATACTGGATGAGCTTCTTAGGCCCGGGTAGCTTCGTCTTTGACCAGGTTTGGGCCTTTTGCTTCATGATTTTGTTTGTTCCGTGCAGGGAGTAGTACAATACCGGGAGGTGACACGGGCACACATCCGGGATTACGAGCTTTGCCTCACAAAAAAAATACAAACCGCGCGAAAATTCAAATTTTTGCTCTTTTGACAGCGCTGAGAAACCTTCAAATAGTGACGAGAAGACCAGACGTATCCCTTCGTGACAAGCTGCCACTTGTTCTTTTCAGCTCGAGCCTTTTTTGGGAGCTACTCTGGTACATCGTCCACACTGCTGCCAAGTCTCCACTTCCCAAAATGGATGGAAGTGACGAATATGGAGGACGCTATCCTAGGTAAGTAACGTGATGGAATTTTCTCATCTTGACATGGTGTAACACGAACCTGAATTTCTCATTTGGACCCACTCGGACACCTCACCAAGTTGGGATATTTCGAAACTATACCTATTTGTCTACCATTCTACTTCATCCCAACGTGTTAGCTTATGTAACTCTTTGGAAAACTCATTCCGAAAATTTTGAAACTTATTTATTTGTATAGACTTGAACATAATGTTCAAGATCCCTTGTTTTCAGCACTGAATGAGGCCAGGCCTGCTTGCTTTGTTGCTTTTTTAACCCCCAGAACCCGTGGACAGAAGAGGAAGAGCGACGACTTGGGTGCGGCTGCGAAGTCTGCCTGCCCAACGCCAATTGCTCCTCACCCAAAAAGTAAACAAATTATATAGCAGGAGTGGTTTCAAGTGGTTTCAATGCATTGTGTTTTGGGATGTTGGTGTGTACTTATGCAGTCCTAGCGTGTTGAGCAATAGCAAAGCACTGCAACTATGCACCACCCCCCCCCCCCCCCCGTGGTACTTCACAACCGAGTTAGCCGCTTGATCCATGGTGCGGCGAGCAACCTCCATGTGCATAGGGTTGCTCGGAGCTGTGGCTGCTGACGCAGGCTTCCTATTCATAGTGAAATCAAGAAGAAGGGCAAATAGTGCACCGGACACTCTGACACCTGTACAAAACACCAATCCACGCACACACACACACACACACACACACACACACACAAACACGCACTGTCTATGAAAAAAAAACACTTCAAAGTACAATTTGGTACAATAAATCTCTACAGCGCAATAGGAACAGAAAATGACCAGTATGATGATGACATTACCTGTACTTGCAGAACTGGTGTCTAGCTCTTGGAAAATGGTTGACGAATTGCGAAGTAAATCAGTCCACACATTTGAGACATTCGTGCACTCTCCTCTCCTTAATTTTCCTAAGGCCTTGTTCTTGAAAAACAACGTCTGCTGCTGCTCACAATTTATTATTGCCTGCCGAAAGTGAACTATGAACAGCTCCACGTTTGCAGGGTGCTTGTCCAGTGACCAGAGTTGCTGAGCTACTGCCACCTCATGTTGGCAGTAGCGTTGCATGTCCGAGTCCTTGCACAGATCTGGTGAGATGTAACCCAAAGAGAAATGAAAATGTGAATGACTGAAAGTCAACAAACTATACTCTGTTGAAGACACACTCTTACCTGCTGCCCATGTCAAAATACTGGACACACTGAAGGTATCCGGCTGAGGTACAATGGCTACTTGGCATACCTCGTCTGATTCCTCCTCGTCACTAGGAAAAACTAAAACATTTGTTGTCTCCATTGCACAGACAAACTTCTTGGACAGGTTCTGGAAAACAAGAATGACTATGGTGATGTTGTGGCACCAAAACCTTTTGTCACTGGCAAATATACACCCACACACCTACACACACCCTCGTGTACTTGTACACCACACACGCACGCGCACGTGCGCATACATACAACTATTCGTCTGTATCCTTTTGTGTTTGACATGATTCCACGGTGCCATGAAAGTAACATTGGTGCCATAAAAGTAACATTGGTTATAATCAAGGAGTAATGGTATTGTACGATTCTGATTGCGTATGCTCTTGGTGGCCATATATATCAGGAAGTAGTACAATACCGGTATTGTACTACTCCCTGATATATACTATAGTTCATCGTCACGCAGCTCCCCACAAAGTACAAATTGTAGTAAAAGCAATTACGTACTAATACGTATAGTAATATGCAGACACATACAACTAGTAGTCACACAAAGTATCTATAATAAGCACACGTACTAGGAATAGTACGTAAGCAGGCTATCTTTATCCTTTTACGCTTGGTCTGATTACCTGCATACACGACTTACACGGCACGGTCTTCCACGGCATGGTCACTTGCACCAGTAACATTGTACATAATTCCACACTGCCTTTATCATCAACACCAGTTCCTGTTAACGCGTAACATCTCAGGCTTTGTAGCAGGGAGTAGCACAGTGCCATTGTACCATTGTGCTACTCCCTGCTTGACACAGACTTGCGTCATAGTGACATTTGCGAATAGCTGCCCCTGCAGTATAAAATTTATTTTATTTTGTGTTTCTCTCTGACGACTATAGCATCTGGATTCGGAATAGCCTTACTATCTTGAGACGGGTCAGCCATACCTGAAACATGTTGTTCATTGTGACTAAAACTTGAGTCAACATTATCTATTCCCCTAGAAACGACGTGAATAACTAAAATGTAATACAACTAAATGTAATACAAATAAAATTAGGAAGAAAATTTCACTCTTACAAGCCGCCCACGTAAATACTGGACACACTGAAGGTACCCGTGCGAAGGCCAGCTGCTACTTGATATCCTTCGTAGGATTCATCCTCATCACTCAGCAAAGACTGATGGATTCGTTCCCTACATCGTCAAAACAAACTTCAAAAAGTACTGCTCGAAAACTTCTTGACAGCATTCTGCCACTCTCTTCAAGTCGTTCTATGAATTTTTTTGAAAAATGCTACGAAATGCTACGATAAATGGTACGCGAAGTACGATATTTCGTGACGTTTCCCGGGACACAGCGCGCAAAGTACGATATTTCGTGACGTTTCCCGGGACACAGCGCTCCACAGAAAAGTGACCTGAGGCAAAGCTCGCCCGCCTGAATGTGTGGCCGTGTCACCTCCCGGTATTGTACTACTCCCTGGTTCCGTGTGACTAAACACAACATTGCAACGTGGGTGCGTGCCCTTCATCCACTTTACGTGGATCACCCACGTACGCGTTTCCGTTACGTGGGAACTAAACCTCCCTAGTACTAAGTCCACCATGGTCCATGGTACACTTTACACACGAAGGGGAGTTCCCTCTTGCTTGGCCTTCTTACGACAAGTTAGTTACGTCACGATCTCTCAGTCAGATCTCATGAACTGATCTCATGCATGCATAGCTACATGTAGCTTACACCATGCACTGATCTGACGCATGACGTCTTTCGAGCTGTAAAAAATATGCATGATGTCACATTGCGCAGACTCGAACAAAAATGGCGCTGTGAAAACTGCGAAAATATTTTCGTGAACGTTCGAAAACATTTTTTCCTTGACCATTTCAAGTTTTTCGTTTCGGCGCAGTTCAATAATCAACACATGCAGCATAGTTCAACTTTGAGCTGAGGTTTTTAATTTTGGTTATGGTGAAGTAAAAAGCATGGATACGGAGCTATATGATGAGTTTGGGACCTACATCGGTCCCGAACTGGACAGCGATGATAGCGAAGAAGAGATTGATACTGGCGGCCAGGATGCTGTCGCTGGCGAGGGAGAGGAAGCTATGGATGATGATGAGGAGGGCAATGAGCCTTCCCACATGCAAATTGTCCTGCACGAGGATAAAAAATACTACCAAACCGCAGAAGAAGTGTATGGCTCTGAGGTGGAAGCTATTGTGCACGAGGAAGATGCCCAGCCTCTATCAGAGCCCATCATTGCACCAGTAATCAAGAAGAAGTTTTCGCTGTTGGAGCAAGAACTACCAGCCACAACCTATGAGATTGAATACTTAGCTGACATGATGGACAATCCCGACCTCATTCGTAATGTAGCACTAGTGGGCCATCTTCATCATGGAAAGACATCGTTTGCAGACATGTTGATTGAAAATACTCACCCAGAAATGGGAGCGATCGAGGGTCGTGATCTGCGGTACACTGACTTACTGTTTACTGAGCAGGAGCGTGGCCTGAGCATCAAGAGTACTCCGGTGTCATTGCTGTTGCAGGATTCACAGGACAAATCGTATCTGGTCAACTTGTTCGACACGCCCGGCCATGTCAATTTCTCGGATGAGGTCACGGCAGGAATGCGTCTTTGTGATGGTGTTGTGCTATTTGTTGATGCACACGAAGGCCTCATGCTGAACTCACAGGAGTTGATCCGCCATGCAGTTCAGGAACAGCTACCGATTACTCTCTGCATCAATAAGATCGATCGGTTAGTGCTGGAACTGAAACTGCCGCCAACAGACGCCTACTTCAAGTTGAGGCAGATCGTTGATGAAACGAATTCCTTGATCCAAACGTTTGGTGGTGGCGAGGCATCAGTATTGTCACCTCTACTCGGTAATGTGCTGTTTGCAAGCTCGAAGTTTCGCTTCTGCTTCACGCTTCACTCGTTTGCCAAAATCTACTCCGACTCGCATGGTAATGCTTTCAACGCGAAGGAACTTGCTAGTCGCCTTTGGGGAGATATCTACTTCAACCCATCAAAGCGCACTTTCAGCAAGAAACAGCTGTCTGCTTCATCGCTGCGTAGCTTTGTGGAGTTCATCTTGGAACCGTTGTATAAGATTCTCGCTCAGGTGGTGGGCGACGTTGATTCTACTCTGCCACGCGTCTTGGACGAATTAGGAATCCGTCTAAGTAAGCAGGAGATGAGGATGAACATCCGCCCCCTGCTGCGACGCGTCTGCATGGAGTTCTTCGGCGATGCGAACGCCTTTGTTGACATGATTGTCAGCCATGTGCCATCGCCAGTTGGCAATGCCGAGTCCAAAGTGACCAATGTCTACACTGGTCCGGCTGACAGTGAGTTTGCTAAGGACATGTCTGGCTGTGATCAAGATGGTATGCTGATGCTGCACACGACCAAGATGTATCCTTCAAACGACGCTACCACTTTCCATGCGTTTGGCCGTGTCTTCAGTGGCACGGTAACCGCCGGACAGCGTGTGCGGGTTCTCGGTGAGAACTACTCACTAGATGATGTGGAGGACTCCAAGGTGGCACAGGTTGGTATTGTGTGTGTGTGTGTGTGTGTGTGTGTGTGTGTGTGTATGGAAAAATAGGGATTCACTGGCCAGAAAAGTCACTTCAATCAGCTGTATGGTGGATACCAGGCTAAAAAAAGTGGCGGTCAATTCATCAGCCTTGCAAGCTGTTGAGTGCTGTAATCCTAGCACAAGTTGCTATGTCTAACATAGCTGTTCGCTATCATCGCTTCCGCGATGGGCAGGTCTGAGGTCTGAGGTGTGTGTATGTGGTGTGTATCTATCTGTGCATGTGTGTGTGTGTGTGTGTGTGTGTGTGTGTGTGTGTGTGTATCTATCTGTGTGTGTGTGTATGTGTGTGTATGTGTGTGTATGTGTGTGTGTGTGTTGCGCTCAGATCTTGACCACTGTCACTCCAATAAAATGTCGACAGGTGCACAATCAGGGCACTCTGCAGACCTGTGTACTTCTCCTTTAGCAGACATACACGATGGCTGTGTTGTGTGTGCGCAGTTGCGTGTGTTTAGGAATGTAATGTGTAGCAATACTCTATTGTTTGTAAGGATCTTAGTGACGTACTGGTGGTGTGTGGATTGCCTCACATTTGTGTGCATTGTAGCCTCTTGCTGGTATCTGGCACCACAGAGCTTGCTTAATTGGATATGATGTATTAGATACCATGACTCAAGCTCCAGTCTTGCATCCTTATTGGTACTATGCTGCATTAACGTTGATTTCTTGATTTATTTCCTGTCGGCTTCTGTTTAGATTGGCCGCTTGTGGATTCATGAAGCTCGCTACAACATTGAGGTAAACCGTGTACCGGCTGGCAACTGGGTGTTAATTGAGGGCCTGGATGCACCAATTGTGAAAACAGCTACCATCACCAGCATCACAGATAGCGACGAAGCTGAGATCTTCAGACCGCTCCGGTTCAACACGCTATCCACGGTCAAGATTGCAGTGGAGCCTGTTAACCCGTCCGAGCTGCCCAAGATGTTGAATGGCTTGCGTATGATCAACAAGAGCTACCCGCTGGTAACAACGAAGGTTGAAGAGTCTGGCGAACACATCGTCCTGGGTACAGGAGAACTGTACATGGATTGTGTCATGCATGACCTCCGCAAGATGTACTCCGAGATTGGTAAGTTTCCATGTTCGGGCTGTGTTCTTGCATTCAGTGAAGCTGTGTTGAGTATCCCTCTAGTACTCTCTCTCTCTCTCTCTCTCTCTCTCTCTCTCTCTCTCTCTCTCTCTCTCTCTCTCTCTCTCTCTCTCTCTCTCTCTCTCTCTCTCTTTGAGTATGCACTTTATTCATGCTATTTGTTAGCATAGTATGTTTATAGAGGCCAGGGTCCAGCGCCTTTCAGTGTGTGTTGTAGTTGTTGTAGTTGTAGCGGTCGGTTGTACTATTCTGGGCTCTGACTGAGATGGAAGGATAGCTACGTTTGCAGCCATGGCTGTGTAGTGTAGACCAGGCCATGGTTGCTACAGCATGTGCCAATGGATTTGTGCTCTGCTGGGAGTAGGTGCGCAAGCACAAGCGAGACCAAGCAGTGTGTATGGGTGGGTGTGTGTACACTGCTTACGATAGTGCTCATCACGAGGAGATTTCCAAGTACAGTATGTGAGCACAGCATGCAACTCTATGGCCATGAGCACAAGCTCTCTTCTTGTTTGTGTGTGTGGCGGTCGACTAGAAACTTGCCGAAACACAGACCTGCGTGCCCATGTGCGATCTGAAATTGTTTTCGACAACAGGAAGTCATAAATTTAGCATTTCCTGGCTTGTCCGATATCCAACTTGCACAGATAGCTGGTGACTGGATAGGTGACATCCTATAATCCACGATATTGCTGATCCAGATAATATTCTTGGAAGTTGCCAACACTGGGGGGGGGGGGGGTATGTGGTTGGTGCAAGCAAGAGTTCATAACCCCCAAGAGTGTGCAACGGGCATAGACCCAGCGCTCGGCGAAATTCCTACATTACGTCATGCGCAGCTTGTCATCCGAGGTAAATTTGGGTTCTTTGCGATTTCTGGAAACTATACCCTGAACCGCTCCTAACTCAAGGCTGTAGCCTCGACTTTTCGAAGCTTTTTTCAAGACATTTCGGACGTATCGTACTTTCTCAAAAACAAACTCTTTCTCCAAGAATCCATGGACATCGCGACAGGAAGAAGTGAGGACGCGTCGACGCTGTTAAAAATATTGCATTGCCGTCGAGGACAATCATTCTGATAGCTGTGCAACTCAGCCGAAAAATGCTCCTTCGAAGACGACTTCAAATGGTTGACTCCCGGGAACTTGAGAGAATACGTCGAGGAAAGCACCGGAAATATGCCGATGGCCTGGGGAAGAAATTGTTCTTGAAGAGACTGCCTGCACTGGTGAAAGAAGAAGGCGATGAAGAGTCACCATTGCATCGAAAAAATAAATAGTTTTGTCTTTAGGATCGTGTGCTTCGTTTCACTTTTGCTTCTTGAGGCTCAGACTCAGACTAGAATCGCAGATTAGGCAGTTTACCCTGGGGAAGCATCCTGGTTTGACTGTAAATTTTAGAAGAATTCATCGGTGTGACTCATCGCACTGCACCAAAAATGACGCAATGAAGGAATTCCGCCGAGCGGGCTTCCATACAGGGACTGATCAGGAGTTGCACACTCTTGGGGGTTATGAACTCTTGGTGCAAGCTGTAAGCGCAGTTCATGCACATACACAATGTTCACCTCGCTATCAGCTGTAAAGTTATGTGTGCCTAGATGTTTATATGTTGTTTATATACCGTAAAGTACCGTTGATCCGCCACCTCTCTAATTCCTGCCCCCTGTCGATGTTTTACCTGTGAAGCGACTTCGGCGTATACAACGAAAATACGATGTTGAACCGACACATGCACTGCTGTACACAATACTTGCCCATCCAGGATGAAAATGTGCACAATCCAGCACATCGAGTCTGAATTTCTACGTTGTTGTACATCGTACTGCACTTGACAGCCTTGATCTAATTCCCGCCCCCTGCCGAAAACCCAGCTGGGAAGCGACATGGCGTGGGGGTGGATCAACGGTACTTTACGGTACTCTCTACCGTCTGGAGTTCACTCGTATGTTTGTATCCCTGACTTGGTGGTTTGTTTCTCCGCCTGTACACTTGTCTGTACTTATCAGGTACTAATACGCAACTGTAACTGATGTTGCTGGTGTTGTTATGCAGAAATCAAGGTTTCTGATCCGGTGGTGACATTCAGTGAGACCGTAGTGGAAGTATCGTCCATCAAGTGCTTTGCAGAGACGCCGAACAAGAAGAACAAAGTGACGATGATTGCTGAGCCACTGGAAAAAGGTGTTGCGGAAGACATTGAGAATCAGGTTGTGTCCATAAACTGGAACAGGTGTGTTGCTTTTCAGATTGCTTGTCAGCAAGATCTTGCACATTTAATTTGTGACGTGGATAAATGGGTTTTTCTAGGGGTACGAAGTAGTGGTTGCGACTTCGGCGATGAAGTCGGCGGAATAGCGCGAGCTCCGGTGTGGGGAGCAAACCTTTCTTTTCTAGGGGTACTAGCTTTTATTCCCGTAGCTATGCAGAAGACGTTACTTCAGTAACGTCTGGCGCTAGCCAGGGTCCACACAGCTTTAATTTGGTATTTGTGTGTTTGTTTGTTTGTGTGTTTGTGTCACGCCTGGCGCTATCCCGTATCTGTCCCGTACCGTACCATCAAACACAGCTGGCCACATACAGCTGGCCGCAATATTCAAATAGGGCTTTCAAACGCATCAAACACAGCTGGCCACATGCAGCTGGCCGCAATATTCAAATAGGGCTTTCAAACGCAAGATCATAACGTGAAGTAACTTGGAAGAATGAGGATGAATGCGAAGTGTATGGGGGAATGCATGTAGGGTGATAGTGCGGGTTCGAATCCCAGGTTATGCCTAAAAAATAGGAGAATTGAAAAAATTATAACATCCTTATGCTTTTTTTGCCTAGGTCATCAAGGCGGTAGACGGTGTCGTATTATCCTCGACCGTACCTGTCCCGTACCTGTCCCGTACCGTACCATCAAAGACGGCTGGCCACAATACATATTCAAATAGGGCTTTCAAATGCAAGATCATAACGTGAAGCAACTTGGAAGAATTAGTATGTATGCGAAGTGTATCGGGAGATGCATGCAGGGCGATAGTGCGGGTTCGAATCCCAGGTTATGTCTTTACAAAAAAGGAGAAATTTATAAGAATTTATAAGGCCACACGTTTTTATTTCTATGTTTCTCGTCACCTGAAAATCTAAAAACGTATGCGAGAGGTGGAAAAAATAAAAAAATTACCGAAAAAAAAAAAGTTTATTAGACCTGTGTTCACACTAAAATCCACCAATACACCATGCAAAATAGCATCAAGAGTTCATGGGGGTTATGAACTCTTGAGTTAGCAACTAGTATGTGGTATAGGAGCTTCTGTCACAATCTGTGCATGTGTAGCTAGATTGCGCACAATAATTGGTGACCTCGCATCATGTGTCGCGCTGGCCAGGCCACATTATGTACATGTGCATGAGTGTGCTGGTTCCCACATGCACAGTCAGTGCAGCACATTTTTTTCTTTTTTTCCTCCAGACTCCTGAACCGTATGCGCGCGGGTGACGAGAAACATAGATATAAAAACGTGTGGCCTAACATCTCTCTGCTTCTTTTTGTCTAGGTCATCAAGGCAAAAAAGCATAGCGTAGGGCCCTGAGCTTCCAAGCTCTCTCGTTTATGTATCGTTGTGGGAGCTGAAATCCAACCTCTGGATTCTGCGTACGAGTGCTGCGGAGGTAAAACGAATCCCAGCCAGTAGTGTACATGTGCTTGGCATGCCAGCAAAGCGTAAAGATCGCTTTTAGGCATTCATTTTCCAGTTTTGCATAGGGCTGTGTACTGCTGCGTACATGTGTACTGTTGTGCTGTGAACCTCCCTATTGTTTCTGGTGTAACTGCAAGGGTACGACATGAGTACAGTACAGAAGTTCAGATTTAGATGCATGCACTGCCCATGCTTTGAGACTAGTCTGGTCTTGTGCTGTGTTGGTGCAGTCCGAGCCCATTGCGAACGAATGTCCCAACTGCGAAGTAGTCATGATACTCGGCCAAAAGGAGCAGTCGCTGTTTCTCATGTCTACGTTTGTGTGACTCCACTCTGTGTTTATGCACTTCGAAGTTCATGCTGCTTTCTCTGATCAAAGTCATATTCATGTACATGTATCTTTGCTGTGCACGCATTCTGTGTTGCAGGAAAAAGTTGGGTGAATTCTTCCAGTCAAAGTACGATTGGGATCTACTAGCAGCCAGAAGTATCTGGGCGTTTGGTCCGGAGGCGTGTGGTCCCAACGTCTTGGTTGACGACACGCTACCATCTGAAGTTGACAAGAGCTTACTGAACTCGGTCAAGGACTCCATCGTGCAGGGCTTCCAATGGGCGACAAGAGAAGGTCCACTTGCCGATGAGCCTATTCGCAATGTGAAGTTCAAGATTCTTGATGCGCACATCGCTGATGATCCTATCCAGCGTGGCGGTGGTCAGGTCATTCCCACTGCTCGCCGTGTTGCCTACTCAGCTTTCTTGATGGCAGCGCCACGCCTTATGGAGCCACACAACTTCGTTGAAGTGATTGCACCAGCCGACTGTGTGTCAGCCGTCTACACTGTACTAGCCAAGCGACGTGGCCATGTCACACAAGATGCGCCCGTTGCTGGCTCACCGCTCTACGTCATCAAGGCGTTCATGCCCACCATCGACTCATTCGGCTTCGAAACTGACCTCCGCATCCACACACAGGGCCAGGCTTTCTGCGTCTCCATCTTCCATCATTGGCAGATTGTTCCTGGTGACCCGTTGGATAAGTCGCTGGTCATTCAGCCGCTGGAGCCTCAACCAGCACCAAAGCTTGCACGTGACTTCATGATCAAGACAAGACGGAGGAAGGGTCTCAGCGAGGATGTCAGCATCAGCAAGTTCTTTGACGATCCTATGTTGCTTGAGTTGGCACGACAGGATGTCACACTATCATTTGCTCTCTGAGCATTCTATCCTGTGTCCCCTCATATTTTACACGAATGCCTGTGTGTAACGGCTCTCTTTCGTTCCTCTGCTCTGCTCTGCTTCTCAGATGAGACCTGCTTTCAAAGCGTTTTCTTAAGTTTCAACTGCAAACCTTGTGCATAAATCAGTCCTAACTATCTTTACCTCTTCTTGTATTCTGCTCTTGTACATTAGTTTTTTTCTGTTTGATCGAGGAACGTGCTGGTAACGTTAATTCTTGAAAACAAATGATCGTCTTTTGTTGGTGATGGCTCCTTTCTCTCTCTCTCTCTCTCTCTCTCTCTCTCTCTCTCTCTCTCTCTCTCTCTCTCTCTCTCTCTCTCTCTCTCTCTCTCTCTCTCTCTCTCTCTCTCTCTCTCTCTCTCTCTCTTTGGTCTGTTACTTCGGAGTAATATAGGGGCATGGGGTGATGGGTCAAGTCTTTGAAAGGCTGAATCCATCGCCACATGCCAAGCTCGCGGTGCGGCTGATGATTATGTACTTCTTACACTTCTTGCACCTTGTGCCTATTCATACACTACAACAGTTTGTTGTATGTTTGTTGTATGATGATCGGCCGATGGGCCATGAAATTCTAGAGTAACAACCTGTAGCATTGTTCCATTGCAAACGTGCGTTTTCCGTAGATCTACATTCTACAATAATATAATCGCTCTTGCTTTGGCGCATAGCTGGCTTTATCTATTGCATGTGCCCAACAGCAATGGGAGTCTGAGTACATGTATGTGTGGCGTGGGTTTGTATGATTGTAGTAATGCGTGCACATACATGTATGCCGAAATGTTGGCGGACGCTGCCGGGATCGTGAGCAATGCAGGCGTTGCCAATACTGCAATAGTGGCTACCTACTGCCAACACTGCCTTCCAGTTCCACCGGGCACAACCAGACAACAAAATTACAAAAAAATGTAGCGCCAAATTCTCTCATGTTCATAAGAGGACAGTAGTGGATTCTGTGGAATGAAGGTGGAGCCCACGATGACAACCCTTACAAACTCCCATTGAACGATGACAATGCAAGGCCACTCTACATAAGTCTTATCTACATCAGTACTAGTACCGGTCCGTCTAGCTGGTTGACCGAGCATGTCTACTACCGGACTACAAGACTTGCTGCACCTTGATCCGAACGTGACTTGGAGTGCGGACCGTCACTCGCGTCAGTATCAAAATTAATTCAAATCTAGCTCTGCCATCCTACCTAGTTCAAGTAACAGTTAGTTGTAGGGAAAACAAAACGACTTCATGACTGTTAGAATACTCCACAATCATGTACTTGTACTGCACGGCACAGCTGGTACTGGCCCGCTCAGTAGCGGCCTTCCTCACAACTCAAAAGTCAAAATCATTCACGCCAAGTCAAAGTGACAGGATCGAATAGGTGTCAGGTTTCTCGTTCGTGGACTGATCACAGCTTCTTCTTCAAGAGCATCTCTCGAACCAACCAACTGACATGATGCGCGCACTTTCCAAGCCTCACCGCCTACTTCGCTTCATTCTCAGTCAACACAAACAGCTCTGTGAAGAAGTTTAATTAGGCAACTGAAAACATGATTCTGTAGTAGGGTTGATTCTGAATGAAATTAGTTGTTTGCAGTTGTTGCTGCTCTGACACGACGTAGATCGTCGCAGTCCTTTCCGTCCACTGGTCCAAGCTACAGCCAATAGCCTGAAATCATTGCCATTGGTGAAGAGCTTGGTTTGCGCTTGCCGCTATGGCTTCTGCCAATCCCGAGGGGCCGGCAGAAAATGTGACAACGCTGAAAAGAAACGCCGACCTGAAGCTCGCTGATGTGTTCGTTACGGATGCGCAGGTGTCCGGAATCATCGACTATCAAGTGTTCGAGAAGAAAAAGAAGAAGACTCGCTACTCGTACGTTGTGTTTGTTACTTGGTCCGATGGGAAAACAACGACAGTATGGAGAAGTTACAATACGATCTTCATGTTTCAAGTTGACCTGCTTCGAAAGTTTCCTGAGGCAGCCGGAGAGAAAGCAGACAAGGATGGTTACAGAAAGCGAATCATCCCATACTTGCCCGGTAAGCTGGACAATCTAGAGTCGAGAGTCAACATTGTCATTGAAGTAATTAGTTGAACATCAATGAATGAGATTTCGTCTTTTCGATGGGTACTGGAGGCTGAGCGTTTGCACGCTCGAGCACTTTGCTGTGCAGATCAATATGCGAAACGGTCCCAGTTTGGCCGGGGGGGGGGGGGAGGGGGGGATGATACACGCTGGCCCACATGGCTATCTATATCATGACCTTGCATTCATTGCGCACGCAATACAATCATGATTTAGATTGCTGGCCAGTGAAAGTAAGTAACTGATTTAGTATCAAGTTGCCTTCATGATTTCATTGGCCAGCCAGTACATAATCATTGAACAAGTACCATGCCAGGGTTAGATATCTCAAGGCACGTAAATGACAGCCAGGCCCAAGGTCACTGAAAGGTGCAGACACCCCACAAAGTGCTGTTCGTGATACAACCGTTCTCCGTTGGTAGAGCTGTAGAGCCATGGTACAGAGTGCACAATCAGTCAGAATATCCACGATCCGGCTCTGCATGCCGCATACAGTCATGCCGGTGTGCTACTGAGTACAATGCCCACTACTGTTTACTGGGGCATGTTAAAACTTGCATAATTATACTCTTCTTGACTATTGATTTGCTTCGTCCAACTCCCCCGGCACTGACATCACTGTGGACTCTTCCTTATTGTGCTAATTTGTTTACTCAGGTAAGAAGCTATTTACACGTAGTGATGCCAAGCTTGCATCACAGCGCGAGCCGCAGATTGCCGAATGGGTTCAGAAGATGGTGAAGCTACCAGAAAAGGTTAGAAACGCTATATCTGCGGCATGCCAAGAGTCGAACAAGACCAACATATGATTAATTAACCAATGCTGCTATATACGTAGAGTGGGCTAATTATACGAGAGATTGGACTGCCAGCACCTACCACACAGCAAACAGTCACTAGGTTATGTGATGCACATGTACATCTGCCGGTATGTTTACTAGTATACTGTAAGTGACTCTTCACTGATCCCCCGGCAGGTGTGGCGACAAGTAAGTGTGCCCTGGACTAAGGGGCCGTCCAAGGTTACCAATAGTATTTTCAAAACGAAAAGTTTGCGTTTGGGGGTGGGTGGGTTTGAAGGAGTTTCGTTTTGAAAATAATTATTGAACGCAGATGGAGAATGCCCAGTTACTTCTGGATGTCGAAAATTGACATCAATATTTTATTGGAATTCGTTTTACATGCAGAAAAGGTAGGTGGGTGGGTGGGTGCTGAAAAATACTAAAACTTTTCGTTCTGCAAAAACTATTGGTAACCCCGGACGGTAGAGTCCAGCGGATAATGCTCCGAAAATGTTCGTATAATGCTAATCATAATGCTCCAAAAACTACCATATGATGCTGATTATAATGCTTCAGCAAGGGCTATAATGCTCTTGGTTTGGAACAAAAATGGAAGAAATGCTGCACATTGTCATACTTCCAGGAAAGGATGCATTATAGTCGATCTGCCTCTGACGCTGCTGCAAAATCTCTTACGAGCTCCATTACTTCTTAGCACTATAAAACGGATCGCGTCTCCATTGGCAGCTCTCCATTGCAACTTTGATGCAGGGCTGTGGCTGAATAGTGGGCGTATCAAATCTTTTCCCTTACGTATCCATGTAGTGAGAGGTGAAACCATTATTACAGGTGATCACTGAGATGAAGTTTATCTTAGCAAATAGTATTCTTGCCTGCAGACAAGCTGTCACTGCTTCCACTCTGTGAATATTGTCTTCGTCTGAAACAGCTCACGGTTCCTGAGAGACGATCTCAGATCGAGATCCCTCCCATTTGCGGAAATCCAGAAAACATGTGGTCAGACGTTATTTTGCCGCTCTACATCCTCTGCCTGCGCTGTCTTCTTCTCCTGAGGTTGCGCGGAGACAAATGGTTGACCACAATGCTCTTCTTTCTGATAGCATTAGACTGTAGGCCTTGCCGATTACAACCGTCTACGACAAACGGTACGTGCTTCCCATGAGAAATTCTACAGTTAGTAGTTCTTTTCGAGCCTGCTGAGCTGGACTCGGCAAAGGCAGTTATTTGGAACATGCTCTTTCTGTTTACGGTATAGCCGCTCCATCATCCAGGTCCAAATGTATCAATGGATCAGTGTTCAGTATCGCTAGAGATATACGACTCCCTGCTAGAGATGCCATGGCCAAAGCCTATGGCATAACAGGAAAACTCCTCTTCATCTGTTTGATACTCGCTTCGCGTAGATCTACGTCAAGTCTTCTCCATGGCTCTCCATGATTTCTACTTCTCGTAAATCATCGTTACGGATTTTGTGTAACAGCCTCAGTTGCAACGTTGGGCATGCGACATCACCTGTACATTTACCTGACTACAACATTGTACATTGCTACATAAAGACTTCAATGTAGCAATGGCATTATGTAGTCAAGCAAATGTAGCATTAGTGCTAAAGGTGTTACGTGTGTACACAATCACAAAGTCATGTGCCGGTACAATATGGCGTTGCACCTCGTGGCTATAGCCGATTATTGCCAAAACCTGAGATTTCCCGACATTATTGACAATGCATCTTTTTATGTCGCTCAAACCTCACATAATGCTCGTCTTGTTCCTTTCTAATGCTCCATAATGCTCCGATGCTCGGATAGTCTCCTAATGCCGACTGAGCCCCCAAAAACGGAGCATGCACGTCAGTATGTAAAATTGACCCAAAAGTGAAGTCGGGTGAGCCAAATGTCGCCATAAAACAATGCAAAATATGTACGCGAAATTCGTGGGATTGTGAGATTCACAACACCAGGTTCACCCACATGTCACCACATCAGAACGCTGCCCTTTTCTGGATTACTGATTCGTTGCTCAAATAATATTATGGAGACATTGCGATAAAAGAGAAAACTGACGAGCACTGCCAAGAATGGACGCGAAAAGTCATGAGGTACATCCGGTCAGTTCAAGACTGATCCTCTTGTGCATGCGCATTATAGCAATACGCTAAACGTGGCTGCATGCAGCACCAAAACGGGAGCGTGGATAGCGGCTCTACATGAGACATGCAGCTTGCATGGACGGTCTATTATTCAAGGAAGGAAGTACGGTAATGATACTATAATATAGTGCGGTTTCTATGCAATCAACAACGCCAGAATGGCTGTGATTCCGTTACACCATAGACAGTCCATTACCATGGCTTCTTATTGACTCTTGGTGATTCTTATTATACATTACTCGGATCTTATTCATGACCTCACAGTAAGAGTGCTACTAGCATCCATGTCATCGTCTTTCTCATTAGTTATGCTGCTAGATGTCTGTGCATGCTCTCTTTGATGTGAATGGTCCTGCAGGTTTCACGCTCTGAGTTTGTAGTGGACTTCTTCCGTATAAAAGAAAGTGATCCTACTTATAAGAAAGAATTGACAGAAATGGCGGACCAACCGTCGGAGCCCACCAATGATGTCACCGATCCCAAGAATGGTGCCACAGCAAACGGCGATGTAGAACCAGCAGCTGCTGCTGCTGCTGCAGTTTCCATCGAAGGATTGACAGTGAACATGGTGAATACAGCGCCAGAAGAGCCTTCTGCGCATCAAGTTAGCTCTACCGTTGCTGAGGTACAGACCGGACAGTATATTATCGTTTAGAGTGCATATGTGTACAACAATCTTTATACTTCCTAAGAAGTACTATAATGATAATAATAATAATAAAATTCGCGGGAAAAGATGTACTCTGCAGGAATGATTATAGTACTGCCCTATGAAATACGATCAAGTTGTTCAGCTTTGCGCCCTGCACAAGTGAACATTCCAGTGTTCGGTCTAGGGCTGCCCAGCGTCCAGCGTGGCATTGACTTGTTTGATCACATTTCATTGCCGGGGCAACACTGTACATATGCTGTAGTATATTGAGTAAGTTGCTACAACAAGTATTGCACTACTGACAGAGGACATGCCGCAGTACATTGTATTGATGGAGGAAATGCCACTTTTGTTGGGATTGCTGCTTTGGGACTCCCACTTTTGGGTAATTGGCTATCTAAAATTGAATGCTTAGTAGAGGTCGTCCATAAATATCGAACTTTTTTCACAAAACGAAATAATTTCGTTATGGGGTGGGAGGGGGTTGACCAATTATCGTTTCAGAAAACACTGATACTGACAATGTACGTGCCCGTAGGAGCAGTGACACATTTGCGACATTTGTTGTGTAATATGTGTGTATGTGTCAACATTTTTTACGTTCTGAAGGGGGGGGGGTCTAAACTAAAATAAAAAAATATAATTTGGTGAAAAAGTTTGATGTATACGGACGGCCCCTTACTAGTATCGGTCAAAAGAACCTGAGGGATGCGCCCCAAGGCTGTGTATTAGCAGGGATTATTACACTGCTGCTCAATGAAACTCAAATCAGTGGCTGGGTTCGATTATGCACTTGAATCGATTCGCATGCATTCAAGTCACTCGATTTCCATGTCGGAGCAATCCATTCACCCTATTCACATGGGGTGATGTGAACAGCGCGAATCGATTCATGAATCCAGAATCAATTCGCGTGCATAATCGAACGCACTCACTGGGTCCGAGTTTGCTGTTCACATCCCAGTGTTCACCAGTCCAGGGCTGCATAGCGCTGCCCGGTGTGACACTTACTCGCTTGATCAGATTTCACTGAGCAGCATTTTAGTAAAACATTTCCGCAACACTTCCAGGTGTGAGAGGTGATCATATACGCGCGTAGAGAAGGGATTGGGTGAGCAAGTTTTCCGTGTGTTGTACTCAATGCTACTGATTGTTGCACTGAGCGCAGCTGCAAACAATGTGCCTTGTAGCGGATATGATCATTTCCCCGCCAACTAGGGCCCAGATAGAGTGACAAGATCACTAAGCACTCTACAGTGCTGCTCACCGAAATGTGGAACTGGTCTCAGGCACACAGGCAGGGGCGTCGGACACACTCCGGTCACTACAGTATTGCCCGTACCACTCCTCATCCCGGGTACCCTGTGAATCAATAAAAGCGCTGTTTTGGGGCCAAATTTCGAAAATGTTCAAAGGTGCCTCCCCAACCCCATGTACTATGTCATGTGGCTGACCGTACCACCTTAAAATACCTTCCGACGCCCTTGATAGGTAAGTACTGTTACTGTGAACTGGTATCGAGTAGAGCTGCAAGCTGCAACACCGCGATTTGTTTCATGCAACTACTGATATAATAAGACATACAAATACTAGTTCCGCTACACGGCGGTAGTTTACCGGTTGCTGTACCGAAGGTCAGGAACAGCCATCTTCCATCGGCCACGCATGTACACATGCTAACTGACTGTGTCCTGTTGTTGTTGTTGTATAAATTTCTGGATCAAGGTCTTTGTAAACGAAGGTCGGGTTGAAAGTCCAGAGAATCCGGCGACTCCCACGGAGGATGCCAATACAGAGCCTGAGCCTGACCCCAACCAGGGATCTGAAGCTACGGAGGAGGAGGACAGGGCGGAGGAATCAACTACTGACAACCAAGAAAACCAGGATGATGATGCTGCTGTGGCAAGTTCAACAAGAGATGAACCTACGACGATGACAGGAGAGCCTAGCACTGATGAGGTGTCGACTGAGAAAAAGGACGAGACGCTTGAAGCAAGTACAGAAGATAATGCTACTACTGAGAAGGATGACTAAAGTATAAAGCCACTATCAGGTGACCAACAAGGGCACTCTTTGGGAGAACATTCAACATTGCCATCAGTATACATGTATCTCTGAGTGAGTGCCACCATGAGGAGAGTGAGAGCCACTCAAGCATGCCACTGGCAAAGTACGTAGTACTATAACTGTCTATACTCAAGTGGTCCATAAAACTTGCATACACACAGTGTGAATGTCGGCTGCGCTGGACGTGCCTTTACATTTACACTGGGGATGTCTACTGGCGATGGTTACCATGGTTACTGCAGCAGGAGTGCTGGACACTTCTTTCCTTCACAGCTAGATTCCAAGTGCTGATGCAGCATAGTTTATATATTCCCAGTATTGGGTAGATTACTATTTCCGTTTTGCTTATTTCAGATTAGTCAGTGTCATCTCTCATGAAACATGGTATGAGTATTCTATTCTTAGTCGAACCTAAACAGTATTGGTCAGAGACAGTATAGTATGTGTGACAGGGCTTTCTGGGTACTAGCACTGATGTACCACTGCATACATTTGCATATGGAACGATGATTGCGAGGAGTTTCTGCAGGTTGTCTGCGATTGCCAAAACACACATTGCATCCTACCAGAGCTGATCGGCGTGGAATGAGACAATCTGCCACGTGATCACACTGTGTTTTACATGCTGAAGAAGCTAAGCATGGGCGTGTGACCGGGCCATGTGGCTATTGTGTGTGTGTGGGGGGGGGGGGGGGGGGGCATGTGGATGCGTGCGGGAAAGGCCCTTAGGGTACTGTAAAACCGGAACATTTCGGTGGGTAATTTTCGTACAAGCATGCCGACTGCAGTACGGACAACTGATTTACCGACATTTTCGTGTTACCGAACTGTTGATTTTTGGGAAATACCGAAAATATTACACCACCGAAAATTCCCAGTTTCACAGTAACCCATAGTCAAGTCTGACCGTAGGTGTTAGAGACCTCCTGTTTCAATGAGCTCGACATATTGAGGGCAGTGCACATATCCTCTCACTCTCTGTCTCTCTCTCTCGCGCGCGCGCGTCTCCTTTGCCTCCCCAACCGAAGTCAGGTACTAGTACTCAATCCCAGATTGGTCTCCTGGGGAGGGGGATAATCTTCACTCACGTTGGGAGCCACCTGTCCTTACCAACTACACATCCACACATACAGTGTACTACTGCATATGTAAGTATGATAAAACAGCAGATGAGCACCCACACTAGTGCTCATGGTATTTCTATAGGAAAGAATGTGATGCTATCGCCTACACAATCTTAGCCTACCAGTAGACCATCAAACAGTGGAAGTTGTGAAACTGTCCAGATGATGTTCTCATACAAAATGCTGTCACAGGTCGGCGATTGCCTGCGATTTTACAGTACTGTGTACTCGGAGCGCTTGCTATAACCGGAAGGAACTGGATGATAGTGAGTGGGACGTTGGAAGCGAAGACTAGTAGAGTGTACTTCGAAGTAGTAACGTTACTACATGTGGTGCATAGGCATGGGTACAAGGATTGATTGGACAAGTTCAAAAAGTGGATTTGCAATGGAGAACAAGGGACTCTTTTCCAAGCACCTGACACAACCAGGGTTCCCACGTGAGGTTGTTTACAGGGTGGGAATGGATGACCAAGCACAAGCAGCTGGTCTAAGTAGAAGCAGATGTAGCAGCCAGCCTATGGTGAGTTAACATCTGGCAAATGATCAGATCACACCCGCGCAGACCACTAACTCTTAGAAAGTCATGTTACATGTACCGGTAAAAAAAAAAAAAGGAAATTATCGTATCCGTTCCCGAAGGGAACTCACGACGGCCGCTAACACCCGATAAACTTTCAAGTTTTCAGTATCAGGTCGTTGCAAAGTATGCACTTTCGCAGGCTGTCGCACGCGTACGCAATTTCTGGGCTGTCAACTCGGTCATATATTCTTTCTGGTCTCTTGGTGTGAGAGTATGTATGAATGAGCATGCAAGAGAATGTACATGTGTGCGTTGTACTGAATAGGGTACATTTGTTGAATAAGTATAGTCAAATATACGGTTAAAAAAGAGGCCGCAGGATTGCCATGGCTTATAGGTTATAACCGTTAAACTGACCGTTAGCTTAGCAGTTAACCGTTAGGGGTAAAACCGTGACCATTTGAGCCCTACTGTAGAGTGCTTGCATCATGTATCCATCAAAACATATGCACAGTTACAATGCAGTCAGCGACAATTGCCTAGGCTAGAAGCGACAACTCATCTACATGATGGTGTGGTACGATCTAACTAAGTAAGATTGATGCCCACGGTTGCGGAAAAGTGCTTGGTGTCGAAGGATGAAGTGATGACACGAACAAGAAATCTGAAGAAGTTGTCTATGTAGCACGCTTACAATAGTAACACAACGTACTTACGTGAACATGGTAGTTGGAAGGAGTTTAGCCTTTAGGTCTGGGAAACACTGCACCGCGCTTTCATAGAACTGTGTCAGAACAAAAACTACTTCAAAGTATAAATTTTGCTACACACATGTACGTAATAACGTGACTATAAAGTCTATACTGTACTAGTAATACATGGCCACAGTTAGTCTACATGCATCATCATAGCCCCAGTCTGAGATCCACTAATGACTACGTGACCTAACAAAATCAAAGCAGCCAGCTGTCGGGAGTTGGTGCATAGCATAGCTGTAGCCACCACTAGCCTCTCGATCATTCTTTTTACACTACATATGCAACACACACACACACACACACACACACACACACACACACACACACACACACACACACACACACGCATGCACACACACTGGTATGAAGCATGCATGGCACTTTAGCCATAATTCGTCCAAGGATCTGAAGACATTTGAAAGTTCCAACCCAAATGAAGAATTCAGAAGACTGAAGAGGCTTGCTCAAAATTTAAAAAGGGAATGCAAAATTTGCACCGTTTCACTTGTCATGAAACCTACTGGAAAATAAGCATCTCATACATTCTGAGATTCAAAACATGTCATTCCAAGCAAGTCATCCATGATCAAGTTCCTCTGAACACAGGAAGATGGAGCATGTGCTGTGGGCAACATGAATGACATTCCAGCACTCACATGTGAAAACAGCACCCGTTTACTGGAGAACACTGGGAAGAGAACGTAGCTTCCTCACCAACACACACTTCATTATCTCCCGGGCATCAAGACACACGACGGCCACTCATCAGGTCACTATCTCTGCTTGTGACCATGATGATGTGGCACGGAGCTAGTGACAAGGAATGCTAGGGCAGCTCTGTAGATACACTTGCGATATCCATTCATATCCATTCACTCAGCACTAGAACATCACGCTACCAGGACTCCGGCACTCGGCTTGGCAGCACTCTCCTCATCATCATCTTTAGATTTGCTATTATCCTCAGATCCAGCACCCTGGAACTGGATATTGTGCTTTTCACGGAAAGTGGTTAACTCCCTGCCTCTTTCTTCGATCTGACCTTTCAAACTCTTGATCAAGTCAACTAAGTTGCCTTCGTTCTTGCGAAGTGCTGGAAGCACGTCTCCAACGGTTCTCTCAGTAAGAACTCCACCGACTATTCTGAAACACTTCCTTGTGTCTTCCATATCCTTGAGTGTATCAATCACCAGTCGATGTTCCTGAAGCTCCATCTCCATTTCTGATGTTTTGTCAGCCATATCCCTTTGCTTTTGGCGTAACTGGTTAAATTCAGATACAATCCGCTTTTGATCGTCCATCGAAGGCTTCTTGGCTGCTTTACTCGCCATAACTAAGTATGATTAGAATAGAGCATACAACTAACAAACCGTGAGTTATCCTCCTCAATACAAATCCTCTTGCTTTCTTGGCTTGCCAGGAAACAAACGAAATCTCTCAAAACTTACACAAGCTCTCGCATATCGCGATATATCCATCGATAACTTCCGCAAAAATCGCGATTATGTTAGCAAAACAAATAATTTTCCTTGTGTTGATCCGTTGCCATGGGATCACAGATCTAGACAGTTGTAAAAAAATACTACAATAATTATTATTATACAGTAATATCACGAGTAAAAAATAATAATTAATGAAAAATTGAAAACAGGTTTCCATTATACAGTCAGACCTCGCATAACCGCACACATCCGTTTTCCACAAAAATATCCGGATAGACGAGGGAACCGGATAATCGAACAAACATACTGTATGTATGCATGGCATATGTTGTAAATCGGTAACCAGCGATTTTCTTCCGGATGGCGAGGGATCCGGATAAAAGAGGACCGGATAAGCGAGGTCTGACTGTACTAAAATACATGTATACATGTAGTACATTTGTACAGCTACTCTTGCAACCATTGTCGACACATTATGCATGATTATGACATGTACCGTAAAGTACCGCCAGAGCGCCCCACCATCTCGTCCTTTCGTGGCCGCCTTGTAGAGCTAGAGGTGGACTTCTGTCTGTAGGTCATACAACACGAACCTTGTACAAACATTGCACATTTTCTTCCCCTGGCTGTAAAATCAAGGCGGGGCGCTCTGGCGGTACTTTACGGTACATGTCATCAAGACTGAGTATGGTCATGTACATAACTTTCTCTTGATCTAATTATTGTAACGTACAGTCATAATCCCGGGTTATGTACTCTAAAATTGTACACAAGTGCATGTATACAAGACTACTTTTGAAGTACATGATTAGGGCCTGCATGATGTGGGGAGTCAAAGTTATGGCGACTCCGGGGACCCTCAAGAGTTTGACTGAACTGTACATTGTACTCCATACGTAGTTATAAATTGTAGATCCTAGATCCCGAGCAAGAGCACATAGCCCCCATATACACACGGTGGGAAACAAAAACTTTCCAACGCCATCCTCAGGTTGTTGAGAGGTCCGCAAAGAGCACATTATGTGGTTGATGAAGACCAGGCATGGGCCAGCTAAAAAGAAACCATGCTATTACTTGTTTTCTGTGACAAGGTCACGTACTGAAAGGATACGAAAGGAGTATTGCCTAATGGAAATTTGGAGAAAGAACAAAAGACAGGAAGTTTGGGAAAGATTGCAGTCACGGGTACCACAATGCAACTAAAAAGGAGGTGGATAATGAACAATAGTAACTAGAAACGACAATACTCTAAACACTGGGAGAAACCGTAGAATAAAAAAAGGAGTGTGACTAAAATCAACAAGAAAGTTGATGGGTTTAGGAGCGCAATACATTGAAATCCACTATGCAGCTTGAAATGAAAGCTGCTCAAAGGCAGTTGCGCCGAGACATGACACTAAGAAGAAATACGCTTTAGCATTCTCACAATGAAGAGCGGATGCCACTCTTCACAGGGCCTAGTCAAGCAAGAAACTGCAGCGCAAGCTCACGTTCCTCAAGGAGCTCCTTAGCAGTGTTGTCCATCATCTCACGCGCAAAGTCGTTGATCTCGAGGTTCTGCACAATTTGATAAGCGCCGCCGGGGCTGATACGCACAGGCATGCTGTAGATGAGACCAGCTGGTACACCATAGCTACCGTCCGACACAATGCCCATTGATGTCCAAGAGTCCTACCACCGGCAAACAAAGGATATAAAATTATTTTAAATTATAAATACATCGCAATGAGAAAAATCCATTCAACGGCAATCATCACAGCGAAGCCATGGAGTCAATACCATTGGCAGCAGTAACACATTCGACAGTAGAGATCTTTCGCACTCTCATACAAGTACAAGTACGAGACACACAAGACGCGAGTACCCCATTCATAATGTGGCCCAACTTCTGCGAAAACCAGGCTTAGGGTGAAAATCATTTTTTTGAGAAAATGATGTTTTGTAAAACGGTTGTGTCGCGTGGACGCTCGAGTGCAGTGAAGTGGAACCAAAGAGAATCTCGCTTGTTTGAAGAAGTAGCAGTCATGGCAGGAAGGGTTTCAGCAGTCAGGGAAGTCAAAGGGCTTCCGGTAGAATATTCCCTGCTAGTCCTCTAGTCACAACGAAGAGTTTTTGAGCTGATCGAACGGATTCCATCTCCTTCACTCAGGGATGGCGAAATTTCTGCGCTAGCTGCTGCTTGCGGAAAATGGTGAAGAAATCGTCTCCAGTTAGAGTCGTGATGACGATAGCGAGGAGAACCTGGACGGCATCGACCCAGCCAATCGAAGTATGGAGATACTAGCTGTTTCTGGGCCTCACGCAAAGGGAACACGCGCAGCAGAGCTCATACGTTTGCAGCAAGTTCACGAGGAAAAAGGCTAGAAGCGCAGTGTGAAAACTGTTTTGAATTGAAGTCCTTGGCGATTAAGTGCTACTGAATGCCAGGCGAATGAGCGAGCAGATCGAGAGGCCTCCACTCGAGACTTTCCTCGCTGGACAGCTAGCTGCAAGGGATTGTACGGCGTGCCGAGATTTCACTTGCTGGTCAGCACCAAGCAGACACTGCAGCACGCCAGCACACTATCACTATGCGCATACTACGAACAGTGGAACAGTTTGAAAGGCTGTGTTCTTGCTTGTTTTTGAATAGTTGTACTAGATTCACCCTTCAAAAGGTGCCATCTCAACTGGAGTCGGGTTTCCTTGTGGTGTGTAGCGCCAGAGCATGCCAGTACATGTATGCAGCCCCAGAATGTGCTGAATGAGGAGCAAACAAAATTCATGCAGAACTGTGCATGGCCACTACAGCCTGGAGCACCAAGGGGCCACAACAAGCCTGCCCCCACATGCCTACCTTGTCATGTCACCTAAACAAAAATCATCCATGTCTCTTCCTTCACTCTGGTGGATCCCTCTTCATTTCTTTCCTGTGATAACAATTTTGTGTTTTTTTTGGATTTTTTAACACAATACCCTGGTGTGTTTGAGATACTTTTAATACCACTATGAGTCGACCCACACCTGTAATATTTTGTCTCCTGACCTCCCATGCCCAGTAGAACCTGAAAATGGGAAAAAGTCATTTTGTGAAATTTCACCCTAAGCCTGGTTTTCGCAGATTCTGGGCCATGTTATCTAGGTGCAAGGATTCGTAACAACTCTGCGGAAAGCCTCATTTGTCCAAGTGCATGCCCCTTCATGTGTCGGCTGCTCTGAGTGGAATTTTGTCTCACAACTGTTTCATTGCAAAGTGTGAAAGGTTTCCACTGATGGTGCGAAAAAACACCTCATGGCTACTGTGCAGAATAGCCAGAATGGCACGCATTCAATGCTCACAAAAAGAAGGGCGAGACAGGCAAAATGCATGCAAAACACCGACATCCAAGCTAATGGCACAGATGACAACTTACACCAGAAGTTCCACAGGTCCAGTCACGGATGTGGTCTACAATGGCCTGAGCTGCAGACATAGCGCTGGAGAGCTTGCGAGCCTTGATGACGGCTGCCCCACGCGTCTGTACAGTCTTGATGAAGTCCCCCTTCAGCCAAATGTCATCTTTGATCAGATCAGTTGCCTGATGAGAGGTCTCGCCAACCTGTACCTGAGTGAAGCGGACATCAGGGAACTGAGTTGAAGAGTGGTTACCCCAGATGATGACGTTCGACACATTTTGCGCGTTCACATCACATCGCTTGGCAATCTAGGCAATTTGGTGCAAACAACAAAAAGAGCAGAAAAAAACAAGTCCTACATGAAAATCTATCAAATCAGGCCTATTCTGTAACTTGTAAGGCCAAACCACCCTTACCAGATTGTGACTCCAGGACAAACAAAAACAAGTTTCGTTTATGGGTGGATGGGTCAAGGAGAGTTTCGTTTAAAAATATTGATAGCTGAAACATCATGGTTGATAAATATGGTGGTAAAGACACACCCGGCAATATGGCGGTAAACACACGCCTGCCCACACACGCTCTCTAAGCTGCAAAGTTCTGGCACAGGGCTCTTCTTCTAACCACCACCATCATCAGTTCGCGCCTGGCGCCTAGTCGATGCATGGTTGGCGGTATCCGACATAGCAGGCTGGTACATCAAGTAGCGCATGGCACATAGAAGATGACACAGCAGCGACATAGCTCGATTGCGACGTACGTTTCGTCCCCGCTGGACTCATCAGGCAATCTTCTTCTTGGATGTCTTCATATGGAGCTTGCATTCTCCCGAGCTGAAACATCAATTAATTTTAGCTGTCGAAGCTTTTTTCGTTCTGTGAAATTTACCAATATTGCTGGATGGCCCCCTCACATGGCTTCCACAATACAATAGTGTACAATTGCTCACATGATCGTGAGCTTTCCGGGGTAAATTTCGGGAGCTCTGAAGGTCCTTTAGCTACTAAGCGAAATGAAGAGCATTTTCAACTGCCATCTAGCTGCTTCACTATGGTGCATATGGGTAGACGTATGCTAAATGAATCGAGGTAGCAACATTACTGGCATACCTGGACTTGAGCACGGTTCTGGTCGAGTCTGGTCAGGCATGTGAAGTTCTCAGCAGGGATGCCACTGGCACTGCGCTGGCAGATCAGGCAGTTGGTATTAGCTGGGTTGCCAACAACCAGGACCTAAAGGAGAAATACGCAGTACATGAACATGCATGAGACCCGGACAGTAACAATCTCCTACATGCATCCACATTGATAGGATAGGCACTCACTGCATCTTGCCTGCTAATACAGATAGAGCATACGCGTACTTGGAAATGAACTGACTTTTACACACATACGCTGCATGGTGACATTATTACAATGGCCTACCTTGACTGTCTTCTTAGCATGTGCACTCAGTGCCTCCCCAGCACTCTTGAAGATACTGACGTTACGCTTCAGAAGGTCAGCACGCTCCATGCCCTCCTTCCTGGGGAATGCACCGACCAGAATTGCCACATCAATATCCTTGAATGCGACGGCTACGTCTGATGTTGCTACAGCCTCTGCAGTGCACATACGGTAGGAACCATCACAAAATCAAGAAGAGAGGAAATTGCTTACTGTCCAGCAGCCAAAGTACATGTACAGCCACCATAAACCGCCAATGACAACAGAAATTACTCCACACATAAGAACCCACTCACAGGGTTCTAGCCAAGGGGGGGGGGGGGGGGGCTATGCGTGTGGATCAGTTCACACAGCGAAAATGCAGCCAGATGTCAATCATTCAGGGTACTCTGTGCACCTGTACGTTGCATTTTTCGGCGACTATGCAATAGTGGAATGCGGAAAAAGGGTGAAATGTTTGTAACCCCCTCCCCTCTTCCATTTGTCCTGGCTAGAACCTGCAGCCAGGGACCATCCGGAATACTGATGCTTTTTCCCAAAATGAATAGTCTCGCTATAGGGTGGGAGGGGGTCAAATAGTTTTTTCAGGAACATTGACAAACACTTGACTGTACAGCTGTGCGTGCATATACTGTAAGACATGTTATTATAACGAGTCGCAAATTTAACGATTGTCCAAAATTCATAGGTTAACGAGAAGATATGTTAACGATCTTGCAGTATTCTGCCATATCCACACACAGCATAATGAAGCAGTACGGCCTCAACGGATCTTATTATAACGAAGAAATATCATCCGTTAAAACGTTAGATTTACTTCCTCGTTAAATATACATGTCTTACAGTAGTCAAGATACTCGTGCCGGAACATGCAGTCAATATTTCTTTAGTTTTGAGAGCAAAGAAGGGCCTAGGGAGGGATTATGCAGAAAAAAATTTCTCGCAAAAAACACTGATATTTATGGATAATTCCTTACCAACCAACAAGGGCAGGGCGCAATCATCTAGCTCCATGACAACACCATTGAGAGACTCCATCATGAAGTCAAGATCCAAGAGATGAAGGACCACAGGCTAAGAATGCACCAGAAATCAAATCATGGACAGCATTAAGCGGGATTCACAGAAGCTTTTTTGCGATGCGACACGCGATGCGACGCGATCTGCGACGGACGCGTGCGATGCGAACTTGCGAAATACCATTCACAGAAGAAGTCAGTGATGCGACAACATCTTGCTGATTTGGCTACGTCACCATGATATTCGCGCGTTTTGATACAACTTGTACAAATTTATAGGCAACTCTTGAACCTTTGTACAACTTTGCTGTAGAAAAGGTCAAAATCGTACGCCAAATCGCTTGTCGCATCGCATCGCAAAAGTTGAGCCAACCTCAACTTCTGCGATGGCATGCGATGGCCCAGTTGCGTCAGTTGCGTGGGGTGCGACATGGCTGCGATTTGGGGTTTTCCCGGTTTCGTGCCTGTCGCATCGCGTGTCGCATCGCAAAAAAGCTTCTGTGAATCCCGCTTTAGACACGTGATCATCAATTACTGCCTTTACTTGATAGGGAACACCATTTCTTAGAACTCCAGTCACACAATGATCTTGAGGGTAAGTAGTCCAAGTTCAGCCCTCACCATCGTCTACACGGATTTCAAAAGCGTCGACCTCCATTTTGAAAACATGGTGGCTGGCCGCGCTACCCGTAGGCGCACGTGCCCACCGCGTGTCTCAGCGCGAGCTTCGAGCTAAAGATCATGTCGCCCACTCATTTTCCTGTGTTTCCCCATTTCTTCGAACTCGCTCAGCTTTTGCTTCGCTCGTGCTTCAGCTCCACGCTGTAGTCTGAGTTTAGTTCTATTGTCTTCTTCCAGCAGAATACTGCAAACTCTACAGCACGTCGAGCTTCTCCTAGAAGAGTTTCTTTTGCGTCGAGGCAGACTGTCGATCGTTTCAGTCCTATCTTGCCGTCGTCTCATGAGCGCCCCGGAAAGCAACAGTATCTACATGTATTTTCTTGTCGTTCCATTTTCTGGCGAACTCATTCACCTACTACTTCTTCCTTTATGAAAGCTTCAGGTGGCTGAGTTCTCCCACTAGCGACAATCATGCCTTGGAAAAGAACAGGATATTCCTAAGGTATATACAGCCAGTGCAGTGATGTCAGTGTACTGCGCGTAGTTGTTGTTTGTTTTGTCGAGAAAGAATCCCTTTCGCACTCGCGCGGGCCGCGAGGGCGCAGCACGGAAACAGGTCTATTGAATTCATTTCTTGGTCGATTTCGACAACCAATACGTCGTTGTTTTTCTTTTTTCACTGGCTATCCTTTCTCCGCTTCCGAATTGCGATGCCGTCCACCTGGAAAGCCTTGAAGTGAAACGAGTGGAGGCCGGTTTCGGAGGTAATTTTCGGCCAAACGGCAATCAAATCGAAAAATTCGAAGCGGACGATCTGTTGGTATCTATCGAAAGAAGACGTTGGTCCATAAAAAATCTTTGGAAACTACACCGTATGAACCAAGGAATTACGGTAAGTTTGAGAATTTTGGTACATTAGCTGTACGCTGATTGGTCGATTAGCGCGACCGTTGAGAAACGGGCCAGTGACGCTTTGTACAGCGTTGGTGAGGGCTGAAGTTGGATTTCTTTGAGTAAATTATGTGCATTGGTGTTGAAGAGCGACTGCACCGATTTCAAAGTCGGATTCAGCTATAGGACCAACATGATCCACACTTTCCCTCCTCAGTTGTGATCAAGCAGTACTTTTCTACCTTCCTTGTAATGATGAGCATTTCATATTATGGGATACTGGAGATTTGGGAGTTCACTTTTCGCAATGACATGTTCTCAGGTTCGTGAAGGATTGAATGCAGCTACGTCGTCGTAACCAGCTTGTATCAACACAGAAAAAATTCCACGCCACTCAGGAATATATCTTAAAGTGATACATGTATCACTATCGCCGGGCTTCTATAGTGAAATACAGGTGGGTTGGTGACTACCAAAAGTTGCAAAGGACTTCTATCACATGAAATAAAGGTGGGTTGGTTGACTACCAAACTGTGCAAAGGCAGACAATTGTTGGAAATTCTCAGTGTTGAGTTTCTACAGCCTGCAGCAGGAGTCTCTTTGGCAGTAGGGATTTCCGAACTCACTGATCGAGAGAATCCTGATCCGCGTGCGTACCTGCATACTTGGGTAACCCTCAATCTCACCCGCCGGGTGAAAACGGTTCTCAGGCAATCGTCGAATAATTAATTGGTCGTGTATGCTCGTGTCATCGCCCGGTATATTACTACTCATTGGTTTAAATATGTGCTTGACTGAGGAAAGTGCTCCTCTCGTCCCGGCCTCCCCATGGGCCTAGCTGAAACTGGGTACCCAAACCCAGTCGGACAGAGTGGGAATCGAACCCGAAACCTCATGTTTGTCCACCCATAAAGCAAGCAAAAAGGGTGCATAAAGCCCAAATTCAAAAAATATAAGTCTGCATTCAAGTCAGCAGTTTAGTCAGAACCCAAATTACGTATCCTACCTGATCTGCTCCAAACATATCACCGCGAGCAATACGCAGCAATAGAGAATAGGCAATCTGCCCTGCTGCTCCTGTGACGCATACTCGTACTGGTTCCTTCTCCTACAAACCACAGCAGTCCATCAAAGAAAACGAACCAAAACTCTTGACCGATTTCAACAGAAATCCACACCCTCTCAGACACACTCAGGTGCAGAAAGCATCTGCTTGAGCCCACGAAACCACAGTCTTGGGCATCACACCACTTTCCCCACTAAGTGTGCGTTACCATTCTCTTTGCATTGTAATTTACTTACCATTTCGTTAAGTAATTTTCGAGGAGCGATGTAGTTCAACAACTAACTTGTGCAAGAACAAGATAATTTCAGCAAGCAAATGAGGCGTTGGGCCGCAGAAATGGCCTTTCCAAGCCAAACGTTATATCAGAGCTAGCCTCGAAGAACACCACCACGCGGTTAGGACGTGCATGCAGGATATGACAACTAACTAGCTGTCTGTTGCTCTGTTTGTAGTCAGATCAGATAATTCTTCGATATCAGAAGAAAATTCCACCTCAAATCATATCAAGCATGACGCCATATATAGCCATACGCGATATACATGATATACGAGGCACGCCACATTTTTTCGAAAGGACGCAAGTAAGTTGGTTGCTAGGAGACAGGGTCGAGATTATTTTTTTGTTTGAACTGTATGGTAATTAGTTTGTGTAACCCGGTTTATACGACTCCCTTTTATTTATTTTGAACCAGAGATCGAGAATGAAGCACATTCAACACTATTCAAAAGGTTATGGTATGCATCATCCAGCTATGCTATAGTGTGCATGTGCCATCTTTCTTCTCACTATTTTGACATTGTAGTAGCCTGGTTAGCTTCTTCAGCAGGGCGGGTGCTGTGTTCCTCCCCTGCTTTTCCATCATTTTTTCCAGCTTTACCGTGAATAATCACTGTAGCTTATTGACTTCGAAGAAGAATGTGGCGATATTTGCGAAAGGTGGATCTGGCGGGACTGCGTAATGTGTGCGTTTGCCAATCAACTCGTGGCGTGGCGCAAACTTCTTTAGCAACGCCGTCTACTGGCAGTGACATCAGCAAGAAAGATGAACAACCCACTTTGGATATTCACTTCCCATGGCAGATGACTCCATACAAGAATTTCCCCAGAGTTCTAAGGCCACTGAAAGTGAGAGGCTGTGGCCGGTTGTCTAGATATGCAGCAATTTCAGTGATTAGTTACCACACACACCAGTTTGCTAAAGAAAAGCTGGTGGCATCAAAGTTCAGAGAAGCTGCGGCAGCAAATATCGTAGCCTTCACAGATGCCGTAGATAACATGGATGTAAACTTGGTCAATAAAAGTTGTGTTGGAGAGCTGAGAAAGCTAGTCGTTACGTTCTTGTCAGTGGCCCGTAATCGCTCCATGGATTTCCGTCTCCACTTGATTAACATTGATAATGTGCGTTTAGCAGGTGGCAGTTTGCTATTCTTTCACAACCGGTTCAAACTGAAGAAGATCGTTGAGGATGGAGTCGATGCAGCATTATTTAAGCATCCACTTGTTAAGCATCCGCTCATGCCTTTTGTGAACTACTTTGGGGAGAAAGCTGATGTCCGTGACCACCCTCCCAAAGCTCTCTTGATGAGAATGTATGTGACATTCTCTACCAAAGAAGTGTACAAGATTATGCAAGGTAGCCAGGTCATGTTTGGCAGTCTGGAAGCGAAGGATAGCCAGCATGTAGCAACGTTTGAACGCATTATCCCATGTGTGCCACGGGAAAAAGAAGGACATTTCCCCCCAGAGCCCTGGCACCTGACAGACATGGATTCCACAGTACTCAAGCTACAGCAGGCTGCCAAGAACACAGCGCCAGTGGCACCAACGCAGTGAGAGTATTGCATTGACCACGGATACTATGTGATGGTGCTCGTACTGTACAAGATTCGTTTTCACTTCTGGAGATAGCTTGATCAAGTTGATTCAGAAACACGGTATGTGAGGTGTGCAGCTGGACTGTGTGACCCTTGTATATCATCCTAGTGCATTTGTATGTACTTCAAGTAGTTCTTGTCCTAGTGCGTCAGAAACTGGTGCTCAGGTTTTTCCGGGAACACTTAATGCTACTGCTGCTGCTGCTGCTGCTGCTGCTGCTGCTGCTGCTGCTGCTGCTGCTATTCATGCTTTATCTTCTTCCGGCCCTTTAAACTTTATGGAATGCACAGAACAACTTTTGATCTAATTCAATTCTAAAGACAAGATCAAGATTGGTTAAACTTTTGTATAGCATTGATATCGAAGAAATCAATACATGCAGTACCTAGCAAAAGGCCTTGCTCGCCATAGTAGTAGTAGGCAATTTCGTCTAGAATTACAAATTAACAAATCTCTGCAAGTCCACTGTGTGCACAGCGTGTATGGGAATTGTTCTGGTTCTTGACCTTTGACGTCTGCTAGACTGTTGACAAGAATACATATTGTGGGCATAGCTGGTAAGTTCTGGTTGGATTCATATGTACATCGCTATTGTTAAAAAAAAGACACTTCTATCCATAGCAATACTTCAGCCTTGTACGGCCTCCTGAGTATACACAAGAAAGTGAACTGTTCAGCTAATTTTTCACGTATGAATGAAAGATTCGGCCATTCATGGTCTCTTGGGGGAGCCTATACTGCTCCCGTGCACAATCATGGTGCAAATGTTCTCAGGCGTAGTCGTAGCGGTATCAGCAACTTGCTCTGTATAGTGTCAGCAAGCTGTGGGCAGCTTTCCTTCAGCTCATCACTGACAGACAGTAACGACTGTGTTTGGTTCTTGTAGCGTATCAACTCCTCATCAAGTATAGGACCGCCTTCTCTCTTTTTCAGCAGTGGGTTATATCGGCCTGCAGCTGCATTAGCATAGTGCCGTTGTCTTGCTTGCAGCCACCGAACCTCAAAACCAAGCTGTAAGTCGAACGCGTACGATATACACATGCACATGCACACACACACACACACACACCATGTACCATGTATACAATCATCGCAAGAGAAGCCACACGCACACACACATACACACACATGCACTCTTCAGCTGCAGTATTTTGAAGATAGAAATGAGACTGTCAAACACATATGCATGCAGTTGATCATGCCTTAGACCTGAGTCATGCATTCAAATTCATGCACCATACAATGGACTATTCAGTTACAGCATAGTGAGTATTATAATAATTATAGAACATGCAACTGTGTACGATGTCTGAAATTATACTCACCCTCTCCTTTTCGCTTCGCTCGGCAGCGGACTCCTCGTACAGTTTATTTTTCACTCCTGCCATTGCCTGGCACGTGCGCTGCTTTTCTTGAATGTATCCCGCCATCTCACGCTGTGCTATGTTCAGCTCCTCTATCTCTACAGTAAACACGTTAAAATGCATACATACTAGGTCGCACACATTGTTGCATGCATACCAGCACATACCAGAGCACACACATTGTTGCATGCTTGCCAGGACGATGCACTGCACTGTGTGGTACATGTAGTGCATGGACAAGGTCTGCTAGTCGGCACCGGGACACTTGTCAGGTAGTGGGGTACCCTGCTGGTTAGTGCATGGTGTTACACGAATCTCACTTGAAACTGAACGTTAGTGGGAGTTGTATATCACTGTCTATGTCAAAGTGACCTTCTTTAGTTTAGTGTCTACGTACTTTGATCGCAAGATGCTGAGTTACGACGTGACTGTTGCAGCTTGCGTGCCATTCCCTCCACCTGCTTCTTGAGATGTCCTTTGGTTTGCTGTGTCTTTCCAGTGGTAGACTTGACCTCTGCTCTACATGTCACACATATGATACATATGATACAATCTCACGTGAAGTATTTGGAAGCATGAGCGCAAATCGCAGATACTTGACTGACAATACTGTGGTTCTGTTCTGTTGATGTTTGGCTTTTTTTGTTTGTCCCCACAGAGAGTTCTTGAAGAATGAGTTCTCATCTCCATATACAATGACTTGCCGGCTGCCCCGCGTACACATTTAACTTCTCCATGTACAAGTAAGTACGAAATACATGAGCATGTTATGTACACTCGCACAGCATCACAATGTCAAGGCATACAATACAGTCATGTATGTGACATATGTCATAATTATGTCTTGACATTCTTGATTTCTGTACATTTTAAATATGCAATCTTACTTGAAGTTAATGGTTGCTCTCTGCTTCACAGAGTTCTCCATCAGCCTGATGAGGCTCTGCTGCTTGCGTTTAACCTCATCGTACCTTGTCTATATACAGACACACGTGCATGCATTACACATTACACACACACACACACACACACACACACGGTGACAATACACATCACACAGGATCGTTATTACGGCCGGATATAAGGTTGATGTCTGTCAAAACTGCTGGCTGCTGGGAGCCAATCTGTCAATATGGCGTTACAGTTGCTATGAACAATACTAGTACCTCAAACAAGTATAGTAAACCTGCCATAGCCGGACGCCCTTGGTGCAGCGAAAACTGTCCTGATATGACAGGATTCCGCTTGATCCAGGGATGCATGTTCGATCCACAGCACTTTGGTGCATGAAAATTTGTCCGGTCAATACAGGATTCTGCTTAGTACAGGGTACGGCGAACAAAGGTTTTACTGTAATACTGAAGTAGTATACAACACACAAGATGTGATTGACCAGGCTGACCAGGGGTGCAGGCCGACTGGTTTATGGCATCTCCGGGACCAGGTAATTTTGCTAATTTTGCCACAAAACAATGCACATCACCCTGGATTGATAGCATACATGCAGAGCCCTGATAGCCGGGAAGACCCTAGACCACGCTCGAGTTGACTGCACCTGTATACAGCTCTGGCTGTGCAGCGTATAATCATTATGATCGGACTTGATATGACAATTATGTACACGTTGTGAATTACACATTGTGTACAACCATTTGACTAAGGTTAGTGATGACTCTCTCACCTGCATGGTGTGAAGTTCTCCTTTCAGAAGCCTGATTTCACCTTCCATCTCATCAGATGCCAACGTTTGACTCGTCTCTCTTGCAATCTGAATTTTCTTTTCCCATAGCATGATCTGCTGCCTGCAAGGCACACACAGATGCAGATGCAGCACCATCGTCGCTATAGCAGCGTGTACTGGATGTAAATACATGCCGGTGCATTATCATGTCACGGTACTGTTCACTTACTCGGATTCAATCAGACTGTTCTTCAGTCTCTCCTTTGCTTCTTCGTTGGCGCTGATATCAAGCTTCATTGTCATAATCTCACGCTCAGCATCCTGCAAAAAACACACCCCAAACCGCATTCAAAAATGTTCATGACCATAATGCAGCAGTGTGATTGCAGCGAAGTGTGATTGCAGCGAAGTGTGATTGCAGCGAAGTGTGATTGTAGAGCAGTATGCTGGATAATCGTTGACGAGGTGTGCTCTCGCCTCAAAGATTCTTTGAAACCTCTAACATACAAGCGGCTGTTGCACAAAACTGCTGTTTGGTTCACTACTCCAGGCAAAGCACCATCAACTTGACTCCAGGCATTTTACCTTCAACTGAGCAAAATAGTCGCTTTCCAGTAGAATGTTGTCCTGCTTCAGGTTCTGCTGCTGCCCACGCTTCTCACTGATAATGGCGTTGAGTCGCACCATGTCAAGTTGCATCTGGCGTATTTCATTGCCCACTGTTGCCAAATCTTTCTTCTCCGTCTCGATTTCAGCTGAAGAATACGAAGACAGCACAGCATAACGTGAAGATCAGACTCTATCTAAAAGTACGAAAGTACATGTACCTTCAGTTGGTACTACATGTACATGGGTGGCATTTGCCGTAATTGTAAACGGGCGTCTCGGAGACAATAGGTTTAGCAGAGCAATGATGGTATTATTGCCATGAAATCACTCTTACTCTTTTCTCTATGCCTATGTTATGCTATTCAGTACAGTTATGGAAACCCCGCTGCATCCAGTAATCCAGAATCCATCTTTTTTTTCAGAGCAACACCACAACCACCATGGTTTAAGATACTTTAAAAGTCCAAATCTGCACCCTTGGGGTTTTCCCTTGGGCTTTTCCCTTGGGCTTTGTTTAAGGGAGTAGGATCAATACAGTACTAGCATTATTCGAAATTTCTACAATGTGACAAATGATATGATGCTGAAACAGCATGGGAGGGCGCCAAATGCCTTCTGCCCAACACAACCACACATGCGCGTGCGCGCACACACACACACACACACACATACACACCCAACACCTGACCTGACCTGACCTTTGACGCCCATCGCCGGAGGCGATGATAGCAATGCTACGGCAGAAGCCATAGCAACTTGTGCTGGGATTACACCATTCAACAGCTTGCAAGGCTGAAGAATTGACCGTCACTATTCAGCCTGGTCTACACCATACAGCTATTTGGAGTGACATTTTCTGGCCAGTGAATCCCTTTTTTTGGTCTTTTTTCAACACACACACACACACACACATACACACACACACACCATTTGACGCCCATCGCCGGAGGCGATGATAGCGATGCTACAGCAGAAGCCATAGCAACTTGTGCTGGGATTGCACCATTCAACAGCTTGCAAGGCTGAAGAATTGACCACCACTATCCAGCCTGGTCTACACCACACAGCTATGAAGTGGCTTTTTCTGGTCAGTGAATCCCTACTTTTTGGTCTTTTCCATTTTTTTCCGCACACACATCACACCACATACTCCGGCATGCACTGGCTGTTGGTAACCACCCAGGAGAATGAAAGGAAAGTCAGGAGGAGCTTGAGAAAGAAGAAAGATGTGTGTGACCATAGTCGTCGGGAATCGAACCCGCAACCTATCGATTGGAAATCGCTGCACATACCACTGCACCATATGGCACATACCACTGCACCATACGGCACACACACGCACACACACACACACACACACACACACACACACACACACACACACACACACACACACACACACACACACTGGCATGCAGCAGTTGCTTTTTTCAAACGCCATCCTCACCTTCCTGGCGGATCTTCTTTTGCTCCAGAATGATGAGTTTCTTCTTCTGTTGTTCGATATCCTTAGTCTGCTGCTGTGCCTCTTTGACGCGCTTGACTAGTTCGTGTTCCTGCCGCATCCAGAACTGCTGTTGACGCCGGCATTCCTCTTGGCTGTCCTCGATCTGTTTCTTCAGTGTCTTGATTGTCAGCTCCAGAGGACCAACATCCTCTTTCTGCGAGAGCAAATCACCAGTGCGTGCAAGAGCAAGAAGTGTCACTGTGTTAGACCCAGTTATGTCGCAGGGCAAGGCAATGCGGCGGATATAACATATCTCTAGTAGAACTATACTACGACAAGTGAGGCAGGCCCGAGAAAAGATGTGTTCTTGCAACTGAAGAACCTAGTCCTGCTCTTGCGGTATGTGCCCCCCCCCCTCTCCCCCCGCCACACACACACACACATACACCAAGTACACACATGCATACACGCAGACTCATAATATTTACCCCCCCCCCCCCCCCCTGCGCACATTATGCCGAGACTATCATTGTGTTATATAACCAATGGAGCTTACTCCTCCTCGTTCCTGCAGAACTTGGCTGATCTTCTTGTTCAGTTGGTCTATGCGGCTTTGCTTGCGCTCGATGATGACATTGCGCTTCTTGATCTCAGCTTCACTATGACTAATGAGCTGGTTTCTCTCATCAAGTTGCTTGCCAAGGTCAGCAAGAGCCTCTGCCAAGTCATCCCTTTCCGCCTGCGTGTTGTCAATATCCAGCTTGGTACGTTCAATGTCGCCTTGCGTCTCTATGATTCCCTTCACCTGGAAAGGAATGTGAAGCAGCACGGAGAGGATAGAACACTCAGCACTCAACTGTGTATGACAAAGACGCGACAGACAGTCATCGGAGCTTCCTCATACAATGTGTCTGCATTCACCTCTGAGTCGGGCAGGAACAATCCGTTTTGTGAGTTCCTCCTCGGAGTACCGCAGCGTGAAACTTATACTCACAACAAGTACATGTACTAGTATTGCACCTTGACAAACTTACCCTCCTTTTCTCCTCTGCACGCAGTTTTGCGAGTACTTTCTGTGAGTACTGAGCAGCTTTGTCTAGGGTTAGCATTGTCATGGTCTTCTCCAGAATGGTGTCCTCCAGGTGAAGTCGCTCAGCTACCTCTCGCTCAGTCTGCTGGCGAACACCGTCGATCTCCTGCAGGCGCAGTGTGCGATCCTGCAAACACAATGATAATGATGGACCAGGTTCCGGGAATGGGACACGCAAGCCAGCAATTAGCAATGGCAATCCATACGTATATTTACCCTGTTTTATACTTACTTATGTTGTTGGACATATGCACACTGTGTGTGTTTGTGTTAGAAAAGAGGTCCAGTCATAAGATGACAGCAACGATCTACTCATCAGTCCATGGATGACACAATGTGGAGGATTCATGATCACCGGATACAAGTAGCACTTTGCCTTTCTCTTACAACCCACTACTAGTAGTTGTTGAGTTGCCGACCACGGCTATACTCACCGTTTGTGCCTTCTGCAACTGCTGCTCAACCTGATGCAGCGAGCGCGTATATGATTGGTAATCCTGGAGGCAGAGTCAAAGAGTCACATGTTACAAAATCTGATCAGTTGACCCGACAAGGTAGAATATGAGCGGCCCTTGTCATACTTACAAAGATATGTAACGATTCTTGGTTCCAGGGAAGCTAAAGTTTACACCAAGCCACGTATCCTTACCAGGAATTTATTGAATGCTAAGTTGACTCGACTTGGGATTCACATAACTTTCTGCACGCTAAGGAAGGTACTTCCACTCTTGCACCCCCTCCCATTGTATTTACTAGTAGTCACAACAACAAAATTATTGAGAGCTACTTTCTTCATACTCATACGCCAGTCAAGATCGGTGAAATACCATGACCAGTCAATCTGACAGGAAGGAACTTGGCTGGCCTCGCTTCTTAGGTTCTGCTGCATAAGGAACCTCTGAAATAGACATGAGCACTGTCTTTACCATTTGAAGGCTTCGTTGTTTCTCTCTGCATTGTTCCAGCTGTGACTGTACCATGGCTAATTCATTGGCAAGCTTGCCACGTTGAGTGGTCAGCGCTTCATGCCTCTCCTGCTCCTTGGCGATGCTGCGATTGAAGCCACTCAGCTCAGAGTTTACAGCAATTATACGTTCATCTTCTCGCCTATCAAACAGAGGAAGAACAGGATGAAACAGCCACGATTGCTTGTAACCTTGTGAGCAAGACCCACATAAAGTATCAGCCCATGTGGACAGCTGCACACCTACATTACAGAGCTGGTACCTCTCTGGTGTGCATTATATTCTTGCAATCATGGCGGCAACTTCTAGTATATGGTGTGCCAGCAGATTCACTTATTTATAGCATCACACTTCTATTAAATTACTGTACAATGACACCTTTCCTACATGACAACTGGAAATAGAGGACGTGTTGCGGCAGTTCTTTGACGGTACCGAATTGCACACTTCTATCTCCAAAATCAGGAAACCTTGAAGCAAGGACCTTGGGTGTGCACTTTTCTCTGGCTCCCCTAAAGAAAAGTAAATTATTGTGTCCGTTCCCGAAGCCTGGGAACTCATGACAGCCGCTAACACCTGGTAAACCCTAGCTGGCTCCCCTACAGTGACAATAGAGTAGGCAGCTGTGTCACTGAGTTCTAACGTTAGTGGCATCATCACTACATGACAGTCTGAACACGACCTACCTTATAGCATCCTGCAGTGCACTCAGCGCCTCATCACGGTTCTTGATTGCACGTAGTGAGCCATTCCACTGGTTTAGGAGATCTTTCTTTTCCATATTCAGAACCTGGACATCGCCAATTGCAACACAGCGAAACAAGGCAAGCATTTGAGAGCAGTACGATGCAATGCATTCGTTACTTTTATTGGACGAGATATTGGTTTCGGAACTGACGCAATGCCCGATTTGCGGGATCACATACATAAAATCTCGCTAGTCCGTCTGGGCACTTACCTCCAGTTCATGGATGGAGTCGCTAAGTGCCACTTTGCTTTGCTGCGTTTCAAACACCTGGGCTGCCAGTTGCATCTTGTACAGGTTGACTTGCTCATTGAGCCGATCGAGCTGATTGATCAGTGTCGTGATGTACACATCCTGAGCAAAACACGAGGAACACACCAACAACTTGTAGGTTTCAAGTCGAAACAAACAACGTTCAATAGGCGGTACATGTCATGAACCATTTTTTTATGAATGCTGGGAAAATTCAGAACTTCGCTTGACATGCAAAAGAGCTTGGCAGTGATTACGTCACGGGTTGTAATTTAAATTTAGTAAATTCACAATACGTTGGACATGCCAATTGGCACCCCTATTGTACTAGTAGTAAATTCCATACGGCACAGACCAGGGTATGCGCTACAGGACACCACCGTACACTAACTATTTATGCGAACAGTTCAGTCCTCGCCCCATGTTGGCCCAGTCCAAACCACTGCATCATCACGTTTGTTGGATCGCTTCTTGCCCTTCAGCTATCCACCAAAAGTCATCATTTTTGAAGGGTTTAGAGAAACTTTAGACTTTAGAGCCTTTAGGGGCTCGACTGTTGTGATGTCACTGCCCAATTATCACTCTCCCTTCCATTTTGATCTTCGTCACGGTATTGCCTTTGTTTCTACTACAATCCACACGATAAAACTAGAAAATGGCGGGATTCCCGGATTACCACTGACCTGCTGTTGCTTAGCCTCTTCAGCCTCGACAGCATCCTGATCAACCTTCTCGGCCTCTCTCTTCCTGATTTCAACTTCGCTTCTCATTTTCTCGGCGACCACTTCCAACCGGCGCAGCTCCAGCGTAGCTTTGTCCAGCTTTGAGCGTATTTCTTCCACTGCAGTTGGGTATTTATTACATAGAAGGACAATGAAGATATACATGGCATCATTTCATTTCTTCCAATCAACTGTCGGATTGACCGCAGCTCGGTGTAGGCGCAGGTGTCTGTGACACCCCCCCCCCCCCATGATAGTGGGCCAGCACGATAGTTGGTGAAGTCTATGATATGCATCGGGCTGCACATTCCATTCGGCCATTGCCCATGCACCACTTCGCCCACTATGCCATTCCCTGATACACCACATGTGTGACTAGTGCTCGTGCATGAAGTATCCAGCTCACATGGAATATAACCGGCCATCACACTGAACCACAGCGATGGTATAATGATATTGATAGTGTAATGGGTGTCAACACAAACACAAACCGTTACCTTGCTTGTGGTGACCGCGTAAGTTAGTGAGGCATTCCTGGTGGATCTTCTTGGCCTTGTGCAAGGCCAGCTCGCACTGCTTCCGCTTTTCACTGATCTCGGACAGCTGTTCTTGGTGCTGCTCGAGTTGACTCTGATGCTTGGCAAGTTGTTGTTGAAGGTTGTATAGAGAAACACCAAGCTCATCACGTTCCTTCTCACGCTCCTTTAGGGTTTTCATCTGCACACACCAATATGCCACACAACAGTGAGGTTCTGCCCTACGTGAAATGTAGAGAAGTCACATAGACACCAGGTGTCTGGGTTAGAGTCTACGGCTTGGCATGTTTTGGGTCCAGATTCCTATGCGGAGATGAGGTTCTCTGCGGCGTGGAACATGGAAAGAAAATACGTACAGATCTGGTGAGTATCATCTAAATCGGAGAGAAAACTGCCAAATTTGGAACGAGCAAATTCCCAGTACACATTCCACGTGATTTCTTAGCGTGAACATAGAGCAGAACAGGTTTCTCCTACATTACGGGAACGCGAAGAGTGATCAAGGGATTCTCTGCGTCGCGTTCCCATAACGTAGAGCAGAACATCGCTAATTCAAAGCGATCGATTCAACCTAATTGACTACTTGTAGCATGGAGCATTGCTAGCACAAGTACTTAAATACACGCACGTTCTGGGTTGTAGCCAGCCCAAAACTGCTCGATCAGCGTGTAAATGGCCACAGTGCTTGATCTACATCACATCGTGGTGTAAGCCAATGCAGCCATATCGTATTTCCGTTTCATGTACTTACTCAGATACTGCCCTGAGTCGGGTGACTGGAAACGAACCCTGCATCATTTCATGTACTGTTCGGCGGTATTGTCCCCCTAGATGATGCGACTCACTGATGTACGTACACATAGAACTAGGCTCGACCAACTGATATTCCCTATACATGTACAGAGTGGCTCCACATCTATCACATGACCACAAGGGACAGCCATGTTGGTTCCAACTCCAGTCCACCCTTGCATATATGGGTCACATGATGTCGGCCATGTTAGTTCCACTGTCCACATGCCATGTTCACTTACAGCACAAATGTAGTCGCATGACAAAGATGTGAAACCACTCTACACACTATAGTTAGATTATCGTGAATGTCCCAAACACAAAGCCACAAGTTGTTACTTTACCCCACACATCCACCCAATGTTGTGTGAACAGATTTGCACTTTCTCGTAGCAATGCATTTCACACTTTACAGCAGTGCGGCAGATCTTGCTTCCGTCTTTGCATCACGGTGCAACTATTCCGATGGACGTTACTTACCTTCTCAGCTTTCTTCAGCTCAAGTTGTTCTTTCTGAGCTGTGAGCTGGACGGTAACTTGCGTTTGGAATTGTTGCATGAGTGGCTGCAATGAAGATAGATAGATAGATAGATAGATAGATAGATAGATAGATAGATAGATAGAGAGAGAGAGAGAGAGAGAGAGAGAGAGAGAGAGAGAAAGAAAGAGAGAGAGAATGGCTGACCATACCACCCCAAAATTATCTCCCGACGCCACTGACAGTGCTTCTACCGGATTCCAAAGAACAACTCTAGCAAACAGTGGAGTCTTCACTACCTATATGTGGCAAACTTGCATAGACACATCATGTGAATGGAGGTTGCATTTCAGTATTGGTACCTTTTATCTATGGCATAGTGCTTATGTCCTGCACAAATGCCAGTACATGTACCATTGTGTCATAGCAGTCTTCAGTAACAAGTGCAGAACCCACTTACATGATCTGGTTCCATCACCATCATGTCGTCGGCATCATTTCCCAGGCCATTGTCATCATCATCATCGTCATCCATGTGGTCACCTACTTCAACATCGAAACCAGCATAATCCTCGTCATCATCGTCACCATCATCGCCATCATCACCATCATCATCACCGTCTCCTCCACCACCGCTGGCCCGTCCACCATTGCTTCGACCGTAAGCATTTCTCGTGCTTGATCGTGAACTTTCCCTTGTACCACTGTCATCCTACCGGCATCCAACCACACATGATGAAACATCAAGCAACCACTTTGAACACGTATATACCATGCACATTACATTGGTAGATCATAGCTGAACAAACACTCTACGTTAGATCATAGCTGAACTGAAGGCGGAAATCACTAGCTGAATCGGGTGCATTCCGGCACAAGAAGTAATAGACTGCGCGCACAATGGCGTAGCGATATCATCCGTACACATTTTCTGAACAAAGCGGGGACTTCACGAGACTTTTGCCACAGTGTTGGTGCTTTGCAGATCTAGAAAGAACAGTGCAGTATCCATTTCGTCCTACAAATTTGTGCGCACATTGTACACATGTTGTATGCATTTCGTCAGTGTGCACTCGGATTATACTTATGCCTATGAGGGCTGAACTCACTGCTGAAAGACGTCCAGTGCTTCCGAAGTCATGTGCTGTCAGCGTGTCATCGCCATCACCTTGTGTATTGGCCAGTCCACCAGCTGATCCGGAGCCAGGTGTTCCTCTGGCTGATCCACCATCATGTAAGCCAGTGGCAGTGGTACTACGGCTTGCTGCTGCATCTGATTGCCTTGACGCCGATCTACTGCCAGCATCTGCTGCTACACTACCATCGTCAGCTTGGCCGAGATCAGGCGTTGTGTTGCCTGGAGTGCTGGCCCTGGCTGATTCATTAGCACTCTTCATACGCATATGTCGCAGAGCCTGCACAGTGACTCTGGAGACGACGTTAGCCACAGATGAACCGGCTGATGCGTCTTGTGAGCTTCCTGGCCGGCTGGCTTGCGATACCTGTGAGCCTGAACCCACGGTCAATAGTACTGTGGCTGATTGAGCTGTGGCGTCGCTTGTGGGGGTTGCTTCCCTTTCTGCTGGCGCTGCTGCTGCTCCTTCGTCAGCCTCCACTGGTGATCCAGGCTTACTTCCTTCACCGCCATCCATTGCACCGTCGTTCACTGTGTCACAATATGAATATGCGAGCGAATCGCGTCGCTAGTCAAGATAACAACGAGGAAACAGCGCGGTGACATATAAATCGGTCTTCAGAGTTGCATGAGAGCACGAGTAATGTTGCGTCGTTTCGTCACTTGATTTTCACTCCCTACTGCTACGGACACGTTTGGTCGCTATCCTGGATCCTGGAAGGACCGTCAAAAACTATTCTCCTTCTTGAAAGGACAGGCACAGACTCATTCTAATCATTTGTCCCGTTCCCTGTTCCATCACCCAGTTTCGGAATGGCATCAGCTGGCGTCCTGACAACGCCACAGTCGCCATGGAAATGAGTAAATCGATCCTACTTTCATGGCTCACCACGCGTCACGACCATACAAAAAGTCTTTGTCCTTTGTACAGTCATTACCCATATAAAAACCGCTCTGTGAGCGGTTCTGAAAAACCTCTACTGGTGCCGCCCCGTCGTAAAAGTAAGAAATTAGAACTGGCGCATTGTCCTCCCAAATGTGAACTGATCCACCTAAATCGCGATTGACGGGACCCGAACGCACCAGTAGCACGAGGTTCTTACCTGTGGATGCAGCTGAGCTGGGGACGCTGGTCCATAGCCAAAGCCAAAGCGGCAAAGGTGGGCTTCGGGGTAGATGAGTGTTGTATGGTAACTTGATCAGCGCCGACGCCGGCTGTGATCCTGTTCCCTCCCGACCTCGTGCTACTGGTGCGTTCGGGTCCCGTCAATCGCGATTTAGGTGGATCAGTTCACATTTGGGAGGACAATGCGCCAGTTCTAATTTCTTACTTTTACGACGGGGCGGCACCAGTAGAGGTTTTTCAGAACCGCTCACAGAGCGGTTTTTATATGGGTAATTTCAGTTCTTTTTCTGTTCCCTCCCCCTACCTAGCCCAGCTCCGAAGATAAACATGGTGAGCACGCGTGCGATGCACTGTATGTAGCCATGCGACTGCAGTAGCACACTGATACATTCCAGCCCTCCCCACCTCGCTACCCCGCACACAGACACCTTGTGACAAACACGCACATGCACATGGCACACACACACACATGGGCGCGCACACACATACATACACACACACACGACCCAAACAGGAAATTCTTGATTGTATAATGCCATGCAAAGCAGTGGCCACCATACTTCAGGAAGTCAGTTGTGAAACAAAAATAATTCAACTACAATGTGTAGGTAAGCTAGCGGCCAAAGCACAACATTGCAAACCGTGATGATATTTGCCTAAGGATTGCAGTTTGCAGACCACACCATGGAAGCAGTGAATACAGAATTATTGTAATGTCATACAAAGACAAGCAAAGAAGTGGCCACCACACACCAGAAACTTGCAGAAAGTCACATATCCACCAGATAGAGAAGTGAACAGCATCTGGTACAGCCCACACAAAACCAAGCTGACCTGATACTCGTCCGAAGATCGTAAGTGGCAGATCCTTTTCAACGATAGCATGCAGGTGTACGTTACACGCATGGACAAAATCTGACCGTGTCACCGGCATACATTGTCATCACATGCATACCCCACAGGTTACACACATGCACAGTAGAAGCACAATAAAAGCAATGGAAAAATATGAAGGGGTTGCTGAAGCATCTTCACACTTCAATTTCAGACTTCGATGTGGTCGTCACGGGGTGATATACCTGCAAGATACAAGTGATACAGGAAGAAAGCAAAAGGTCGTGAGGTAGGCTATGAGACACCACAAATGGGTCACCTACATGTATGTTCAGGGCTGGTGTACACACACACGCAGAATTATCATAATCGAGAATTTCCCAAACTAGAATTATCATAATCGAGAATTTCCCAAACTACAGAAGAGCAATGAAATCCATTTGCATGCACAGGAGCAATTTTGCAGTATGATGCGCAGCTCGGGAATACACCTGTTGGCAATGGATTACATTCCCATTGGAATTCCCATTCACGTGGGATTCACAGAAGCAATTTGGCAGTGTACTGCGCAATGCGACACGACCTGCGATTCTGCGTGCGATGCGAACTCGCACAAAATACCATTCACAGAATCAGGACAAGACGTCAGCGATGCAACAGCGCCTTGCTGACGTGCCTCAAGTCAAAGCTCAATGAGAATGCGTTTGTCGGTTACAACTGGTACAAATGTACAAGCAATTTCTGAAAATGCTCCTGTGAATCCTGCTTTAAGCAGTGCAGGAATGTCCCTCCTCCGCTCCCCCCCCCCCCCCCCTCCACACCCTCGGGGAACTTGACAAGGAAGGGTGGTCTTCGCGGTTCCCAACATCTATTTGCAGTTTCTGGTCTCCACTATGTCTTTCAATGGGGATTTGTACGTACCATAAAAGCAAGCCTAAAAAATGAACAGCACATTTGCCGTTCCCCCACTGGGGAGGATGCGTTCCACAGCTATCCTGACAAGATATTCCGAGAAGCGGTGCTGAGTGCAATGCATTGTGAAACTGAAAAAGCTGACCAAGCCGCGGCATATAACGTCTAAACTTCAATTGTAGTTCGCCAGCTGACTACTTTCAAACTCCATGTAGGTTGGAGTACAGCTGGCTTAGAAGTTGACAACAACGGCGCACGCACATAAGCAATGGCCACCTTACCTGTACTGTAGCAGTACTTCCGAGTTCCCGTATGGGAGTTCCCTCACTGTGTGTGCAATAGCAGCCTCATCGGACCAGTTCAATGCGACGCGGACAGTCCGACACTGAGGAGGACATTGAAGAAGTGAGAGACAGGAAGAATGGTTGATTTACAATTCAACTAGCAAGGCTGCACACCCACGAAGTTCCACTCACCATTGTGCCGTCCTTCTTGGAATGCAGAAATAACGCTTCCTCTCGAGAACGCAGCCTGTGACAGAGAAAAAGGAAGGAGCATCGCCATCGGCATTGGTCCTCTGCTATCACCCATTGCCGAGTTGCACAGTTCACTCTAACAAGACTGAGGATGTTCAAGAACTCCCCATCCATACCATTATTGGAGTAAGAGGAAAGGTCAGATTGCCTAGTTCCTAGGGCCTAGCATTCCTGGATGCCAGGATGTGCTGCCCCCGCCGCCGCCCCCCCCCCTTCTACTGCCTGGAAAGGGCAACATATGTGACAGCGTTCACCAGTACAGTCGGAGGAGAACATGGGAGAAGGCAAAAAAGGGCAACACACATGAATCCCTTCTAAACAAGCAGTGGCAACTCTAGCACCAGCAATGTTGGACTTACATCCCAGCCATTGCCGCCGGATTCAGCGGCTTCTTCTTCTTCGTCTCCCATCTTGGAAGCACTCCTTACCGTAAGTTCAGTCCTGGGATCGGGAGTACAGTCGGAGGAGGACGTCGGAAAAGGCAAAAAGGCAACACACATGATTCCCTTATAAGCAAGCAGTGGCAACTCTGGCACCAGCAATGTTGGACTTACATCCCAGCCATTGCCGCCGGATTCCCACGCTTCCTCTTCGTCGTCTTCCAGTTCCCAGGTTCCATCTCGCAAATACTCCTTCCCGTAAGTAAGTGCAGTCCTGGCCTGGGTGGATGCGCAGTACATTGACGATGGCGGAGATGGAGCAGGTCAGAGAGCCCTATAGGGGTCCCGAGAGCAGATTGTGGCCAAATTCGGGACGATGCCGGACGCCAGTCAGTATGAAGTAGCGAATTGCGGACCGCCACGTAGATTGGGGTCGAGGGGTCATAATCCACGTACGTTGCTCCAAAAAAGGGCACTGCACTGTTCCACAGTTGCTGTTAGCGGTCGCCAAAGGCACTTGGTAGGCCGGTAATTGGGTCACGTGTCAACAAGGTGTCAACAACGTGTCAACAACGTGTCGACCACGTGTCTTTAGCGGTACACTAATTTTGGTGTCCCCAAACTGAAAACATCGAGCACCAGTATGGAAAGGCTTTAGACAGAAAGCCTTTCCAATGTAGTTACCGAGCTCGCGAGGGCTAGGCCCTCCCCTACTACTTACTAGCCTAGGCCCTGAGCTCCACTCCACTCCAGACCAGTCACGTCAACATGATCAGTGCTGGGTAGATCTACCAGTGAGCAGCATTAGTAAGCATGATAAGAGTATGCTCCTTGACTCGTGAGTTTACTATACTCGGACTTTTTTTACTCGTCTCTTGGTACTATTACTAGTATTAGTATTACTACATGTATCACATCCTTTATTGCTGAACCCACAAATAATTGTGATACAGATTGTAAACCATTCGAGGAAGAAGAGAAAGCCATTAAAAATAAAAGAATTATTACTACAATGTAGTAATAATGTCATGTAGTTACTTAGTTAGTAGTAGTAGTAGTATTGGCATGGTGTATCGTATTGGAAACTACATGGCAGGATGGCAGGCGGTACATGACACAATGACAATCAGACATTGTACAAGTAATTAGTTGAACTAACTAACGTCACTTACTTGGCAAGAGTACAACTGATGACGTTGGTAACCAGGGAGTAGTGTCTTTTACTACTCGCCGGTTGTAAGTAACCGTTAAACATACAGTTAACTTCGCTAATAACGACTGCGGATATAACGACAATTCGCGAATAACGACAGAATTTCCATGCCCAGAGCAAAGTCCCATCCCACTGTAATACATATCAGGGTTCTAGCCAGGTCAATATAGTAGGGGGGGGGGGGGGCGGGCATGGGAAAAAGTTACCCCATGACCCATTTTTCCATTGTCCAAAATTGTCTTGCCATGCAAAATGCAACATACAGGGTGAACCCCGGACTTCACCCCTCACAAATGTGCCTTTATGAACCCTCTAGTAGTGACTATCGACTGTATTTTCGTTGAATGGCGTGAAAAAACACAAAAATCGGAAAATGAGTAGGGGGGGGGGGCGGCACTTTTTCACAGGGGGGGGGGGGGGGGGGGCGCTGCGCCCCCCCCCCCCTACCCCCTTTGGCTAGAACCCTGCATATAATGAGACTTCGGGTATAACGACACTTCGCGAATAAGGACACCTTTTTGATGCCCCGCCGATTGTCGTTATAAGCGAAGTTGACTGTACACCACAACGTGTTCTCCGCGTGTACCAGTACTGCAGTATAGTCTATTCTCGACTGTACAATTCACCAGTATGTATCTACATGATTTGAGTTACCATCCAGGCATCCACTCTCACAAAAATTATCAGGTTCTCAAACACCTGCTGGAAAGTTCTCAAGACTGCATGGTGGTAGGTGATACACATAGTACAAACTGCACGACAGTATCACCTCACAATATGGGGGGGGGGATGATTGATCATCATTCTTGCCATACACACATCCCAGTCTGCCTCACCACAGAACACAGCCAAGCAAGACACACGTACACGACAACAATAACGTCTGTATGTTTAGCTGGTTCAGAACAGTCATGAGGAGGCAAAGAGCACATTCTTCTTCATATACATCATGACTGATGTAGTAGATCAGTGTACAAGACAATGTCATAATGGCCGCCTTGCCAGTAAAGCATTACTATTGTCTTGATAATGGGAGTGAAGTCATACGTGCACAGCAGGCAATCCGGGTCACACAATTGGGAACAGGGGCGTAGTTATAATGTACAAGTAGAACAGCAGTGGCAGAGCAGCAGCAATTACAGAAAAAGGAGTAATTTCATAAATACTAAAACGGTATTCAACAGCTTGAAATCTAGCGCAAAAATTAAATGGCAACAGAAAGGCTGAAGGCAATCTAAAGATTGGTAAAATAGACGTGACACATTGCTTCTATGTACACAGCATACAGTGGGTAAAGACCACTGCTAAACAGCACTGCGGAGCAGACAGAGAGTAATGATGAAAAAAATACAGAATAAAGTAAGATAGAGTGTACAGTAATCGTTATCAAGACGGCGGCCTGGTTTCCGCAATCGGGAACAGGAAAACAGGAAAAGAAATCGACGGGCACCTGTGTAGGATCTATTTGGGTGACATGAGTGAGGCTGATGGTTGTACGAGTGCAAACAACTCTGCGTAGGAATCTGTGTTGTTCAGCTGATAGCCAAGGTCCTCCATCTGCAAGCAGAAACAATATTGAGCCAACACAAGTTTTAGATTTTGGGCTAATACTAAGTCAATCCCTGGCTAAAATATAGCAAACAAACACATCCATAACATGCACATGCTTTTGTGTAACGTAAACAAATTCGGTGGAGAAATCCGGCAATAGGTTGAAAAGCACTTTGGCACACATGGTATCGTACTTCACGTACTGAAGGGAGGCACTGGTCACCTACATCAGAAACCCCTCACACCACTGACACCTAACCTAGGTTTACTCCTATATCCTATATACAGTATTCCCTTTCCTCTCTCTCTCTCTCTCTCTCTCTCTCTCTCTCTCTCTCTCTCTCTCTCTCTCTCTCTCTCTCTCTCTCTCTCTCTCTCTCTCTCTCTCTCTCTCTCTCTCTCTCTCTCTCTCTCTCTCGTTCTGTACTCTACGAGTCGTAGGATTGTATTCTGGATGGAGTTGACAGTTTGTGCTGAGGACAGATTCAGTGTCAGTAACTCGCGGAAGGACAGGCGGTATGCGGATCTGGCCGATCAATGCCGAGCAAACGGGTGGCAGGTCGTTTCTTTTTCGGTTGAGGTAGGTGTGCGTGGTTTCATCCCGGACTCTCTTCGGAGGGCTCTGAAAGCGCTTGGATTTTCTAATCGAAGAATAAAATTTATTTGTAATTTGTGCAGTAAGACGTCTCTGCGAAGCAGCTACATCATCTGGTTGCGGCATCAACAAAAACACTGGTCGGAAGATCCACTTTTCTGAGGTACTGTATGTGGGGCTCCGTTTATTGAGGTGCGTTGAAATTTATTCTCTTTATTTTATTATTTCTTTTCTATAATTTCCCCATATGAGTTCCTATCAGTTGCTGTGAACACCTTGAGTGGAGAGCGCTTGCTCGAGCGTTGAACCGGGTTCTTAATCCACCATACCCAGTTCGCAAGGCTGGGCGGGGTTGTGAGCAGGCTTTCATTTCATCTTTTCTTATTATCTCTTATTATTTCTGCTTTTCATCTCATTACAAAATTCTGCGCTTTTTCTCCATCTGCGCATAAAATCTAGACTGACAACCTGCTTGTTAAATCATGCACCTGCTTTCAGGCGTAAAAACCCTGTTGTAGAGGTCTCAGTCCTCATTTGTTAGACTTACCTGTCTTTATAAATGTAACTTACTCTCTCTCTCTCTCTCTCTCTCCTCTCTCTCTCTCTCTCTCTCTCTCTCTCTCTCTCTCTCTCTCTCTCTCTCTCTCTCTCTCTCTCTCTCTCTCTCTCTCTCTCTCTCTCTCTCTCTCTCTCTCTCTCTCTCTCTCTCTCTCAGGGAAGAGCACCTGGCAGGTATTACCAGTAAAACTCTCAGTGGCAATATGAGAAAGTACAGCTTATATTAGTCTATAGAGGCATGATCAGCAGCAAGCTTTCACAGTGTGGTCACAGTTGTGAACACATTTCCAAGCATGATAGCTCTACCCTCAGGGTGTGCAGCTCCATGGCAAAGAAATCACACGCTTTCAAGGTTTTGAGTGAGCAGTCTAATCACAGTAGGTGATCATGCCAAGTCCTAACAGCAACAGCAGCAGCAGCAGCAGTGGGCACATCGACTGTTAGAGAGCAACCATCAGCACCACAATCACAAACCTTTTCTGCGAGGCTGCGTACATCCAAGAAGAGCTGCAGCCGTATTTTATCCTCGTCACTAAGTTCACCAGTAGCATCATCACCTCTGGTGTCCTTCTGTGTTGCACTGCGCCGCGTGCGTTTCAAGCGTTGCAAGCTCTCTTCTGTCTTCTTTACCGACCCCAGGATCTCAGATACTACGGCTTTGTAGCTAAGCAAACATACCGCGCAGAAAGTACAGAATCACAAGTTATTTCTTATCAGTACATGAACCTGACTTTATAACTAAATGATAAGAACTTTCAAGCTCCATTGCAACCGTGTCATTGCTGCTGAAATATTCACTGCGCAATTTTCTCCAGTCCTTGGCGACACCAGTTCAAATAGATGTCCTGCAAATTTTCACCCATGGGGCATCATCAGGATTGAGGAGTATGTGGATGCAGAAACTAATACAGTAGCATGCATAGTAGTACATGTACAGGGATTCAAGGTAGCACTACACATGTATGTTATTGGTCTCTGTATCCACATCCCTCTCCTCATCCCTGATGGTGTGCCTTCATTGGTGAAAGTTTGCAGTATACAAGTATCTATGTGAACAGGTGTAGCCAAGGACGGGAGAAGGTTGTGAGGTGAATATTTCTGCAACAGAGTGTTATTTTGTTTGTTCTTGACCCCTCAACCTATTCACTTTTCGAAGGTTCAATTCAGTCCCCCAATTCCCGCAACATAGTTTTGACATAGTGTCTAGCTTGTAGAACAGCTGCAGATACATATAAAACACAAAGAAAGGCTGGAACACAGAGAAATAGTAGTTCTGAAATACTACATGTACACCAAAGTGAAAGTGTGCACTGTCCTATCCTGTATCATGTTAGCCTTTCACCCATTCACGGCATAGTCCTTCCCCTGTCTGTCGCCATGTATAGACGGTACGTGACCTCTCACTACCCCCGTGCTACGCACGATACCATGCTCTGCTGGGCATGGCCTCCCTGACTCTTCACTATATCTAAATCAATTAGTACCGTCCGCATCAATGTTCATAGTTACCAGAGCAATAACAACTCACCGAATGCACAGTTGAGCTAGTGCATGTCCACACCAAGACGGTATGAAGGATGCTGCACAGCGGCTGTACTCTTCACTGAACGCTTGCATACGCTGAGCCAGTGCACAGATGTATGCACTTGGTGCTGTTGGGGCCTGATGAACAATGCGAAGGAACACGCACGCACGCATACATACAAACACGCACACACACACAGGAGCACCACAGTTGGTCAAATGTTAGACTCAAAGAATGTTCTAAAAAGACACAGAGCTTGAGATTGAGTTCTAAAATGCAAATTAAAAGCCGAATAACACTGAGAACGCAGCACCAACATTGGCCAAACAACTGTCGACCCTAGAGACTTGCATTCCAAAATCACACCAGCTCTCTTCGCCCTGGTGCTGTAACGATATTCTGCTAGAAGTCAGACAGTGTCAATTGCAGCATATAGAGAGTTGAAAAGCAGGCATAACACACACTATGGTACATGCAAGAAAAATTCACTTACAGTACGGTTTGTATGCCGGTACAGTCTGGGAATCGTACGGGCTGCATCTAGGTGAACAAGACATTCCTGACAAAGATAGTTTGACACTAGTTGGCTTAGCCTTGGCTGCAATTGTTTGATGGCAAGACGTGATTCGAGCATACCATCTGCAAGTGAGAGGATGGACACGACAAAGATCAGCGAATGAAGAACTGCTGCTGGACTGACATGCTTGGGGCTTGGGCTCGCACATACATGTACTGCCAGGGTATAAGCAACAGCTAACTCTTTAGAGTCACTGACATCTGCTGTGTTAGGTAAAGCACTACATGTAGGGAGTTCAGTCACGTGACAAACCAGCGGAAAAAAACTTTCACGTGTGCGAAGCTCTGTGGCACCATGGAATTGATTGCAGTCTTTTACCGTAAAGTACCGTTGATCCGCCTCCTCTCTAATTCCCGCCCCCTGTCGATGTTCTGCCTCTGAAGCGACTTCTGCGTATACAACAAAATACGATGTTGAACCGACGCATGCACTGCTGTACTCAATTTGTGCCAATCCAGGATGAAAATGTGCACAATCCAGCACATCCTCCAAGTTGTAGTTCATTGTACTGCACTTGACAGCATTGATCTAATTCCCGCCCCCTGCCGAAAAACCAGCTGGGAAGCGACTTGGCGTGGGGGGGGGGGGGGGATCAACGGTACTTTACGGTATTATTCTTGCTTTCTTTTTCAAAGCTGAAAGTTGGTGCGTTTGATAGCTGACGTCTTCCTGTTCGTTTTGGTGCCTAGCTTGCTGGGACAACTGTAGTTTGAGCTTTTTGTTGTAAGGAGTCGTTTTTAGTTGGAGTTTTCATCCTTCCCCGTGGGTGCACCGTACACGTCCTGGAAACACCCACCATTGTGTTCAGCGACCTCAAGTTATGCAGAATAGTGCTTTCTTCTCGAGCTGTGGGATCGCTCTTCATCGCAATCTAAACTCCTAGTAGCCCAAAATGAATTTTCGGTCCTAATATTATAAGAGCTAGGAACGATCCGAAAGATTGCACCTGATAGACTGGAGACATTCGTTACCAGTATTGTGACAAAGACAAGTGAGCTGTGGTTTGATACTCAACTCATTGCCATGAAACTAGAAAGAAATTACTATGGAGTGCTGTTCTGATATGGATCATGTCATTGAGTGAATTGCACGCACACTGCACTAATGTACATTGCACATGAACAATCAACTGTGTGACTGCCAGTGTTAATAAGTCTGATGACCAAACGCTTGTAACATAAACTCCACCATAGATGTACCCGTACTTCAGTACATTGTATTTTCTTATTTGTAGAATGCAACTGTAATCATCAGTGCTCACTTCAATTTCCACATACCGGTATTGTGACTCTTGTTCAATGGATTCAGCATCGTTACTATGGTGGTTGCTATGTGTGGCGGTTGTTCTCATTGACTTTGGTCATCCTTCACGAAAATGCACCTACAGGCCAATTTTCAGAGTATTCTGACAATATTTTACTGTTGCTATGCATTTGCTAGGCGTTCCGGGACACCAGGTTGGTGCCACAGCCAGAATGCTATTCCACATACATTATACTGTCCCTCCATGAACTTGCAATTTTGCGGCTTCGTTGTTTCCCCGTGATTTCAACAAAGTCTGCAGTATCCGCAATATCCGAAAAATCATCCGCAATATATAACCGCCGGCGATATTCGAAAAACCACCTGTAATATTTGAAAACTTCCTGTTTGCCTTGGGCTTAGAGTCTTTTTTCCGACGTTAAGTTCTTCGAGTCTGCTTTAAGTGGCTTACTTGCGAGATCGACACCGGTATCAAACCAGCCGCTGACAAGTTGAAAAAGGATCAGCATATTTCTGCTGAGGAAGAAGCACAGCAATTTCGCCATGTGTTGTACGAGGATGGAGGAAAGCTGTTTTGCAAGCTTTGCAACCAGGTAGTGGACCACAGCCGTACATCGAGTATAGAGATTTACCTGTCCTCAGCAAAGCACAAGCATAGGAAGAGACTCAATGGCGAGCGCTGACGGACCTCCACTGAAAACGCAAAGAACCGTGCAAGGGACAATGAGACGCACTGCTGTCATCAGTGCCGAAAAGACGGATGCTTGTGGTGAGCGGGTGTCCATGATGATGGTGGTGAACATGCCCTTGTCCCAAACGGACCATCCGCGCGTGAGGGAATTTCTACAGACGCGAATCAAGAACGGAGGGGCGATACCTGGTGGCAAACAGCTGCAAGAGGCTAACCTGCCGCTAGTGCACGATCAAGAGCGCAAGAAGCTTATGGAGTCACTAGCAGGGCAGGATCTCGCCATATCTTGGACGAAATGAGTGACGACATTGGACAATACGTCCTGAACATACTCGTATCTGTCCTGAAGCCAAATAGTGATGGTAAACTGAACATACTCGTATCTGTCCGGAAGCCGAATAGTGATGGAAAACTGAACATACTCGTATCTGTCCTGAAGCCGAATAGTGATGGTAAACTGAACATACTCGCATCTGTCCTGAAGCCGAATAGTGATGGTAAACTGAACATACTCGTATCTGTCCTGAAGCCGAATAGTGATAGTAAACTGAACATACTCGTATCTGTCCTGAAGCCGAATAGTGATGGTAAACTGGAGACCAAGTTGTTGGGCACTGTCTTTCTCAACAAGACCAACCACTCGACGGTGGCTCAAGCAATTGCGCAAACTGTAAATGCATACGGTATCAAGATTCATTGTGTGATATGCTTCAACACTGACAACGCCAGTTACATGAAAAAGGTCTACAATGACGGACTGGCAGCACTGTTTCCCAACAGCCTACATGTTACATGCATGGCTGATGTAATGAACCTGGTGGTGGACGCGTTCAAGCAGCCCTTCAAGCAGCTGAATCCGTTTGTAACCAAGTTCAGCCAGATGTTTCGCCTTGCTGGAGGCCGGACATCTCGCTTTCTTGCATTCATGCAAACCAACCTCGGTGAAGAGAAAGCCAGTTCAGTGACTCGTTTTTCATGAACGAAACGAGTGCTGACACCCGGTCCGGGTTAGAGTCTCGTTGACATCTCGTTCAGAAGATTCGTTTTTACGAATCCGGCCTGTCTAATTCGTATGCAGCTCCGAGATCGATCTGCCCCAGAAAGTGTGAAAACTTTTTTGAAATTTTTCATCTTTGTTGATTATCGATTCTTTCGTTTTCACTTTCGTTGTGTTTGGTAAGAATTTTTCCTTTCCTTTTTCCGCAATGTCAAGTGAAGTGCAGGCTCCCCCAACGTCCCCCTCCACCCCCGTGTCTCCCTCTGGAGCAACTCCTGTAGAATGCAGAAGAATTCGGAAATTTGCAGTCTTAGATGACATCAAGTTGCTGAACTTGATCTTGTCCTTCGGACATGAAACCGTCTTTGCCTTACCGCAAGGGAATAAGGCTTGGCAGGACATCGGCAACGCCCTGTCACGGTCGGAACAGTTAGTTCTTGATGATGTGCTGACATGACGTTCGAATGTTCGCGCGTTTGAATTAAAAAAGTCTTTGCGCGAAGAAATTTTGCAGAAAGATCTTTCAAATTTTCTCTCCGCCATATTTACCATGGCAATCATGATGCGACTCGCTGTCTTCTCGTGCACGAGTCACTGAACCGATTTTGGGCACTGCACGAGCCGAATACAAAATGAAATCGAGCTCGTTTCGTTTACGAGTTGACAACGAATCACTGAACCTCTCTACTATGGCTCCTAATCCCATATCAACAAGATGGAATTGCTGGTATGACTGTGTTCAATAGCACAGCCAACACATGGAGCACTATCCTGACTTTCTCCAAGCAGAGATGGAACAATCAGCACAGCCGCCCACTTGCCTCCGTGATCTGTATGCCATGTTCAAGGACGAGCACATGCAGCGTGAACTCATTTGTTTGCAGGATATGTTCATTTCTGAGCACTGCAAGAAGTTCACAATCTTGACTGATGCCTTGCAAAGCCGCAATCCCTGTAGCTTGGACGCGTATGATGTCCTGAAGCGCCCTTTGTACAATACGCAAGCCTATCAGCTCATGCCACCGGAGGAGAGCCAGGAGTTCGTTACTGGTGATCACTTGTCGGATGGTGATGATGATGAGCTGTGCGCCCTGTGCGCCAGTGCTTATCAGAAGGCTGGAGAGAAGATGTCAAAGTATTTGACAACGTCTGGTCAGCCTGCTGCCAACTTTCTGAAGGGAGTGCGCATTTTCAACCCCAGCAAGGTGGTGGAAATGTCCATGACCTGAAGGAGTACCCCATAAATGTAGTTCGGATGGTAAAGGCCGATTCATACTTCATTTCGCGCACGAGAAATCGTTGAGCTCGAGTCAACTTTTTCGCGATGCGATGCGTTTCCCGTACGCGAAATGAATCAGGATTAAGACTACTTCAAAGTTAGATGGTCTACAGTCATGTAACCTCATTAGAAACTCAATTACCGGTACCTCTATAACCATCGCTTACCTCCAACAAGCTGAGGAGACGAGTTGAATGTTGCAAGACGTGGCTGAATTTCATCCGACAGAAACGCTGGTAGCTGATCAACAATAAGGAATGTTCCAGTCCAGACAGACAGACAGACAGACAGACAGACACACACACATGAACAAGTAAGCAGTCAGATAAACACACGCAGTACACACATATACATGCTACAGTACAGAATGCACAAGTAACAGAACAGAAGACAACATTGATAGTACAGGCATATTGGATCAGTGGTCGAGTAGACTGGAAGCCATACAAATGCTGTAAGGAGCAGTGCAATGTGACATTCAACAACACTCTCAAACAAATTTCCGCAGGCATTCAATCACCTTGTGAAGTAGTTGTTCAGTATCCAGGATGACATCAACAAGTTGTCTACAACTAGCTGTCAGGCCAGATGCATTGCTTCCATTGCTGTCACCACCACTACTGACAGTTGGGGGAGAGACACTTGGTGGTTTGGAGGTACCACCACGGCTGCCGTTGCCACTATCTGTACCTGCAGAGAAGTCCTAGATTGTTGAATAGTGAAAGAACATACGCAATGCATGTAACAAAGCAATGACTACACAACACACAATGCATTCCAACAGTGTCCAGTGCACAACGCGCATGGTACTGTTGTACCTGACAAAAAGAGAAAAGGTTAGAGTCTGCATTCAGATCACAAAGGCTCAACATAGTACTGTCATGTAGGTTTACTATGAAGATCATTCTGCTAGAATGTTTAGCAAGCAGCTAGCAAACAAGTTGATTTATTATAAACATTAGATCCTTTACTAAGGCCACCCTTTCTTTTTTCGTTGTTTAACGTCCGCGCCCGCGTACCTTTTTGCCTCCGACCGGAAAAAAAAACAAGAAAGTAGTAGTACCAATAATATGCGAAGTTGTAAATAAAAAAAGGGGCACGCCACAAATCGGACTACAAACTGCAATAACTCAAAAATAAATCGAAGAAGAAACGTCCACCATGTGGAGCAAAGAAAAAGGCCAAAGAAGGTCTGGAGTTCGGGAGTAATATGGTGGCGGAGTTTGAACGTTTTCTTTGAATTGCTATGGTTTTAGGAGCGAATTAGGCCAAACACACTGTCACATTCTCTGCCTCCACTCCTCGTGTAACTCAGATTCCACATCAGACTGCAAGCAGTCCTTGCGGAATCTTCAATTTTGTTGGATTCATCAGGCATGTGCTCCAATGTACCATCAAAGAGTGTTGTTCTATGCCTGCAAGTGCCGTTAGACCCAGAAATATTGTATACCGTACTGGCAATATATGTTGCCGCAGTGAGGCCATGAAGCGTTACATTGGCACATGTTTGCCGCACGCAGGGCGTTACATGCAAAGTCGCACAGGAGCCGTTACACAGGTTTCTATATTGCCGCAGTCCTTTTTTTGCTATTGCCGCATCACTTTTTTGCTATTGCCGCATCACTTTTTTGCTATTGCCGCATCATTTTTTTGCTTTTGCCGCATCATTTTTTCTTTTCATCCACATTGAAGGCACAGAAATTCAGTTGCTATCCAACTGTTACAAACCCGACGGCAAAGGGCGACAACGATATCAATAGAAGACTGTATATTTTAACTATCAGAGTGATCTGTTCACAAAAAGATCATCAAAAGGAAAGTGACATAGGGGAAGAGCGCTTCCTCCAAAAACTACTTTTCACCACGCGGTACACGTGCTTTCACAGTTTTCAGCCTTTTTTTTGCAGTGCAAACTGCAATGAAAAGATCGCCGCACCCCGCCGGACGCGCGTTACGAACTCAACGAAAATTTGTCGCACTAGCCTGGTCGAGCGTTACGCCGCACCCCCCTGCGTTACGCGTTACGCGGCAACATATATTGCCAGTACGGTATATCACATGCTTTACTGGTCAAAATGTTTGATTGGGGTTTCCAGTTTTTGGAATGGGCTTTTGTTTTTTTTCCGCCCTCCCGCATACCTTTTCGCGAAAAAAAGGACGTTAAACAATGAATTAACAAAGGGTGGCCTAATAGCTGGTCATCTGCACGCCGATTGCCAACCATAAAGATAGAATGACTTGACACAATTGCATCAAGCATGGCGAAAGCTCACCCGACTGCCATTGTCTGATGAACTTGTTTCCAACTGTATCTCAGTCACCCAGCAACAATACCGTGACAAGATCTGTACATGAAAGCAATGCAACACATGAAAACACAACTCACAACAACATATGCAAACACACCTCCAGTATAGTCATGAAACCATAATAAATGAATCAAATGAACCTATCCATATACCAATGCTGGTACTAAAAAATGCGCAAAACATGTCGTAAGTAAAGTACAGTGTGCACGTCTGTGTTACAACCGGCTATACAACTGTGTTGAGAAACACAACCAGCACAACCAGCTTAGGAAATTTCCCTTGTGTCAGGCCACCACCATGCCTGAGCTACCACGGTGTGGTGAGATGGTAAGTCTCAACTAGGGCCCGACAAGGGGGCGAAACCTCGTAAGGGCGCGTTCAGACAACCGATAAAAAGTGACGGAATGGAAAAGTTGCCAATGTGATTTGATCACGTGACGTTACTGGCACGTTACCGGCGGGAAAGTTTTACTGGCGCGTCTGCTGCGCTGGGAACAGGTTGCCGGCAGTAAAAAAGTGGAGCACGTGCTAGTTTGGACTCTTGTCTACCACGCACTTCTGCGGTTTCGACTCCTCTATGGTGTGTGACTATTTTAGTATTTCCCCTGACTGTGACTCGACTCTATTCAGCACCAGTGTTTTCACGATGCCGAAGTCAGTATTTGACCAGGGCATGGAGAAGGAGATCATGCGCCTATACGTGGAAGTCTTTGCTGGTTCGTCAGGCAAAACATTGACCACTGTAGAGAAGCAAACTATGATAGCGGACAAGCTGAACGACATGGGGAAGCTTGTGGGGTGGCCTACTGTCACAGCATCAAATGTGGAGCATAAGATAGATTCCGTTCGAAGGACGGGCAAGAAGATGTACCGGACATTTAGGCTGAAAACCCGCACAGGTGCTCCTGTGGAAAGTGATTTCGACCTCAAGGTAATCATGAATGATTATGTGTCTTACATTTATCATAATTATTTATTTCATCCTCCTACATGTACATGTGTACTACTGACGATGTACTCCTGCGTATCTCAGGGACTGTTGACATGCATGAGTGTGTGGGTTTGTATACACTCCTATGCGTACTGCAAATGACATGCAAATGACATGCATATTTATTTCGTGCTGCTCCCGCGTTCTTGCAGGCTGCGTACAAAGATTGGGCGAATTTCCCTCAATATCATTCCCTCTTCTTCAAGAATCAGTCTTTTGGACCAGGCGGGAACAATGTAGATACTGCTATCAGCAACGAAGGAGCAGAAGAAGCCCGGGCAGAAGCTCCACCAGCCCCTGTCACACCAGTGCAAGTAAACATGCCTGGTGTCGGACAGAAAACTCCGCATGGTGACTCTGATTCGGCATCAGATCTGGAGCCGGGCAGGAAGCCAAGTCGAAAGACCACACGCAAGCGGCCAGCATCAACAGACAATTCATTCGCAGCCATCCAGTTGGAAATGCGCAAGGAAGAAATAGCAGCAGAGGAAAGAAGAGTGTTGGCGCAGCAGGAGTTCCAGCTGCGTATTGAGACACAGAGAGAAGAAGCCGAAGACCGACGAGAGAGAGAACGCAGACAGTATGAGGAAGCCAAAGCAAGAGAACAGAGAGAATACGATGAAGCCAAAGCAAAAGAGAATAGAGAGTACGAGGAGAAGAAAGAAGAACAGAGAGAAAAGAGAGCTGCTGGCGTCAGGCAGTCAGAGAAGGAATTCAACGCATCCCTGCTTGTGAAGCTGTTCTCAAAATAAACTCCCTGCATGATGTCACATACTCCTCGCCTTGTCAGGTGTGTCTTGTTTTTCTCCTTCTAGTTCTACACTTTTATTCTGCACCTGCGAGCAAGTGCACAAAGAATGATGATGATAGTATTGCATTGACCAAACTAACGTGATAGCCTGCAGTAGCAGTTACGTTGTGAACTTGCATGGTTTGGATTGTAATAGTAACTACTATACAGTACTACAGTCTGCTATCACAGCATTGAAGAGATTGCAAAGCGGACATCGCCCCCGCCAGGTAGATCTGCAGGTGCCGCTGGTGGCAATTCTGGTCCTATGCGAATGTAATTTGCTTCGTCGGCATTCCATGTCGTACTGTACTCGCAATTGGCTCTCTCTGGCAGATATTGTGGAGAGCTGCACAGACCAATGCAACGTCTCTCATAAAAGCCGGGTCTCGGATGAAATTCTCAATGAGAACATGCCAACGCCCTTTATAGAAGCCAAACGCGTTCTCAATTTTCTGTCGGGATGATATCAGTGCCTTGTCGAACCTTGTCTGGTGTTGGAAGCGTGCCTGGTCGTAGCACTTCATCAGTTGAGGCTCCAGAGGGAACGCACTGTCACCTATCAAATAGGGACGAACAGTGGTGCCATCAAAGTTGCGGTGCAAATCTTGGAGCCACCGGCCACCAACAATACGTCGGCGCAGAGAGCTTTCTGCGTAGCTGAAAGCATCTCCCACGCAACCAGCTCTGCCGACATCCACGAAAGTGAATTGGCAGCGGTCATCGCACACTGCCAACATATGAATTGCTATAAAGTTTTTATAGCACCAATAGTTGTCTCCCCAGAGAGCAGGCTTCTTGATATGCACAAAAGTACCATCGATCGCACCAGCACACATGGGCAGCTGAGCTAGATTACTGAAGCCAGCGATGACGTCCTCCAGCTCCCTACCAGAAGGGAACTTGATGGCTGCTGGTACCAGGATGTTTTTAAAAACACTGACTGCAGCATGCACAATATCATGGGCAGTTGACGCCCCAATGCAATACAGCTCGCCTAGCTGGTCAAACGTAAGATCATGCGCAAGCCAGTGCATACAAATTGCCAGGCGCTTGGCAGGGGGTACAGGTGTCCGAAACCTAGTTGACTCTCGCTGTAGGTCATTGCAGGTTTGACGGAGCAGGAACTCAAACGTCCGACAGTCTACTCTGTATGTGCGCAAATAACGCATGTCCAAATAGTCGTCAGCGTCTCCTGGCATCCCAAATTCGTCCGCAATGCGATGCCATTGCTTCACTTTGGTCTCCCAGAAACCCAGTTGGCCACCAGTGTGGTGAATTGACCACCAGCGCCGCTCTCGCCTCATGGACGAGGCAGCATCCTCCGCTGCAAGAAGAAGAACGTCATGGCGTGAAGATCGGCGAGAAACTTGAAGATTCACACTATCGTGGCTTCGCAGGGAGCGATACCTGGACTGAACACTACGGACAGGTCGATGCACGTGGGCTTGCAACAGTCTACTTCGGGCAGAGACACCTCTTCTCTACCACTACTTTGCTGCAAAAGAGAAAGGCCAGCGAACATAGCAGCCATACTCTACTGGAGGGAAATTCAGACGACTCAATAACTTTTAGAACTTAGCTGTGCGATGGAAACTTACACACTGTATTTGAACTTCACGGGCCGCTATATACCTATGCGCCACGTCACTGCAAAAGAGAAAGACCAGCGAACATAGCAGCCATACTCTACTGGAGGAATATTCAGACGACTCAATACTATAATAACTAACTTCTAGAACTTAGCTGTGCGATGTGAACTAATACACACTGTATTTGAACTTCGCGGGCCGCTATATACCTAGTACCTATGCACGATTCGGCAAAAAAAACTTTTCCAAACTGCCCCCCGCACGGACGCCATATTGGTTGGCATGGCAAAAGATGCTCGGGCTGTCAGTAGGGGGAAATCCCTTTTCGGTGCCGCGGTGAAAGCTGCACAAGTTTACCGGTAGTGTGAATGCCGTTCACGGTTTGACGGGGTTCACGGTTTGACGGGGTTAACGGTAGTCTGAACGCGCCCTTAGCTGCATCTATGTTACCCTCAATCCGAGGAGTGAGAACACAGTTGACAGTGGGTGTCGGCGCAGTTCCTTGCATGCAAAGTGGTCCACGCATGTACCACCGCATTTGTTACAGTAGTACAATACATGCTCCCCGTTGAGAGCGCTGGTCTCGAACTCGGGATCTCGCACACTGCTCCCCTCCCCCAACACACACACACACACACACACACACACACACACACACACACACACACACACACACACACACACACACACACACACACTCACACACACACACACACATGCACGACCGCGCACAGAAAGAGAGCCAACCTGTAGAGTAAGCTTCCAGAAGCGATGTGCAAGGGATTGCAGATAGACTGATCTTGACCAGCAACGCTCAAGAGATGACCACAGTGTACTGGTCGCTACACACCGGAAATCAGAGCCTGGGCAAAAGAAGGCATGACAATATTTACACAACTGCCAAACATGACATTCAAACAGAACATGTCAAACACTGACACATTGTTCGGACGGATTGACAACCAAATATCAAAAGTTCTATCTATGAAATTTTTGAAACACAGAAATTGTTTTAAAAACAAGACTCCACACAGGTGCACACAGACAGCCTATACACAGGCACAGACACACAGATCTATACCGTACTGCCATGTTGTATGTTCACTGTGGTAGACAGTACACAGTGCAGCACTTGCATCACATTGCACAGAGCTGTAGCAGGATATTGGCGCTGCCAAAACATGCACATCACTGTTTTATACAATCGTAACATTACATTGTTCTATTCTTACCTTGGCCAGCCGGACTGGAAAACGAGTCGCTGTACAACACCTCTTCTAATGCCCAGGCAATCTCTTGAAATCTACACAACAGGCAGGGCATGGATTTTAAAATAGGAGATCACGTCTTTACTGGGTCCACTGTCTCACACAAAAAGAATGAAGTTCACAAGCAATCGATAATGTACTTTAATACCAGCCACAATAGCATACTTTGAAGTACAATACGAGTCGTAGCAAGTAGTCTAGTACCAGTCAACCGATTTTAACAGAGAGAGAGAGAGAGAGAGAGAGAGAGAGAGAGACAGAGAGAGAGAGGAGAACTCGGGACATCAAGGTTGCACGGCCATTGGCGCTGACAGCGTACAGTCAACTTCGCTTATAACGACACTCGGCGGGGCATCAAAAAGGTGTCCTTATTCGCGAAGTGTCGTTATACCCGAAGTCTCATTATATGTATTACAGTGGGATGGGACTTTGCTCTGGGCATGGAAATTCTGTCATTATTCACGAATTGTCGTTATATCCGCAGTCGTTATTAGCGAAGTTGACTGTATATGATTATCCATCCAGGTTTTACTTGCTGAACCGGATAACCATCTGTCTACTACATACAACATATTACAGAACACACACACACACACACATGCAACCCGCATGCACGCAGACACACAAACACACACACACACACACACACACACACACACACACACACACACACACACACACACACATGCAGAGTAGCAGCATTTCAGCAGCACAATACCATACCTCAGCTGAAAGTAAACAGGTAAACTCCACTTGGACAGGAGTTGCTTGTAACTGGCATGATTTCGAAGTCGCTTCACTGATGCTTGAGTGCGACACAGACGTTCAAAGGTGCTTAGGAAGTCCATGGTCTTGGTGTAGTTCTGCAACAAGAGATACCAGCTCCATCATGTACTAGTACTTCCAGTATATACTTGTAATTCATTGATAGAAACTGCAGGTTCATTTCAACACACTACTGCAAAGAGATAAAATTTTTGCAGCACGCAAATGTTGTGTTTTCAAGATTTGTGTTGGTTCACGGTGCACCGGTGAGACCCTTTCGTGATGTTATCTCTACAGTCCAGTCATATGTTACACACAAACAACGTACAGAGCAGTTGGAGGCACAGTATCATAAGGACTGGGCAATACACATAGAGGAGAGAGAGAGAGAGAGAGAGAGAGAGAGAGAGAGAGAGAGAGAGAGAGAGAGAGAGAGAGAGAGAGAGAGGGGAGATAGATAGATAGAGAGAGAGAGGTGTGGGCAGGAAAAGAGGAAGGACAGAAGTTACTCACTTCATGAAATGTGTCCGGATTTCCAGCTGCGAAAATAGTCGGTGTTTGAGTACACAGCAATGTTACAATTTCCGGCCATACGGCATTGACAAGAAAGTCAATTCCTGCAAGCAGAACCAAGCAAATCAATGGGATCAGATGAATACAAGGCTCCACCATTTGAAGTCTGCATCAACGAGCAAGCAGAAATCGTAGGCAACATACTGCAACATCTTAGGAGCCATCAATTTCGATTTACATGCAGAAAGGGTGGGTGGGTTCCCACGGCTGGAAGATACTAAAACTAGCATTGCCATGCTTACCCTGTATATTAGCCAGGCTAGTTTTACTATCACCGCTGGATGAAGCCGATGACGAAGACGATGAACTGGACTGAAACGATGAAGTCAACGTGACAAGGGTTGCACAGTGCTTATTGATGAAGTCGACCACAGGTGGGTAGATATCGTCCAGCGTGGAACGACTGGAAATAATCTACACACAACAACAACAAACAGCAGTAGTAGCAGCAGCAGCATTGACATGAGATACAAACCGAGTCGCTATATTTTAAAAACAAAATCACCAAGACAAACAAAACATGGGTTTCCTGGACATAATGTCAGTAGATTCTCAAAGCCTTACCGGACTCAAGTATGGACGAACCACAGACGTTTTAAACAGAGCCTCCACTGCAGATGTCCGGTCAATGGCTGCATAAGTGCGTAGGCATCGATGCAAGCGCTGTGAATCGTTGGATGCCAGCCCTGCCTGAAATGACTTCGCCAAGCCGGACTGCAAGCTCAATGTGATAGCTGATATGCGCTATATAGCATACAAGACATAAACATACAAGCAGGTGTGCAAACACAGTGAAGCAGTGACCCTATGAGCTACCAAACACATTTACATACAGATTACTGTATACGGATATCTGGAGGCAAGCATGGACATGACCGAGATACATAATTACCTTACAGACTAGGCATTAAACACACACAGTATGAGTACTTAGACATTTATCAGTCACATTGAAACATACGTTGACTACTTACAGGGGTGATGGCAGACACGAATGCTGAGTCCTCAGCCTGCTCAACTTGAAACTGCAGCTCGTTGAATGCACTGGTCACTCTCTCCAAAACATCTTCATCACTGCACAAACAAAGAGAAGTTGAATAAGAATTCTGGCATTATTCAGAATGTCCGATCTCAACGACTGATCTTTACGGGTAGCTGCTATAAAGTACCTTTGAATACAGAAAAATTAATGAACTTCTATGCCAAAGCCTCAAAGGAAGGTGAAGGAGCCTTTCGTTGCAGACCTTTTTGTAAGAATGGCAGCAAGATAGTACAATGCATGTGAATCCATGTACAGAACATCGTGCCTTTGTCTTGTAAAGGCAATCGGTATGCTTCAGCATCCACACAATTAAAGCGAGAAACACTACACAAAAAGGGGCTACATGCAATTCAAAGACATTGCCATAGAGTGTGTAAGACTTTTACTGGCAGATGCTGAGCATAACCTAGAATGTGCTATATAATGACAATCATACAGACCCGTGTGGCAGCCGTAGCAAATACTAGTAGCAACTCACCTATCATCGCCACCGACACCGGCTGTTGTTAGATCGCGACCGTCTAGGCGCAAGAATTGCTCAATGCTATCGATTTTCTGAGAAATGACCAGATAGCGCTCCAGTGCAGCCTACCAAAACAGACAGTAGTGACAAGAGCATTAAAACCTGGGTGAGGAAAGAATGAGACGAGATGTCCAAAGAGATTTGTCAAACTATCATCCAAGAAGTTAGCAAGAAGTGCACACAACGTGAGAACCACACTCCTTCCTGCGTCATCCAGGGAAGTACAACAGTAGTTGTGAGTGGAGCACCATGTGGCACCTCATGCATGAACGTTACATCGTTACATGTCCAGCCCTCAGTTTCAAGACAAGCTCTTGATGTTACCACACAGTAGTATGTGTAGTGAGGATGAAACAAGGAGGAAGTAAGTACCTTCTTTTTGACACATTCAGCTCTCCGCTCAAGGAGTTGTTCCAGCTTGCCTCGTGCATTGTCCACCGTACCCTTCACTGTCTACAAGAATATACACACAACACATGCATACATCGGTGCATGCACACACACACACACACACACACACACACGGAAGCACATGCACACACACATACACACACACACACACACACACACACACGCATACACACGCACACACAAACACGTACATGAGTAATTTGCTTCAACTACTTCTGATCAAAGCGGGTAGTTCAAGAAAGACTCATAAGTTATACAAGTTGTGCCCTGTTAGCACCACACGGCACAATGCAGTGCAAGAAGCTGTCCTGACTGGCAGGACTTGCAGAGCATACTGATCGGCTAGAAACCTTCAATTCATGAAAACCAGGGCTTCAAGAGTATTACGTACAACTAGTCGCTGTGAATACAGTGTACCAGAAAAAAATACGGTATATTAACTACTATGAAAAAAAGAAAAGGACAAAATGTTACGAGTTATGACAAACTGTCCACCAACGTAACCAGATCTTACACAGTCAGCGAGTGCGACAAAATGGCACAAAACTGACAAGGAGTACTGAGACATTCGGCGACCTGACACCTAGCTCCAACACTTCTCCAAGGCGCAAACCAACAACCTTCCAACTTGGAACTATATTGGCTCACCATCCGAGTTATATTAACTACGGTACTAGTATGATATGAACTACAATACTGCTCAACGAAATCCGATCGAGCGAGTCAATGCCACGCCGGGCACTGTGCACCCCTAGACCTGCGAACACTGGGACGGTGAGCTGGTGCAGGGTGCAAACTTGAGAGTTGAGTCACAGGATCGGAATTCATTGAGCAGCGCTGTAGTACATCATGATTGCTTTAAACAGTCAAAGAGAAGCTAGGTACAAGTGCCACCCACCGAAACTTCTTCTCGGAGTTGGCCAAGTGGAACAAGAATATCTCCAATTTCTTTTTCCAGACCCACCTGTGCAATGAAAAGCCAAACAACAAGCATGTCAAGCTACAAAACAGCAGAAGTAAATCCAATCAAAGGAGGTGTAACACTTAATTCCGGTTCACATTGGACACGTTTCAGGCCTTGCAGCATTAGCTATTGAATCCAGCACACCAAACTACTTCAAAAAGTAATCCTTGATCCGGACCAACTCAGTTGAGTTCATCAAGTATTCTTTTGTTTGCTCTGAAACTGAGATCTGACTCGCGAGCAACTTGTGGAGCCATTGCAGTATAACTATGCTGACGAAACACGAAATACGCCTTGGCTAAGGTACTCGACGCTCTGCAACCGGGTACAAATAACCATGTGTCATGATTGGTAGGAGGGTAAGCAGCAGCAGCCTTAGTCCTAACTCCCCACCCGATGTGCTCTCTGCCTAGCCTCGTTCACCCCACCAGATGTGCTCTCTGCCTAGCCTTGTGTTTGTCACCCCACCAGCAACACGACTACGAGTTTTAGCAGACACTGGTATCAAATCCTTCATACAGCTGTTTCAATCATATACATCTCTCATCAGTGAAGCTTGCAAAAGTACTGGACGGCTAGAATTTCTATCTGTCTAGGATTCGTGAATAGCACTCTTTAATATCCAGATAATTATTGTCATATACATCTCTCATCAGTGAAGCTTGCAAAAGTACTGGACGGCTAGGATTTCTATCTGTCTAGGATTCGTGAATAGCACTCTTTAATATCCAGATAATTATTGTGAGTATGAAGTGACGCAATCGCACACTTTGAGGTGCCATAAGTAGTAACACATAGAGAATAGAAGTACATGTAAGTACAAGATCACACAATACGTGTAAGGTACTGAGGACAGAGATACATTTAATACTATAGTCGCAAAAGATCATGGCACGCTGAAAGATCACACTGAATATTGAGGTGACACTTCAATATCCAGTACGTTTTTGAGGTGTCAATAACAATCTCTGTATATATAAACAGTGCTGTTTACAAGTCCTGGCCACTCGGTACTCTCACAACCTTCACCGATGAGATCTACATGTATACGATCGAAATAGCCGTATGCAGGACTTGATGATGACTTCACGTTGGGGATTTTGGACTAAATGCGCCATGGCCGGATGAATAATTGTGGTGCTGTACCCAAGGCCCATTCTGTATTTCATGGACAATTTCACCAGACATCCAGTCTGTGATGAAGAGTAAGCCGGTGAGACTGAGAGGGTGGCAGGGAAGCGCAGCGAAGAGCATCACCAATAAGTGAGGAATGCGGCACCGGGGACGCCCTGGGGAGAGCATTACTGGAAAAGCACAACGTTCTTTCCGTGGCGTCCTTGCAGTTAGCCCGCACCTCAATCCTCGCTCAAAGGCAAAGGCAGAGATTACTCTGACCGACACATCATGGAATCCCTATTCATGTGAAAGAGGAAGCCGGTGGTGAACATGGACAGTGGTTGGCGGTTGTTGGGCGATGTTTCGACACACCTCCAATTTCAATTTGCCACTCAAATGTTCAGTTTGTGCCAAGCATTGTGATAGTACAATAGCGATGTACATGCTTAGTCTTCGCTGGAAGATGTGTAATGCTGCTGCTGGATTCTGGTGATTGCGGCTGCTGTTTCTAGCCGGCATCGTGTGCTTCTTGCTACTGTTGTTGGTAGTATTCACTCTATGCTTTGCTTTACTTTAGTGCATATTCCTTGCACTGGATTGTTATACCTGAAGATGGGCCCGGTCTGAGAATTAGGATTAAGCTGTTTTATTTGTTTCAAACAATTGTAGCCAAGGGACCATTTCGGAAGGTGGTGTATATTTCTGAGCAAGCGTTTCAAGACCAGACCACTACAAGCGTACAGTAGGTATCAGTTATAGCGTAGGTGTTTGAAAAACGACTTTCTATTCTTACTTCTGATGTTTCTTTCACGTGATAAATCAAGTGTGACATATCATATGCATGTGTGCAGAAGTAAGAAGGCCATCATACATGCAACGCATCACTGCTGTGCATGCGGGTGTTCATAGTCGCATAAGTTTACCATGTGGCTATGCAACATGAGTTCCATGACCACAACAGTCAAACCTGCAGCACTACGATGCAATGCGAGTCAGATCAGAACTGCACTGGACAGATGTTATTACTACAGACGATACACTTTGTGCTAATCTGGCATGTTTTGCTACACAAAGTCCATTCTTAGGACCGATATATTCTACTATGCGATAACATTGTGTGTAAGAATAAAATTAATGTTCACTTGAAACCCATGTTATGATTATGAAAATATGAGATTTCATTCTTGTAGGCAGTATATTCTTTTACACGACCACACTATAACCGATACGCACTGTACTTCATTTCTTCCCACTGCTGTACCATATTTAATCTGATGGAGCTATACTTACAAGACTGCTTGATAACGATACAAAGTCAGCATAGTCTTTGTTGATCAACTCCATCATCGCATTTCTCAAAGCTTTGTAGTGTACACTAAGATCCTCATGGAGAGTCTCCAAGGACACTCGACGGCGACATGACGAAATAAATTCGTCAACATCAAAGCTCTCACGAAGAAATTCCTCTCGTGCAAAACAAAATCGAGTATTGCTTGCTCCCAAGAGGGAGCTAGCTGCCTCCTCCGCCATTACAAACTCTATCTCTCACCTCAAGTCTATCATCAAACAGCTTTGCCCTTTGAAGATTCGTGATGAAGTGAAAAAATGAGCCAAAAACTAACTTTGAGTGTGAAGGAGCAAATCAAATGAAGACCTACGTCATTTGGCACTATCACGTGCTACCGTCAGTTTTTGAATGCACGTGCATTTCCATTTTCGCTCATTCGTTCCTGTTCGAAGTGTTTCTGTAGCTGTACTGTTCAGGACCGAGCCGCGTTACGATTTCCCTATTTTTGTAATTTCATCTGTGGACACCAATGCCAATGGCGATACAGTATAGCTCCTTGTTCAAGGTACATTTATAATGAAATGAATAGTATTTCTACTTTATTTCACTGGAACGCCGAGCTATGAAGTGAAATGGCATCAACTTCTGAAGGTTTGTAGAATGTGACGTTACAAGCATCACCTTATTGAACAATCATACTGTCATTGTATAACTTGTCTTTTGCGTGCGAAAAGAAATACTGAATGTGAAGAATATTCCGAAGAAACGCGGTCCATTGATAATATTGAACAGGATTTCGTATTGAGGTGGTGGGGAAAGATGCTAAACTTTATGAAGAAAAGTCAAAGTACAAAAACCAAACACATTATTGCAAATAGCACCATACCTAACAACGCTGCCTCGCTATAATATAAATGTAGCTACATTTGTATATAACCAGGCAACGTTGTTAGGTGTGGTGCTGAATGGGCAGAGCACCATTGGCAGACTAAACTAAAGGCATGAGTGAAGCTCCCAGCTTTGTTACCGCCTTTTTGTATTTTGGTTTCTTGGGCGGTGCGACACCTTTGGAGGACATCGCATTCCACGAGAGGTTAACTGGACTCCTCCGTTTGTACTTAACGGTTGCTACATTTGAAGTACCCTACCCATTTGATGTAAAAAGAGCAATCTATTCCCCTTTGACATGCCATGGATAGAACAATCTTGCTTTCTTTGCAACAAATTGGTCTCCCTTTCCTTTGTTGTTTGCTGGCACTTTAGACCATAATGTATGCGTTGCGTATAATACACTTGCGACGTGTACAGCTCTGGACAAGCCACATTTGAAACAGGTAATTTGTGCATTGTACCTGTTGTGTGCGGAGTATGCATCAGCATGCCTGTGTGAGTATGTAGAGTAGTACAGCCTCTTTTACGGGCAAAATAAACACAATGAATATTTTTTCCCAAGTGTTCCGAAAAACTTCAACTCGCAGGTCTAGAAAGAAAAAAAGGCAAAAACACGCAAAAAAAACAAAACCACAACAGCATGATAATGTAAATAGCTCTCTGTCTGGCTCGCTTTACTGGATTCTAGACTCTATTCTTCAGGCTCACTCCAGGCTCACTCCAGGCTCAACTCGCATTGCAAACTTCCTTGTGTTTCCAACTACAGTCCATTCATAAAAAGATGGGCTCTGGCTCTGGCGAGCTCCCGTATTTGGCGGTTTTTCGTGATTTCATCGTACACAGTGCAGTGCTGTGAACTTTGAAATTTGAAAAAGGGTCCAAAAAGGGTGCCTGAACTGGGGTTCGAACCGCAGAATGCACTGTTGCCAGGCGGGGTCAAACGGCCTGGATTTTGATGGTTTTCCCAATTCTGTGCTTTTGGGGCATAACCTGGCCGAAATCCTATTCTTGCTATGGCTTGCTTTTTGGACAAAAAAACTTCAGAAACATAATTGGAAGAGGATTCCATAGGGGATTGCCAAAAAAAATTCTAGAAAAACTCAAAGTTTGACCCATTTATGGCCAAAAGCTAGAAGTTCATTTTTTTCTGAATGGACTGTAACTAACGAAAGAAGACTCGCCGAAAGGAAAAGCACCGTATATAAAACAGCAGGGCAACATAAAGGCACAGCAGGCCGAGCAGGGCACATGTGAAACCAGAGACCCGGACCCGTCGAAGCATGGAAATGAGGGCCGCTCTATCGCCTGACATGAATGCGTACAAAGAGAGCGTAAGCAGACAGCTTTGTCATGCACTAAGATGCCGACTCGCGTGACCGTAACACAGCACGACAATGAACATGACAGCCAGACTACTCCAGACATGAATGCAGGAAACCAGTACACATGACCATGCGTGCACATCTCCCCCTTCACTCACGAAATGGCATATGAGTGAGTACATGAGCAAGGCAGTGCAGCAGCAAGAATGAGTGCACCGGAAGGCAGCATATGGAAAGTGCAGGCAGACAACCACAAGAGAAAACATCAGAAACAGCAGACATAGACTAGAGACAGCACACCAGTCTCTGCGCGGTCGAGCTGCTCCACGGCTTCTCGTAGCTCCCGCTCAGCCGCGACGAAGTTGGAGCCGTTATCGGTGACAATGATGCTTGGCGTGCCGCGCCGCTTAACAAACCGGTTTAACGCCATGAGGAACCCCCCGGTATCCATGGAGTAGGTAACCTCCAGATGGCAGGCTCGGGTTTCCAGGCATGTCATGAGACAGAGGTAGCGCTTCGCTCGGGTTCTGCCTCGTCCTTGCTTAGTCTGGAACGGCCCGGCAAAGTCGATGCCACAGTGCGAGAATGGTCGGAGAGAGCCGGCAGTCCGAAAGTCCGGCAGAGCGCCCATGATCTGCGCCGCCGGTACACCCCAGTTCTTCCGACACGGAACGCATGACTGGCGTGCCGTCTTAACTGCTGATGCACCGTTTACTATCCAGAACCTCTCCCTCAGGTTGGACAGCAGATGCTGAGGTCCTACGCTGTGGCGGCACCTCCAGTCCTCCTTCTCGATCAGCAGCCGCGTGACAACGTGCTTCTGAGGCAGGATGATCGGTAAGCGTACACGATATGGCAAGTGTTTCGCTGCCTTCAAACGGCCTCCGACCACCATCAGCGGTTCAGCATGTTGATCTAGCGTCGGGCTTAGCGCCGCCAGCGGGTCTCTAGCCTGCATTGGCTTTCCGGCGGCCAGACGCTCCAGGGTTGGGCCGTACGCGTCCTTCTGCGCCTGTCGTATCCAGTGCCTCTCAGCGCGGCCTACCTCACCCGCCGTCAGCTCTGGCACGTTGACAGCAGGGTAGTTCGGGTTGGCTGCTCGCGAAGTCGACACTGCAACGGTGACGTCTTGATCGCTGCTGGTATCCTCCCCCTTCATGCCGACGCGCGGCTTGCGACGGCATCGGCTGACAAACCGGTAGCACCATGCAGTCACCCTGAGCAGCTGCTCCCAGGTGCGGTATCTGGATGCCTGGAGGCGAGTGGTTGGCATGACGGCAAGCGTGAACGTGGTCTCCCGCTGGATGACGCCTGGCAGATCTTCTGTGGACGCCGACTTGTCAGGCGGCCATACGTCCGGTTGCTGCGAGCCTGTGACAGGAACGCGGGTCCGTGCCCCCACATCCGGTGCTCTGCCAACTCCTTCGCTGGTAGCCCACGGGTACCCTTGTTGGCGGGGTTCTGCTTGCCGGGTACGTGCCTCCACTGGGAGGGCTTCGTGGCGTTCTGTAGCTCTGAGACGCGGTTGCCGATGTCGACCTTGAACCTGCGACTGTGCGAGCGGATCCACCCCAACACGTTCATGGAATCCGTCCAGAACGTGTGCTTGGCGACCGGGATGTCCAGAGCGTTGCCAACTTCGCTGCTGGTCCGCAGACCCAAGACGGCGCCGCGAAGCTCCAGCTGAGGGATGGTCTGCCGACGAGCCGGGGCTGTCTTGGCCTTGGCCATGGCGAGCGTCACCCGCACATTGCCGGCCGCATCCTCTGCGCGAATGTAGGTCGCAGCAGCGATGGCACGGTCAGACGCATCCGTGAACGTGTGGACGGAGAGGATGGACTCCGTAGCCGCCTTGAAACTGCGTGGCGCGTTGATGGCGGCCAGGTTGGGCAGCTCGTCAAACCACTCCCTCCACTTTCTGGTGTGCGTGGGAGGAAGGTCGTCGTCCCACGCCTGGTCCAGCAACCAAGTGTCCTGCAGCAGCAGCACGCGGGCACGGATCGTGAACGGCGCAATTTGCCCACGAGGATCGAACGCCGACGCCAGGCCGCTGAGGACGGAGCGCCGTGTCACAGCGTGGGACCTCAGCTTGACGGCCAGCGTCTTCAGCTCATCCAGCTCGCGCTCCGTGTTGATCTGCGGCCAACTCATGAGCTCGCGTTCCTGCTGTTCGAGGCTACGGTCTGTGCCCCCGTACCACCGATCCAGCTCCTCCATGATGGCGGAGTAGGCATCCGGGCCGTCTAGCACGTCCGCGATCAGGTCCTCGGCTGCTCCGTCCGCCAGTGCCTCCCTCAAGTGTGCGAGCTTATAGTTCTCTGACAAGAGCGGGTTCTCGTGTACTAGACGGAGAAACCGCTGACGCCACTTCACATATGACAGCATCTTGGCATCAAACTTTGGCAGGTCCAGTGGCTTCAGGGACCTGCAGACTCCCATCTGGAACATAGCCGCTCCGTCTGCCCAGTCGACTGCTGGGTCGGTTGCCCTGGTGCGCGGGAAGTAGGGTTCCGCTGCAGGGTTGAGGCCCACTCCCTTGGGCTTGAAGGCCTGCTGGACTGGACCGAGTCGCAATGGCACTGGCGGGACTGGCTTAGGTGGTAGACGTTTGGGCTTCACACGTGGGGCTGGTGTTGGAGCAAGTCGATACTTCAGCAGGCTTGCTCTCGGCACTGGAGCTGAGGCGTTGGGTTGTACTGTAGGCTGCACTGGCTGTTGCATGTTCGGCTGCATGGGCTGCTGTGCAGGCTGTGACCCAGACCACTGTTCTAACCTGGGCCTGCGATGAGCCACCGCGCCAGCACCTGCGTCGCTGAAGGCACCTCGACTGAAGTGGTTGGCCAGCCTGCGCATATGGCCTCCGCGTCCGATCGCGCACGACGATTTCCCACGCCACATGGCCAGCTCCCACCATTGATATCCTCGCTCTCTAGCTCTGAGCTCTCTGGCTCTGAGCTCGAGGTATCCACAGCAGAACTTCGCGCTGACACGGCACTGCTCGCGCTGGCCAACTCCTCCGCCGCCCTCGCCTGCTCGACTTCGAGCTCCTTTTTTACCAGGTCAATTCGGAGGTCGATCTCTTGCTGCTTCAGAGCGGCGATCCGCCGTGCAGCCTTCAGTTCTGCCTCCTTGTTCCTACGCAATATCGCAGCTTCAAGTTCAACGCCCCCAAGGCTCTCGCTTGCGGACGTCCTGCCGCCGCTCCTGCGTCCCGACCGCCTCGGCTCTTGGGCCTGCTCCCCATCGGAGAGGAACCGCTTGGGCATCTTACCTAGGGTTCTCCTGCTACTCCTTCGTGGGAACTCCATGTCAGGCAACGGAAACAGAGACTTTCTGCTGGTCGTGATCCGGCTCGAAGGACCAGTTTATGGCCAGCTCTCTGTCTGGCTTGCTTTACTGGATTCTACTATTTCTAGACTGTATTCTTCAGGCTCACTTCATGCTCAACTCGCATTGCAAACTTCCTTGTGTTTCCAACTAACTAACGAAAGAAGACTCGCCGAAAGGAAAAGCACCGTATATAAAACAGCAGGGCAACATAAAGGCACAGCAGGCCGAGCAGGGCACATGTGAAACCAGAGACCCGGACCCGTCGAAGCATGGAAATGAGGGCCGCTCTATCGCCTGACATGAATGCGTACAAAGAGAGCGTAAGCAGACAGCTTTGTCATGCACTAAGATGCCGACTCGCGTGACCGTAACACAGCACGACAATGAACATGACAGCCAGACTACTCCAGACATGAATGCAGGAAACCAGTACACATGACCATGCGTGCATATATACCTACTTAGGTAAACAGCAGCAAGTAAGTTCAACTTCAAGTCAATAGTCCAGTCACTGATACCGCTCGTGCACGCTAAGCCGAGCCTCTACCACTGCCAGCACAGCAGAGGTATCACCCACAGCCAAGGCAGACTGGCTAGAGAGCCTTCTGCACCCTCGGAGGCACATGATGCAGGACCGCAAGAGGAAAAAGCGATCCTGCACCCGATGAAAGCCATCACATGAGAGTACTGCTCCCCTCTCTTGGCTGCCAACAGAGCATGCGTGTGTGCATGTGATACTAGTATGCAGGAGCACACGTGATGAAATAGGCGTCGAAGTAAAAAGTTGCTTCAACTGCTTTGGAAGTGCTGTAAAAATGCCGACAAGCGCCCATCACTGGCATGCACCACACGCACGCACACACGCACAGACACACACACACACACACACACACACACACACACACACACACACACACACACACACACACACACACACACACACACACACCACAACATCATAAATACCTCTAGAGCTCTACTTGTACAGTGAACACAGCTTCCAATGCTTCATGGTCTACTGGTACGATGCGCGTGTACAGATATCGTAGCGACCTGTAGGAATATGGAAGTTTTGTACACACCACATTGGGTGTTTGACACCAATTTTTCTACATTGTATAGTATGATTGTTGTGAAACAGGTCAACCATGACTATAGGAAGCACTGACAACAGTTTTGTAAGGATTTTGTAAGCTGTTGGTGAATTATAGAGAGACTTGGAGAGATTTTCGCGAAGGAGATGATATGTACATGCACTAAAATGCACTGTCTCCCACTTGTATCGAGTCGTGTTGAGTCGTATGTTTGTGTATGTTGTTGCTGGTCTACAGCTTTTGCCACACATGCGAGCGGGATGCCCGGCCGTTGGAGAAGCATCTCACAATGAATGTCTGAGATTGCTCTGCAATTTCCTGTCGAGCAGTGTTTCCAAAAGTCGGCAAGTTGCACTAAGGTATGATGGTTTTGTAGCATCTTAAATTTGAAGCGTTTTTCTGTGAGTGATAGTATGCTCATGTGGACGTGTTTGTTCATTCTTGGTTGCTTGCAGCCTGTTACAAGCATCTCAGACATCCCGTGAAGCTTTATCCGCAGCTGTCTCTGATAGTTTGCTGACTGGCGTTGAGCGCAGTGTTCCAGATGTAAGTGTGATGTCTTGATTGAAGGTGTACAATGTATATGGAATGGGTTGTCTGAAAGTGTATTACGATTACTGCCATTTACTGGCTGTCCAAAGTGCGGTAAGGGATATGCCCAGTTCACTAAAGATGTTATATGCAATGTGAAAGTATACTCATGCTGGAGATGTGTTGTTCTTGTTAATGCAGTGGCTGTACTATTTGTTGCAAATAGTTTGTTGTGCTTTGTTGTGTGTGTGTGTGTGTGTGTGTGTGTGTGTGTGTGTGTGTGTGTGTGTGTGTGTGTGTGTGTGTGTGTGTGTGTGTGCGTGCTCGTATGTGTGTGTGTGTGTGTGTGTGTGTGTGTGTGTGTGTGTGTGCACGTGTGTGTGTGTGCATGTGTGTGTGTGTGTGTGTGTGTGTGTGTGTGTGTGTGTGTGTGTGTGTGTGTGTGTGTGTGTGTGTGTGTGTGTGTGTGTGTGTGTGTCTTGGCAGAATGTCTCCGCTTGTCAGTCACTGTTGAACTTTGCCTATGCTCTCTTCGAGAATTTTCCGTCAGGTAGGGTTGTGGAATATCCTCTGAATTCTTCTTTTTGCTATACTTGAATATTGTGCTGCTGGTAACCGTTAGTGCCTTCTGGTAGTGACTTCCTGCAGGTGAGCAGACATTCTGGAATAGGCTATCTGACCAGGGCTCTGTTTGCCTGGACGCGGGGAAGCAGCTGTCAGTCTGTTGATAGTCTCGTCCAGACTTGTACTCACCAGGTCTTTATGATCCTGCTTGCACTCAGGGATACATGCCCCGGTAGCTGTTGGCTCAGGCTGCTGACTCAATGTGAACGTGTACCAATGCTGGAGATGTGCTATTCTTGTTGGTGCAGTGTTTGTACTCTTTGTTGCAAGTTGTTTTGTCATGTTTTGTTGTTTGTGTGCGTGCATGTGTGTGTGTGTGTGTGTGTGTGTGTGTGTGCGTGCGTGCGTGCGCGCGCGCGCGCGCGTGTGTGCACATATGCATGTTTATGTGTGCATGTGTAAATGCTGTAACTTGTAGGGCTTGACTGTGTCAGTACCCACTTCCATACATGTAAGTACCTGTCAGCATACCCTTATGCTCTATCATGCAATGTGCACATATTGATTTATTGAAGATTGGATTTGGGTAGGCTTGGTAGCATGTTATTTTCCCCTGTTCCAAATTCAGAGCACTGGCTACATGTGTATATTACTTTCAACTACTCTTTTTTTGTGTTTTGTATGTCAGCACGCTGCATTGAAACTTAGAAAGTCTTATCATGTTGTACGCATCCTTTTTGCCCTTGCCTGTGATCCGTATTACAGTGATACGATGGATATCGAAGTGTCTTCAACACCATGCTCAAGTTGTCCGGTATGGAGCAGTGGCAACTGCTAGTTTCTTGTTGTGTAGTGTTTACTCCCATTGACTATACCAAGAGTCTGTATCTATGAGTGGGCAACTGTGTGGTCTCTTTTCCTATGTCCCAGATACACATCACAATGCCTTCATTACATCATACAGCTACTTTCGTGCACCGCGGAAATCAAACACCACACTTTCCCCGTGGTTTGAAACCGACTGTACGGAACTTAAATTCATGCACCCAAAATTTAGCGATCGCATCAGGACGTGACCGAATCAAGCAAACCAGTTGTGCTGGTATGAGAGATTGTAGGTTTGAGGGCGTGATGCAGGCAAGTTACGGTATGTGAGAGGGAGAGCTAAGATCTGTGCGGGAATTGATGTGTTCTTTGTTTCTGTGTGCTTTGCTGTTCAGGTGTTCAGAGGGGCTTGAAAGCCTCTCAACCAGTGTCAACAAAGAACTGTCCCAGGGCCTATTGGGACTAGCAGTACTTTGTGTGCAGCGCCTCAAGAAACTTCACGGCCATCTTATCGCACTGATGACTGCATGCAGCACTGCAAATGATCAGACGTCATCAGCTGAACCCATTGCTTCAGGTTCTGCTCAGATTGATGTGTCATACTTCAAGGATTTGCTCGTGACATCCATATCAATTCTGATGGATGGTAAGGGTGCTTTGGGAGAAATGCTGAAAAGATTGGAATATTTGACCAAAGTAAATGATGCCTCATATGCAGGAGTTCACTGAATTTCTTTCCTTTCTGAAATTCCCTGACACAGTAGAACTGTCGTATGCTGTGAGTGAATGTGGATTCCTAGTGGACACTGGGGCTCATGTCACATGTGCGTAACCCGATGCCAGACAGTTTTGTACACATGCATTTTCTACACCATCACAAACGTGCACTTTCTTGATTTTCTTGATTTTTTCCACTGCGCTCACCTTCCCCTTTTGGTCCTACCCAACCTTGAACCTTCAAAGTTGGCAGGATGTTGGTTTGCACACTGGGGATGTGTTAGAGCTAGGTCTTAGGTCGTTGAATGTCTCAGTAGCCTGTCAGTTTTGTGCACTGTTATCGCACGTTCTGACCGCTTATTATCTTGTTACAGTCGTGGATAGTTGCTTCATAGCTTGTTCCCATGTGTTTTCTTCTTCTATTTTACATTTAATACTGGCACATTATCCGAGTTCAATTTGTCTAGTTTCCTTCTTTTTTTTCCATTCTTGCTTGTGCGTACGTGTGCTTGTTTTTACAGATGCACATTGTGTGGAGACCATGACATCAGCAGCCGTACTGGCCACGTTGATACTGAGATTCGCTAATGGCCTCAACACAATACCGTCTGGTGTTGAGCACTCTTTGAGCACCTCAAACATTCTACACCAGGTAAAGCAGCACGTTTCCACTTACAGTGGGCAATTGTGATGGCGGTAAATTGGCCCAGGGGACTTTGGGGTGTGCATATTCAGTATGTAGAAAGAAAGAATAGTTACTGAGATCCTGGTCACAGGGCCAAATTTTGTGGCCGAAATGTCAAATGAACCACTTCCAGGCGTCCAGTAATATAGTCAATGCTGTAAACAATTCAACACAAGAGATCATTACTCACCTCGGATTCGCTTAAAACGTTGACTACATGCGTATTTATGTATGTTTTGTAGACGGCTTGGTGTGGCCAGGGTTATTTGATGATCCGGACACTCGATGTGGAACAGCAGTGAGAACGATATCAGAATGTCTTTATGTTCAAGCTGTCTCCTTTAGCATATCAAGTTATCAACGTTGCATTATCAATGGAGTAGTTGTAGTTACTGTAACTTACATGATCACAGAATTTATAAAAAAAGTTCCATCTATAACACCTTTCTTTCTTTTCTGTGTGTTTTAAAATGTTTCAAGATTTCATCAGTCCTAGGAAAGGCAATCTCGCCATCCACCTGTGACGCATGGCCTGTGTATGCTCGGGCATGGAGTGATCTTCTATTTTCAAGTAAGAGCTATGACTTGGGAAGATATTGTCTGTGATGAACTCCAACCATGCTGTTTGGGCTGGTCTCCTCTCCTTGTTCTGTATCCATGCTACTACGGTAGTATTTCAGCGTCTACGCTGTGCTGTGATGCGATGCATAGCACTCTTGCAAGCCAGAGAGCTCCAACAACATACCATAATCTATCATGAAGCAATGACTTGACAGAAGTACATGTACAATGCCTAGTTACATATTAGGGGAGGGGGCTCTTGCCTTCAGTGGGTACGTTCGATTACTGCCATGAATCGATTCATGAATGGAATCTCGTCGTTCGATTTCATGTCACAAGCCCTGGAATCAGTTCGGAATCCATTCACCCTATTCACATGGGGTGATGTGAATAGGCAGGGGCGATTCATGAATGGATTCAACGTCGATTTGCGGGCATAGTCGAACGCACTCAATATGATCATTCAATCTGTTCTTTACCTGTGTGCTGCTTTTCAACCTTCATACTATAAATGGCCATGCCTTAGATTGGTATTGTGCTGGCATGCAAGTAAAATTATGTACCGGTATGCGTAAAATACCTTATTTGCTTGCTGACATGTCTTTCCTTGATGTGCATTTGTTACCTTCAGAGCTAAGTGTTTCTGGAAGAAGAGCTCTCCTACATGCCATTGTCAGCAGCTTGCCAAGAACCGTGTTATTTGCCAACACTGATGCCCTATGCCAGGTCTGTACATGATGAGTTATCTTCTTCTAACACATCTCGCCTTGCAAGCTTAATTAACATGTTTATGGGACGACTTATGAGAGTCTGTAACATGCTTGCGGTAGAGCAAACTGCTTGTGTCAGGTGTTTCTCTGGGTAGTCTCAGGTCTGTTTTGCTTTTGTTGTAGGCTACTGCTATGTTACTTGCTTACCGAGGATGCATCATGTATTAACGTTGTTGTTTTGTCTGCTACTTCTCTTGTTGTCCAGTTTGCAGATGCTGGTAGCCATAGTAGCGGCAGTGCTGGTAGTACAGTGTACACTTGCTTACTACTGGACTGGGTATTGCCCAGTGTCTATGAGCTCTGTAAGAGGTCAGTCAAGTCCTGTGGATACACTCACTCTCACCATACTGTTTTGTACTTGTCCTCAGCAATCAATGGCACATCGGCTCCATGCTTTACGACGTTACTACTTGAAGAAGTAATGGCTTAGGATGAGCGGCTAGGTGACACCAACATTCCTTCAATCAAATTAGCAACATCCTGACATGTAACTGGGTGCAGCGAGTATGATTTCATAGGACAGTACACTGTACCCTGAATGCTCACACCCATGCATACATCCACTGCCTGCACCAGTATGGGCGAATGTTTGTGTTGCACTGAATATCTGATGTTCTGACTGTCTTCCATCCTGTTGCCTTTACGCTGTGTATACATGTGTGTGTGTGTGTGCGTGCGCGTGCGGGCGTGTGTGTGCATGTGCACGTGCGTGTGTGTGTCTGTGTGTTTGCATGCATGTGTATATGTGAATGTTCTTTTAGTTCTGATAATAGCAACTTGCGCGTCTTGTCATTTCGTCTACTTGCTAACGTTGCACACGAAATGAAGTAAGTTGTAGCTTGGCTCTTGAATTAGCTTTTTCTTGCCTCCTAATTCCTGTTTTGTACTTTGTTGTAAAATCACACACAGCAACAATGTTGCCAATTATGTAAAAATAAGTGATAGGTTATCGTTACTAAACGTTAGCGTTAAATCTCATCACGCGCCTTCTATTGCAGTATAATTGTCTTGGATGGTTTTGACTTGCTGTACATGTACTTCTTTCCCGTGTATGCGCTGATGAGAATGGGTCGAAAGTTTGACTCGAAACGCTTTTGGAAAATGTTTTTGCTAGTTGACTGAGTAATGAAATCGGCAACCTTGTTGCTACAGGTCTTTAATGTAGCATGTGCTGATACCGGCTTGTGCCATGCTTGTTGTTGTGCGCTGCATTCAATGCTGTCATGATGTACTAGATCAGCTGCTTCAAGCACTGCTGACCTGACGTATGACCTACTAGTACACCTTCG